TTCCTTCATTTCCTTCCTTCTGAAAAAGAATAGATAGGATAATAATTGAGTAGGTACATGACGAAGGGTTGAACACGAGAGCAATTCCTGTCCCTCTGTCCCTCATATAGAAAACATGTAGAAACTGAGCGAAATTAGAGAAAATTCTGGGGAAATTTTGTGAAAATAGTTGGAAATTTCAAAGGAATGAAGACATTTTAGGAAAATATTAAGACAATGTGAGGAAATAAAAGTTCTGAGGAAATCTAGAGGAAATTCTTAGCAATGGTGAAGGAAATTATAAAGAAATAAGAGGTTTCTATAGGGAAGTAACGTTACCCATTTCACGTTAATTCGGAGAAATTTAGTGTAAATTTTGGGAAATTTAAGATAATGCTAGAAATGTTCGCGAAATTAAGGGAAATTGTGGTAATTGTTAATAAAGCAATATGAAGGAAAATTTAAAACAAATGGGAGACTATTACTTAGTTAAAAAGTGATTTTAGTTTTCGAAAATCAAACATTTACTTACATGGAAAAGATTCATTGGAAGATTAATTAACAAAAGTTAAATTCCAAACACCTTCTACAAAAGCATCACGACCAACATGCCACGAAGACGATCGAATACGTTGTGTGTATTATACGAAAGTAATTACATAAATGCAAAGTTAAACAACTTTACGTGTGAGATAAGAGAAATCTGGTAATTTTAAAAGGCAAGATATTTGATATACGAAAAGTGATGTCATTTGAGGATGCGTAATTTAAATTAAATGGAAAAGTTTAATGCGAATTTGACTAATATAGTTTACCTACCTAAAAATTGAGAACTAGCTAATTGAAATAGATTTGAACGTTCTAGGGGGTGCATGAGATTTTTATTAGGTATAAACAAGATATTGTGTTTATTGGGAAAAGGTAGATTTCGGGAACTCTATACAAGGTATCGAAAAAAGGGTTCTACGGATTTTTTTACGGTTCTTCAATGTCTACAATATTATATTATGCAGGGTTGGTCATAAACGGTGTGGTACAGCCAAATTGCATTTGTTTAATGGAATATTATCCATTATTCGATATTTCAATTCTTCTCTCAATTTTAAGCAAAATTTGTAAGAATCTAAATTCAATGGTTTTCGGATTGTCAAGTTCGAAAATAAACGCTATTTTAAAATTCATTAATAATTAAATAAATTAATGATTACAAACAATCATTACAAACGGTTCTTTTTAAACCCACAAATACAAAAAAATGCAATTTGGGTGTGCCACACGTTAATGACCAATCCTGTATAATTAAAATTATTATTGCCTAGGCATGGAAGAACCCTAAAACTATTGTAAAAACCTTTTTTCGGTACTTTGTATATTTTCACTAATCAACAGTTTCCATACTTATCATGGAATTGTCCAACGTTAATTGAGTAATCTGTCAGCTTACCGTAAACGAGGATTTAACACTTGTAAATATATTGGGGTGTAAATAGCGTTAGACAGACGTTCTTTAAGTTGAAATAATGTCGAAGGAACGGCCCATCCTGTATGTGTAAATGTTTTTTTACATTCAATCTCAATTTGAAAGATTTATTTATACTTCTCCCCATGGATACATTACGCAATTGTAAAATTCATATTTAGACCTAGTAATGGTACATATTTCTGTGTAAATAAGTACCTACCTACCTACGAGTACCTACGTATTGTAAGTAGATACTGACTATAGAAGGGTAGCATTTCGATTTGGACACGTTTGGGTAGAAATTTAAAATTCAAGGGACAATGAAAATAAGTTGTCATGTCTTACAAGTGTGTGTTGTCCATCTCAGCTCAAAAAACATAATCCTCAGAATCAGAACACGAGCACTGGTTAGGGAATGATTTGGAGTACTTATCGCTTTATTGGAGGCAGATTTGCAAGTAACTAAAGAATTACAGTATAGACATCAGTGGACTGAGAATAATGGTATGTATATAAAATCTAAATGAGAAAAGGTTAATTATAAAACGTAGCTAACAATAAAATTGATATATGAGTATTGGGATTGGGGGTGCTTATTAAGTATTCCGTATAGAAAAGAACGAAAACGGTGCATAAATATTTAAACAAAGCTGCGGTTTCGCAAAGTACAGATGTAGGACGGCAGTCAACAATTTGTACGTCCCAAGGGTTTTGTTTTTGGGTCTGTAACGAAATGGACGCACCTGAGTCGGAACAGGACGACAAATGCATTCCCAATATGCAAGTAAACTTATTATTCAAACATTTCGAGCATATAATAAATCTAATACGGTTTCTTACATTTAACTTTTCTTTCTGCACCCTTAGTATATTATTAAATGCAATTAATTGATTCTTTTATTATAAAATACGGGTTTTCACTTAGGTATGTGGTATTGAAGCAAGAAAACAAAATTGTCTCATTTCGACCCGGGAAAAAATTTTTCTTATAGAATGTGGCCTGTAGAATCCATAATTTCAAACAGTTCCAAGATTGGGCTACTAGTTCAAAAGTTACAGCCCTTTGAATTTTCTTTTGAAATTGATTTCTTTTCTACCCTATAACTTTTGATTGAGAAGTCTGATCGAAAAAGTACGAATTGTTTTGGATTCTACGCACCAAAATTAATAAGAAAAAGTGTTTTCCCGAGAAATTTTAGTGCAGTCGATTTTTGGTAAAAAAGGAAGGTTATACACTGCCTTTTTTTGAGGCCCGAAAAAAAATTGTCTCAGATCGACAAAATTTTCTTATAGAATGTGGCCTGTAGAATCCATAATTTCAAACAGTTCCAAGATTGGAACTTAGTTCTTTATGAATTTTCTTTCTTTTGATTGAGAAGTCTGATCGAAAAAGTACGAATTGTTTTGGATTCTACGTACCAAAATTAATTAAAAAGTGTTTTCCCGAGAAATTTTGGTGCAGTCGATTTTTGGTAAAAAAGGAAGGTTGTGTACACTGCCTTTTTTTGAGGCCCTCAAAAAAGATTGCCTCAGATCGGCCCGGAAAGAAAATTTTCTTATAGAATGTGGCCTGTAGAATCCATAATTTGAAACAGTTCCAAGATTGGGCTACTAGTTCAAAAGTTACAGCCCTTTGAATTTTCTTTCGAAATTAGTTTCTAGTCTATAACTTTTGATTGAGAAGTCTGATCGAAAAAGTACGAATTGTTTTGGATTCTACGTACCAAAATTAATAACAGCAAGTGTTTTCCCGAGAAATTTTGGAGTAGTCGATTTTTGGTAAAAAAAAAAAAGGAAGGTTGGACGTGGCTATTAAGTGCATAAATACGGTCTAAGGTGCATAAATTAAAATGTTCTTTGGAAGGTAATATTGTACGTGGCGACATCTCAATGGAATTGGTTCAACTATTACAAGAAAATAACATCTTATATATATATATGGAAAATTATAAGGAAAAGTATAGGGATTACCAAAGAGATGGCGCAAATGTACCAATTGCATACACAAGACAATTACAGATACTGGATCATTGAAGTACAATTGCTCTACAAATCCTACATGAAATTGCACATTTTCAACTGCCCTTTAAGGAAAATTGAGTCGGACGTGGCTATCAAGTGCATAAATTAAAATGTTCTTTGGAAGGTAATTTCGTACGTGGCGACATCTCAATGGAATTGGTTCAACTATTACAAGAAAATAATAAGGAAAAGTATAGGGATTACAAAAGAGATGGCGCAAATGTACCAATTTCATACACAAATGACAATTCCAGATACTTGAAGTACAATTGCTCTACAAATCCTACATGAAATTGCACATTTTCAACTGCCCTTTAAGGAAAATTGAGTCGGACGTGGCTATCAAGTGCATAAATTAAAATGTTCTTTGGAAGGTAATTTCGTACGTGGCGACATCTCAATGGAATTGGTTCAACTATTACAAGAAAATAATAAGGAAAAGTATAGGGATTACAAAAGAGATGGCGCAAATGTACCAATTTCATACACAAATGACAATTCCAGATACTTGAAGTACAATTGCTCTACAAATCCTACATGAAATTGCACATTTTCAACTGCCCTTTAAGGAAAATAGGTTCGGACGTGGCTACACCCCTTTCAATTTTCTTTCGAAGTTGGTTTCTAGTCTATAACTTTTGCTTGAGAAATCTGATCGAAAAATACGAATTGTTTTGGATTCTACGCACCAAAATTAATAAGAAAAAGTGTTTTCCCGAGTAATTTTGGTGCAGTTGATTTTTGGGAAAAAAGGAAGATATTACACTGCCTTTTTTTGAGGCCCGCAAAAAAAATTGTCTCAGATCGACCCGGGAAAAAAATTTTCTTATAGAATGTGGCCTGTAGAATCCATAATTTTAAACAGTTCCCAGATTGGGCTACTAGTTCAAAATTTACAGCCCTTTGAATTTTCTTTCGAAATTGGTTACTAGTCTATAACCTTTGATTGAGAAGTCTGATCGAAAAAGTACGAATTGTTTTGGATTCTACGCACTATTAAGTGCATAAATTAAAAAGTTCTTTGGTAGGTAATTTCGTACGTGGCGACATCTCATTGGAACTGGTTCAACTATTACAAGAAAATAATAAGGAAAAGTATAGTGATTACCAAAGAGATGGCGCAAATGTACCAATTGCATACACTACTAAAGACAATTACAGATGCTGGATCATTGAAGTACAATTGCTCTACAAATCCTACATGAAATTGCACATTTTCAACTGCCCTTTAAGGAAAATTGAGTCGGACGTGGCTATTAAGTGCATAAATTAAAATGTTCTTTCTTGTTGAGAGTTGTTGTTTGATCTCACATATGGAACAGACTTTCTGGTTGATTGCATTTGGTTCACTGCAGCTCATAGACCACGGTCTTGCATGTGGCAAGACTTGAGTGTGCGGGGAGCCACACAACAGTTGGTCTCAATATGTGGCAGTCAGACAACTCAAGCATAAATTGAGATAAGACACACTACACTACTCTACTGTATTACCTACTTTGCATTTAAGGACAAATCCTGTTATAAAAAGAGACATCCATACATTATAATAAAATCGATTTAAAATCACAGCATTTTATACACAATTGACCCTATTTTCCTGATTGAAATATGTTAGACATGATTTGAAAATAGTTCTCATTACATTGTAAACCTAAACCACGTAAATAATTATAAAATCTGCTCTTTCGTTTGTTTGAGTGACCAGCGCGCACAATCTCAGATCTGCAAATTGTGCGCAACGTTGCAAAATAATCAAGACTAACTGCGTTACTTTGCAACTGAATAACTTGGGGTACAACATCAAGCAGGTTTTCCTTGCACATGCTCAATTTCTTCTGCCTCCTAGAAATAGAAAATACAATTAAAAATAGGCAAACTTGTAAACCACTTACCGTTTTTCGGCAGCTGAACCGTTTGCGTGTAGTCTTTCTGCATTTTTAGTGTAAGCGTTCAATAACACTTTTAGCCACTCACAGCAAGCATCTTTGCTAGTATAAAGTTCCCCTGACTCGTTCAATTCCAGACTGTCCCCGATTGTTTTGTGCGTGGTTTGATTCACCAGCCCAATATTGCAGTCGTTCAGGTTAAATTTCGCGTAGACAACATCAGTGAGGGCGAGAGTGTCGAAGAAATCGCTAATGGTTGTTACATCATGAGTAGATTCGGTTATTTCCCTTTCAGCTCTACGCGTAGGTGGTGCTATTCCCAGAATGTTGTGAGTACTCCACCAAGTATGATCTAAATCAATCACAGGCGAATCATTAAAAAATTGCAACTGCTGAAAATCTTGTTTGGTGTGCTTAAGGTTTGAACTGTCGTCTTCACGCAGAATCTCATCAATACCGTCCACGTGCGGCGTAAATTCCCTACCGCTTTCCACCAAAAATTGCAGTTGCAATATTGTCTTGCGTACATCCCCTCTGTTGTGTTCCAAAAGATCGGTAACTGAATCTTCCGCTACTAGAGCGCCCTCAACCAAACAAAGCAGTTGCAGCCAGGGTGTCAACATTCTTGGCAACAAAGGCGAAAAGGTGACAACGGGAAACTTTCTAAGATGAGGGCAGCTCGTGTCGGTCGTCGTGAGTACGATCGGTCGCTTACTAGTATCCACCAGTTGGGAGAGCGCACTTAAAAATCCGTCGTCCTGCTCGAATACCAAATCGACATCTTCGATGAGCAACAAGCACATTTTTCCCAGTTTGCCCGTGTCGTCGCTGATTAGGTTACTTTTCACAAAAGTGGATAGGGCCGATTGCTTTCGGACTTGGTATGATTGCGTCGCCTCCTGAAGATCTACCAGCAACTTTTTACCTGAAAATTTACACAGGGTTAATTATGCTACAGCAACAGTAAAAATTATAAGACCGCATTGCGCCAACCTGTTTGAACTTCAGTTCAATTATTGTCCAATCAAATTTCTGAGGGGCGGAAAACAATATGCGGGTCACTCTGTAATTGGGCAAAACCCTGTTAAGGGCCCAGAATAAGAGGACAATAAAAACACTGTCACTACCAAGCCTTTTGTAATCTTTTAGTTTAAAAATCTCCAAAAGATTTCAACAGCCTGTTTACTTCCCCAAAAATGGCTTTTTGACCCTTTAACAGACCTTTAGAGTTGCTAAGAATCTTTAATAACTCCTTAATATACAAATGTTAAAAAGCACAATTAATTAAAGGAGTTTTAATTTTTGAATGACGATAACCAAATACGCTGTGCTGAATGGAAAGACCCCCCATGGCATAGCCGAATTTTATGAAAAGTAAAACCGCTGTTTAGTTACATTTGTAAGTGCAGTCTGCAGCAAAAGGTAACCGCCTGTGTGCTACGGGCTAGAGGTTTTTCAATTTCGATTCATTTTAATTTGAAAATTAGAACAAAATAAGAAAACGTTAAAGTCACTAAATATAGAAAGTACCGCAATTCATTGGGCTCGTATGTTAGAGAGAGAACGCAGGATTTTTGCCCAAAAATGGCGGAAGTTACCAGATTCTAGTAACTTTAATGTTAGGGATTTTTCCACCTGTTTGGAGCTGTATATATTTTTATAAAACATGACAGTACTATGAAGTTAGGTTATAAACAATTTCTGCTATTCAGATTTTGTCAATTTTTTTAAGTTGGCAACAAATTTGCCCAAAAATGGCGGATGATTGCGGTACTTTCAGAGAGGAGATCGCTGATCGACGAGTGCGCATCCAAGAAAGGGTGCGACCTCATGGGCGCTGCCATTTTTACACCCGTTGTGTCATGTTGTGTTTATAGTGGTGTTATTTTAGCCTGTGTTCGTGTTTAGGAGAGCTTTTTTCGAGGTTTAAGTGTTTATTTTGTAACGTCAACGTCACTGGCATTTTCTTTTGTTCATTTGGATTGAGATATTAGTTTCTTCCTACGGAGCTGCTGCCGAATAGAGTGTAGTGTATGAAGATTGCGTTAGATGTCTCTGGGTTGCGTCAGTAAACCTTTATAGTCCTGTTCAAATTTCGCGCTTCAATGGGTGTCAAAATGGCAGCCCCCTTGTTTTGTCACTTCGCGCAGTTTCATGCGCTATCTCCTCTCTCCATGTCTCTGGGTACTTTCTATATCTAGTGACTTTAGAAAACGTAATATACCAGCGCCATCTTGACGAATTCCGCTGGAAGCGAATCGTTATAGAATTAGTATAAATCAAGCTACCCTGCGTAATAAATTAAGAGCAGCTAAATATGAACTGTTAATTACCTCAGGTTTTGTGTAAATAAATACTCACCTCAACAAAATCTTGCTCATTATTACCAACCTAAAAAACTTACCAGTTCTTTTACTGGAAGCATTAATCTCCAAAACATTGACGTCTAACTCGTTACAAACGGCGTAGACGGCTGCCGTTTTGCCGGAACCACACGGCCCGACGAAAATATAGGTGCTTTCCAGTGACGAACAATCGTTCCTACTATCCTCGTCGTCCTCGCCCTCAAAGTCCGAGCTGCTATTAGATCCTCTCCGATTTGAAACCCTAGTCGTCCAATTTACCTCCAACCACAACTGCAGCCAAGCTTTCAGCTTCTCAATCGCCGCGCCGTTACCCAAAATATCGTCCGACCGAACGGGCCTGTACACTTCCGTCCACGTCTGAGTTCGACTGTTGCATTTAGCGTCCTTCCTTTTCGATCGACTTTTTTTCGATTTCTTTGCCGAAGCAGGTTCGGCCGTTCTGCTCGCCAGGTGTTTCGTATAAAGGGCTTTGAATGTTCGGTAAATGGGATAGTCGGGATGGCGAGCTTTGAGGTCTTCTAAAATGGATTTAAACGATCTTACTTCCTCGACCTTTTCCATACTCGCGCTCATCGGGGCTGCATCGTTCAAATTTGTAGCGCATCCTTTCGTCAATGTGCCAATCTGCGGAATTCTGGAATCCAAAGGAGTGAAGCACAAGTTGCTGGGAGACGAGTTGACGAACTGGTACTCGTGGGGCTGCACCCTTATGTGACTGACCATTGGAAATACTACGTAGTCGGGAGTCTCCTGCCTATAAATGAGTACTAAACTGTAAATGCAGAATACAGCTACATTTTAAATGTGCCAAGAAAGCTACTTTTACAAAGGCCCAAGGGGTTTCTTGTGTAAAAAAATCTGAGAGGGTTTAGAATAATAATTAAATCGTATAAGATCATTACAAAGAATTTTTAAGGGTATTCAAGAGCCTTCAAAGGTGTTAAGACCGTCTAGGTTCATATCTTCAAGAGCATTCTTTAAGAGCCTTCAAAGTTATTAACAAGTACAAAGGTTTTCGCCGACACTTCACAATTAAAGACTGAAAAACTACAATATTGAACAATTTTGGACATTGAACGCAAACAAAATTGTGGTCTTATACCACCAATAGTAATTACAATGTGCTCCACCAGAGGTCTCACTGTTAATCTGAATCGCGAATAAGTTACCGAATTTCAAAAGTTGTAAAAATATACAGGGTGTTTGTAAAACAAACAGGTTTTTCAAATATGACTATTGTAATTGGAATATACATACGCTATACTTACTTCTGTTGTTTTTCCACTACCTTCTTAACAGAATCCGGCATTGAACTGTGCAAGAACTGTTTTCGTGCTTCCGCAACCACTTTGTCAGCCTTTTTCCTTTGCGCTACTGTAAACAACGGCGCAAGATTCACATTATCATTCCCCTGTTGTTTTAAAAGGTCTTTTTTAGGCATCACCCGTTCATCGGACGATAACATTTTTATTCCATCATCCGAACCGGAATCGGAGCTAACCTGTATCGCTTTCTTACACTTTCTGCTTTTACCACGCAAATCGATCACATCGTCCGACTCTTCGTCCGTATGATCCAGGACAACTTTCAACTTCATTTTCCACTTCGTTTGCTGCGGCAATGCGTCGTATCGACTTCCATTCTCCTGTTTACTTTTCTTCAACGAGAGTCTCGAGGCCTTCGGTTTCACAACATCCAAGTCTTCCTTATTGACGTTTAAAAGTTTCTTTAAACGTTTGGCGCGGGTACTTAACTTCTCCTCGATAATAAACCCCTTCTCGACGTATTCCATTTTACGCTTCTTAGCCCCCTTACGGTCGGCCCACTCTTCAAAGAGTAACTTGCGTGTGAGCAGCTTCTTTTTGTTTTCGCTTACAATCTCGACCGAATCCTCGCCGTGCTTGATTTCTTTACCAGGAGAGTTCTGCCCTATACTTTTATTACGGCTGTCCATCATAAACGTGAAGGCATTAATCTTTTTAACACAGTTTTCGTCATCGTCTGAGATGGGCTGTTTCTTTGCAGGTTCAGGAGATATCTCTACAATATCATTTGAAAATCGGACCTTTCTGTCGTCTAAATCAAGATCACAGTGCTGAGTTTGAAGACCCGTTTCTTTATGTTTCTTCTTCTTTTTTCCTTTTTTTTGTCCCTCACACATTTTAGGATCCTTATCAGAGTCTAAACCGTTACTCTTTTTCTGAAAAAATGAGACTAAAGTCGTTTGAGCTGTAAGTTCCTTGGGTTTACTCAGTTTAACGATATTAGAGTTTAGTGATAGCTTCAATTTCCTTTTTTCCTTATTTTTGATGGAGTTTGATTCTTCAAAGAGAACGTTGGAAGAGTCTTCCATTGTTGATTAAAAATTATTATCTATAACGGTAAATTTGATAAAACTATGTCATAAAAGGTCTTCGTTCCATTTTGGATATAAATAATATTTAAAAATGTTTAACACCTAATAAATGGAATATGCACAAAATCAAAACATAACCTATTTTACCGCCAAAATCACAAACACAAGCACGTGACAGCTGTTGAGGACGTGGCTCTTGTACCCTACTTCATTGAAAAGAACTATACATACAGGATGTGTTCGCAAAAAAGACTGAATTCCTACACTTGCCAAGAAAGATCTGAGGTTTTTGTGTAGCTACTTCAGCCACCTACAAGCAAAACCTCTGATGGTAGATTAGACACATCATGGTCAAGGTTGTTGTTGTCATTTGTTGATTTTTTTGTTTATTTTTGTTACATAACCTGTTTTATACTTGTACCGTTAAATACCAAATTTAAATAAGTTTTACCGTTAACTACGACATATACTTAAAGCCTGTACTTAGTAATTAACATGCATTCCTCTAAAGCAGCCCTTATTTCGATGTTTATTATTTTCGTTGCATCCAGTGAAAATTGCAGCAACGAAGACAGCTTAGAGCTTCACTTATCAACAAAGACACCTTACCGTTTAGTTGCAAACAAAGAAGACAAAGAACTGAAACAGGAAGGTTGCATATCCTTAGTTAAAATCGTTTAATTATTTATCTTTGCGTTAGCAATAAAGGACTGCATACCGCATAAACTATGGATGGTAGTACGACATGGTACGAGAAACCCCAGCGCGGCTTTCATCGAGAAAATGACTGACAGACTGCCGGAGATACGAGACTTAATTTTACAGAACAACCCAGAACCGACCCAGTATTTACGCCACTCTGACCTGTACGCCTTTCAAAAGTGGAAGGCAAGGTTACGGACATCGGACGAAAAGAAGCTTACGCACGAGGGTGAGGACGAAATGTTAGAGCTAGCCGAAAGGATGCAGGCACGCTTTCCGAATATCCTACGGTCCGTCTACAGTAATACCTCATATTATGTAAGTGTTGTATGAAGACACATGTATTTTGTACTCAAATTCGAAGTTTTTGTGAGCAACTTCCGCTGACCAATTTTAAAAATTTTAAGGAAAATGTAGAGGGGCAGGTTTAGTCTCATTTAGAGGGGCTAACTTCATTTTCTCATTAACATGACTGAGAGAGGACTACAAAACTTTGAAGTACAAATTAAGATCTGCATGTGGCTTTCCTGGTTTCATAATGCTTGCTTTTTCTAAATATGAGCAGTTTAGGTATACGGCAACTCATCGAACGAAGGCAAGCGCGACGTTTTTCGCTGCCGGCTTGTTTGGGAGGCATGTCGTTAAGGACGTCTGGTTCCCGAAACCAATAAAAAATGATCCTATTTTACGGGTAATTCTGTTCATGTACTTAATATACGGGTCAACTGGGTCACTTACAGTTTTACAAATTATGCCCGCGCTGGCAGCGGGAAGTGAAAAATAATCCGGCTACGCTGTCCGAAAGGAAGAAATTCGAAGAAAGCGAACACATGCTGAATATCATCAGATCTGTGAATAGGATGTTGAATTTGGAGGACGAGCTGGACTTAGGTAGGTGGTAACCCTGCATGCTTTATTATAAGCACATCATTATTATTTTAATCCCTGTAGATACACAGGGTTAAAATAAATAAATAAATAAATAAAACGTTTGTCTGAATAAAATTGAACATCGCAGTAATTGTCAAACTTAGTAAGCTGTGTCTTTGTGGAAAATTTCATGCGTAGATACCTTGATTTTTTTAATGTGTTCCCGGTACTACAATTTGCAACATTTTATTACATGTACTGGGTAATTAAGAATTTAAGAATAAAATTATCAAATAGATTAGAAGTATACACATTTATTGTGAAAGTCGCTGAATTCATCTGTGCAACGATCAACCAAAAATAAATCAAGCACAGTCCAAATAGCCTGACAAATCTAAATTGCAGATGACATTTACCTAATGTACTTAACATGCGCCTTCGAAACTGCATGGAATAAGAAGAACAAGTCGCCGTGGTGCTCGGTATTCTCTACCGAAACAGTAGGTGGCCTCGAATTTGCTGAAGATTTGAAATACTACTATCGCGATGGGTACGGTTATGAAGTGAGCTACAAGCAGGCTTGTAGAATGTTAGGCGATGTTATGTCACACTTTGAAAAGTAAGTAGCTAAGAGTGTGGTGCATATTTTGTAATTTTATGATTTTAGCAAGTCGGAGTATCCCAAAGCGACTGTTTACTTTACACATTCGGGCACGCTATTAAAACTTCTGGCCCATTTGGGATTGTACAAGGACGAAGAACGTTTAAAACACACTCACTATAGTAACAACTCTCATCAATGGAGAGTTAGCAAGATAGATGCGTTTGGATCCAATCTAGCTTTTGTTTTATACAAGTGAGCAGTTATATTAATCAGTGTGTATTTTTAAACAATTGTCATTTCAGATGCCCATCGAAATATAAATTAGCTGTTTTCCATCAAGAAACACTTATGAGATTGCCTAATGGTGAAGAGTTCACAGATTTTAACAAATTTAAAAAACTTTACAAAAGTAGTTCAAACGAATGTGCCTTTGAGGAAATGTGCAGCATTGCCTAATTCACTGCGATAATATAATTTTGTAATTTTATTTATTAACTAAATATATGTTTACATCTTTTTCTATCTCCAATATGTCTATCATTCCTGTAACTCTTGGGGTCTTCTGTACTTGGAAGCAAGGTGCCTTTACCTCTATTGAATTGTGCCAAAAGCAAAATGGTTTGAAAAACCCATATTTTGGCCTTTGGCACCTACAAACTGCAATTTTATTACCGGTTTTAACTAACTACCCAGGCAATGATTTTTGCATGAGCTAAAAATATATTCTTCTCTCTTATTCTTTACAAAAACGGAAGACAGGTGTAGGAGTGAAGAAAACTACACCTCCCCCAAGCTACATTCATTTTCCATATAAGTAGGTACCTAATAATCGTTTCGTCTTTGTATAGGGTTGAACATTGGAGCAAAGGAAAATACTATTCTACACTATCTCCCCAAGTAGTTCCTATGAATTAAGGTAGTCCACCTGTTTCGAATTCGTAGTAGTTCAAATGTTTGGTTCATTGACATATGTGGTATAGGTTATGTAAATGAAGGATTGTCAAGTTTTTTGAAATTGCAAATTAGCAAATTAAATTATTGTGTAACATAAATGATTATTTGTGTTTAACACAAAATGAATACAAGCAATTCCATTGAATCAACGAACCTAAGGGACCCCCTTTCGGTGATTGTGCTATCCCCTAACAATCCTCTATCGGTGAATGGCCAGAAGAAAAAGAAAAAATCGGAGAAGACACTAAAGTTAGGCAAACTAAACGATACGTCAACCATGTTAGACGATTTAGTGAACTATTTAAAAGATTTTAAGATCACAGCAGTTTACAGTCAAAAATCGGGCCGTGTATGTCGTATTAAAAAATCCGGCTGTAGGCATACGCACGCCAGTTTAAATTTAAGTAGCAGCGATTCTTCTAACGCAATAGTTGATAGTGAATCGTCAATAAATTCAAGTAGGAATGGTTCTGTTCGATCGACTCCTTCAAAAATGGAGACTGGTATCAGACCAAAACAAAACCTCCAGCCGCTCATACCAAATTTACAGTCCAACGCGGTTATGAGAAACGTGAATACGAAAAAGTCAAAGGCGAAAAAGCAGAAGAAAGCCAAGCAGTACACGCCTTACTTGAGCAAACGTGAGGTTGACGAAGGTTTAAAAGAGGGTCTACTCATTCAGGGAGCCATTCGGATAAATCAAAAAAACAGCAACGAGGCGTATGTCGGCAGTCGGGAGCAGTCGGATAACGATTATTTGTTGAAGAATGTCCCCGATAGAAATCGTGCGTTAGAAGGTGATATTGTCGTTATTAAGCTGAAGCCTGAAAGCGATTGGCATCTCAAGTATAAGACGGCTACTGTGGTCTACATTTTGGAGAAGGTAATATTCAGACTTATGTTTTAGGTGAGAAAATATTAGGTAATTTTCCCACCTGGGAAAGGTCCCCAGATGAATCCAATTTTAAAACACATTTGTTAATACACTAGACCAGGGGTCGGCAACCTATTGAAACGGAAGAGCCGAAAATGACAATTTACAAAATTTCCCAGTTTCTAAAGAGCCACAACAATTTTTGATTCAATATTATAGTATTTGTCTATATACAGGGTCCTGCAACAGTGGGTCGGTTTTTCCTACATAGCTGATACCTGGTAAAAAATATTGGTGGTTGCGGATCTACAGAAATTATTTTTGAATGTACAGGGTGTCCCATTTTTACGATGTCAATAAATAACTTTTGTATTCTGTTCAATGTTTGTGAGGGGTGCCCTGTGCTTAAACCCCGCAGTTTTTATGTTATTCAATATTTTTCACAAAAGTACCTACTCATTAATTAATTACGTGTTTATACATCGGAGTAGGCTGCTATAATAAAAAAACAAAAGAATACCAGAAAGTAAACAAGTGTCACAAATTAGATAAGTAATTATTTGCTGCAAGTGTACTTTTGATTTCGTAAACAAATAAGATTACCTAATTAAAAAGGCGAATTTCGAACAAATGAACTAATTTCTTTAGATAAATACGGAGAGCCGCAACTTTATATCAAAAGAGCTGCAGGTTACCGACCCCTGCACTAGACCAGTAAGAATTCCAAATGCTCCTTTGAATATAGTCCAAGCCTCTAAGGAAATAACACGCCATTGAAATGCCAGAAATGTCAACTAAAAAAACCCTTAGATTTTATTTAGCACGATTGTGAAATACCGACACACACTTATTTTTTAGTCTTGGAACGATATCTAATTGTTGATAATCGAAGTTGCATTTTTTTAAATAGAACCCTCCCTCTATAATTTTGCATATGTATATTGGTCAATTTTAGTGTGACTTTATGTGTTACACATGGTATCTAAAATGAGTCGTTTAACAGCAATTTGTCATTTTTTCTAAAAGTAGATGTCCAGTAAAAATTAACATTAAAAAAGCTGCGGAGCACCAAATGTCTGATGACTGTGCTACCAGCAGTAACGCGACTGCCAGTTATTAGAAATGTTATGTACTTTAATTTATTACTGAAGTTTTTTCGCCAAAAAACCGAAATCAAATGAGTTATTTCGGGTTTTGTGGAAAACCTCCGATTTTCCGCCATTTTTCCAAGATGGCGGCTCCCGCGTCATGCGGATTTTTGTGCAAACGTCAAATTCGGATTCAGCGACCCAAAAAACATAAACCCTGCATCTTGGTTCTTTGTCTCAGAAATTTGCAAGGTGGACCCCTGTTTTGAGCTCTAGGGCCTGGACTACAAGGTGAGGCAGGGATTGGATCTCGAGTATAGTTAATGATATTATTTATTCGGATTCAAAGATCAAAACGTAATTGAACTGTATATTTATCTCAGGTTCATTCACGTATGGCAATCGGACAGTTGACAACAAGAGACGGTCTAATTATCTTAATACCGCGAGATAAGCGACTGCCCAAGATGAAGATCGCCCCGAATAATTGTCCCGTCCTCGTGGTTAATAGGATGGACGCGTTGGTGATGGCAAAGATATTATGCTGGCCGGACATCGACTACGCCGAGGGTGCCGTTTGCGAAATACTGGGATTGATCGGTGACTTAAGCTCGGAAAATCGCGCGATATTGGCCGAGTATAACGTCGACGTGACCCCGCATCCTCCGAGCCTTCTTCAGTGTGTCACGTGTCCCGACCTAATGAGCCACCACGAGCAAAGTCTTCGACAAGATTTTCGAGGCGAGTGCATTTTTACCATCGATCCGTCGACTGCGAGAGACCTAGACGATGCGGTTTCGTGTACGGAATTGCCGAATGGAAATTTCCGTGTCGGCGTGCACATTTCCGACGTAGCATTTTATCTAATCGAAAATACAGAGTTAGATATATTCGTGCGTAGAAGGGCGACATCCGTTTATATGGTAGACAATGTGTACCACATGTTACCCCCCGAGCTGTGCATGCGATGCTCCCTGTTGCCGGGTGTCGATAAACGCGCCTTTTCGGTCGTGTGGGAAATGACAAAGACCGGGACGATCGTTGAGGAGTATTTCGCGCGGACGGTAATAAATTCCTGCGCCCAATTGGCCTACGAGCATGCGCAGTTGATGATCGAAAATCCCACCCGAAAATTTCAAGAGCACGAATTACCGCAAATACACGGCGGTTACACTTACGTGGACTTGAGCCATAAAATAAATTCTCTACAACAAATTGCTTTAAATTTGAGAAGGCGTCGCTTCGATAATGGAGCGTTGAGAATAGACCAAACGAAATTGATATTTAGATTGGACGAATCCGGCGAACCTGCGGAATTCAGCGTGTACGAAAACAAAGAAGCCCACAGGTTGATCGAGGAATTTATGTTGTTGGCGAATATCAGTGTCGCAACAAAAATTCTGCATCATATTCCAGACTTGGCATTCTTACGTCGTCACGATCCACCGAAAGAGTCTATGCTGGTGGACCTTACGAAAAGATTGGAACCGTACAATATACATTTAGATACGTCTTCGTCAAAAGGACTTCAAACTAGTGTTTTGAATATTGGCAGTATGTTCGGTTAGTTATGATTTCCCCAATCCGTATAACGTTTTAGGGTTGATTGTGTGGTAATTTGGTACCTATCCAATAGGTTGTAAACGAAGGGTAAGGGATACACATCAATTGTACTGTTACCAAATCAGCCCTAAAACTTATAAGCGTAATTGACTTAAACAAAATTTCCATTTAGGACTCCCGCATATGGCCGTTATAAATCACTTACTGACAAAACCCATGCAAAGAGCGCGCTATTTCTGTGCTTCAACCGAACTGGGTAACTACAGCCACTATGCACTCCACATTCCGATATATACACATTTCACTTCGCCAATCAGAAGGTACGCGGACATTATGGTTCATAGGCTCCTGGCCGCAAGCTTAGGTATCATTTCTCATTTGTTTCACAGTTTTGACCCAAAACACTTTGGTTGAAGGTTATACACCGAATCCGACGTGGGCTGTGAACGGTGTCGCTGCCGTCGCGACACATTGCAACGATCAGAAGTACGCCGCCAAGTCAGCCGGCGATGCTAGCTTAGACCTGTACTTGGCACACTACATTCAGAACCACAAACCGTTCATCAGAAGTGCAATCGTTTTTCACGTGAGGGAGAGGTCTTTCGACGCGCTGGTACCCTCCACCGGAAGCGTAATCAGAATTAAGGAGGAGGTAAACCAAACCGAAATTGACCAAATAATTTTTTCCGCTTTGCGCAGGGTTTCGAAAAAGGTATGTGGAAGTACGAAGCGACAGCCGAAAACAAATGCAAGGTCGTCATAACATTCCCGCAAACCAGCGAATACGGGAAGGAGCAGGTCCTAATTGAAATGTTTCAAACGATAACTGTAGTCCTAGATCGTATACCGAATACGAATTCGTTAAGTGCTACGTTGTTACGTCCGATTTCTAGCCAATTAATACGAAATAAGAGTGCCTTTAAAAGTAAATAAATAGTGATGATTTTTTTATGAGACGAACATTAATCGATGTAATGTATTAATAAAATTTTTATGAATTCTGTTCTTATTTTCCCTTAACCGATTTGCTGCCTGAAAAAACAGGAGCCAGCCGAACAAGCGGAACTCTTGGAGGTGGTGAAGGACTACACCTTTTTCAAGTGTAATTCAGAAACCGTAAGATATATTTCAGAAGCCATTAACTGTAATTCAGATTGGTCAATTGAACTTCAGAAAGTGTGAAGTGTAATTCAGAATAGTAAATTGAATTTGAGAAATCATCACATGTAATTCAGGATAGTCATTTTAATTTCAGAAAGCGTAAATTGTAATTCAGATAGTGTAAATTGTTTTTCAGAGTCCGTCATTTGCAATTGAGAATTTATCAATTGTAATTCAGAATTCGTTATTTTTCTTTAAAAATTAAATGATCAAAATACCTCTGGATGTGATTTTGTTATTGTTGTCAAGGTATGTTTGCAAGCGTTAATTATTAAATAAAAAAAAGTGAGAGTGTAAATATTCAACAATATTATGAATTTAAAAGATAATTGTGCAATTTGTCAAATTGCTATGACAAGAAATGCTGTAATTCGATCGCAACCATGCAGGCACCTGTTACATGCAAAATGTGCTGAACCCTTGCAGAATCGTCAAGACATTTTTTGTCCAATATTGAAAAGTTGCGCCACAATTGTGTACCTTAAGTTACTGATCTGAATTACACTCCATAGTTTCTGAATTACATTTTATACACTCTCCGAAATTGAAATTACGGTTCTGAATTACATGTGATGGTTTCTGAATTACACTTGAAAAAAGTGTAGAAGCGAAAGGATGTTTTTGTTTCATTTTGTGATTTCCTATTATTCTGTAAATTATGAAAGTAATTCGTGAACTGGATTCATGGATACATTTTTCACCACTCCCCGACTTATAATTTAAGAACTTTTGTACTTTGCACAACTAGAAAACCGTAAAAGTGCAAATTTTAAGTTTTGGTCGACTTTCTTGAGAAATGAGGTAGTAAATTTAATTAGCTTCAATTTAAGATCAGAAGAAGGCCTGTAGGTTTAATACTTCTCTTGTTATTTAAAGAAAGGGAAAACGTGTTTTGGGAAAATGACCTGTAGCCTGTAGCATTGAATAAGTATTACCTTTACTTATAGTACTTACAGGTAAATAAGTATTGATTTTAAATTTACAATAAACTAGATTTTCTATCGCCGCCGTAGTACGCGCGCAATAGCAGACCGCGACCTCAATAAAAAAATAGGTTTTTAAAGAAACCCTACGATCCGATATGGCCCAATTGTGAATCTAAATCATTCGGGAACACACGAGGCACGTAAAAACAATTTAATTGAAATCCGTCCAGCCATGTAGGAGGCACAAACAAGAAGAATTTTAGGTATAAGTACCGTGTATCCCAGGAAAACAGAATTAATGTATTTTTTTCGCGAAGGATCCAAGAGCCCTTTGATATGTGTTTGAAGTTAGCGTTCAACGTACGTTATTGCGCTTGCCTGATGCTGGAAAGAGATTGGAATAGTACGTTAAACGCTAATTTCAAAGGCCTCGCGATCCATCGCGAAAAAATACATTGTCGTTCCCCTATATGGTTTGTTCTACCTATGACACAACACACTGTATAAATAGGTAACTTGTGAATTTAAATTATAGGTAAAAAAAATACAAATTGCATGCTTATAAAAGCACAATAGGGGGGAAATCTGGATGGCTCAAATCAGGGCAGATCTGGTCTGTGAAGCTGTATAGTCAGCTTGATATTAAACAACGAAGTAGACTTCAGGTCTGAGGAAGAGCATATGTGACATGTGAGAATCTGCTACTACTCAGTGAAAAGAATATGATGCTGCAAGCAGCAGAAAATGAAATTGTTCAGATGATGAGTGTCACGTTCAAAACTGCCTTGGATCAGTAATTGGCACGAAATAACACCCACCTCTAAGATATCGGTGCAGTATTTCAAAATGATGACACTTTTATAGGTGGATCCTTATATCTCAAAACCACTTTGACATATAAAACTCATATCTGGTACACAGTTGAAGAATGCTATATAATATAGCATCTTTGAGCACAAGTGGCTTAGTTCTCAGGGGGTTCTTTCCCCCAAGGCAAAGCCGCACAAAACGCAAACTCGCGTTACTTCCTGGACCTGATGGTACCTTTGTGCGGAGCATGTTCATTTAACATTGTACATTTAATTGCAAAAACTTTTTCCCTATGTCTAATTTTAATTAACAACATCAATTAGTATAGTGCCGGTGACAGTTTAATGAGAGCTTTGAATTAAAATAGATGAGATGCGAGGCCAAAGCAACAATATGCAAATTAATTAATATGGCAGCCAGATCTTTATTTGTTTAAAGGAGGTATTTGGATTCATAAAATTAGGTGCCCTTCAGAAGGGATTTTTTCTATTTAAATTGTCCGTACTTGCTAAACTTCACCATTCCGGTGCGTATTAAATTCTAGTACCTTTACAAACTCCACTCCTAAATCTAATTTGTTACGCAAACATCCGTTATTTATAATCCCTCAATTTTAATTTAATTTCTCAAAATTGCGATCGTTACCGGAAATGTTACGCTTGGTTATTAACATTAACAGCAATTTCATTTAATATTTATATATTGTTTGTAGTGTATTCAATTATAATTAATTAAACTTTTGGTATTATTATCACTTAGGTAGTAATTATTCAAGACGACTGATAGATAATTTTTTATTTGTTTTGTTTTTTGTTATTGTTTTCGGTAGTTTAAGTACCTGTTATCAATGTTAGTATTTTTATTTTTTATTTATTTTAAGTCTATTGTACTTTCGCAGGTTGTAAAATGTTTTTGCTCTGAAATTAGAAAGTTTATGTTTTTATGTTGAGCAAATAAAGAATTATTATTAGCATTTACAAGTAGGCGTAGGGAAAAGCAATGCACGTAAATCCCTATGTCTGCTTAACAATAAATTTTCGCTGCATAACGGGCGATCAAAAATGAGTTACTGTCGAGTCGCCTTTGGAAGTTCAAGTTAAGTACGATTTTCCATGTAAACAAAAATTCCAAAGGTGACTCGACAGCAACTGATTTTTGATCGCATGGTATTAGTTGACTAATTCTGCAATGAAAGACAATGTAATTTTGTAACGTTTGTATTTACATTAGCTCTGCAAAAAACCAAGAGAGTACCATCTAATAAAGAAAATAAACAAGACCAATTTATTCATTTCATAATGAAAAACAACAAAGTTTTGTAATTATAAATAAATTAAACGTAGTTCATTAGCTACTGCGTGTTACTTTGCGCTTTAGCCCGCCGATGATCGTAATTCACCAGTTTTTGTCCAACTAAATACTTATCATTTTTAATGTGTTCGTACAATTTCTTGAACTGTTTAATTTGTAGAGTAACCACCATGCCACAAATAATAATCAGTAATAAAAACGGATAGATTCGACGTGCTATTAAGTTGCGCATGTGCATATTACTAACGAACAGTGGTACAACAGTGTACGTCAAAGCGTATGGAATTGCGAGCGCGAGTCCGAAACAAGTTATGACCGGAATCGCGACTTCTTTAATGATAAATATTAGATTCATTTCGCGTATACCGTCACGGTAAATGCGTTCGATGGCGGTTCGCAGAAACCATTCAGGACCCATCATCGTAATGGCACATGCGATTTTTGTGTATAGCACGCCGAGTGCCCAGTCTTGCCAGATGAATAAAATTGGTGTTTGATAAATTGGCACACGTAACGGTACTATAATGACCACTTCCAACAGAAGTCCGGAGAGAAGCGGTATTAGACCGATTAGCAAGATGCTCGCGACACAAGTCTTTGCACCCAAAATACACCATTGCCTTAGACGTTCCACCATCGCCGCGCGCCCTTGCGGCAGCCAGCTTAGGATTATCGCGATAGCTCTCGCGATCATCCAGCAGATGTAGGTACCGCAGGCGGCCGTGTACAGTTCGTGTATCTTCGCGACGGCAGGCGTCGGTGTCGTAACAAAATTGGGGTCCGAAGGAATGGATCCCATCAACCAAATCACCATCACGCGACGTCCCATCCAGACCGGTATCGTAAGTGCGGCCAAACTCGCCAACACCAACGATATACATACGAAAATCAAAAGTGCCACAATGCGTGCTGCGAAAAAACGAGGACGGTCGTACGGTTGAAACCCTATAAATTGAAGAATTAAGTTAAGGAGACTGATCGCTACTATTAACGTAAAAGTAGATAAGTAAAAGCCCTCATGGAACATACTAGGCCTTCTTTACATTAATATCTTATCGAGTGTATGTACACTGCTGCTACTATGTATATAAGACTATCGACACTACCACTGATAATGGCATGATTATGAATAGGTACTGCCTCCATAAGCTTACTTTAAAAAATAAGATGTGAGTTACATTAAAGTTGCTCAATTTATAACCAAATTGTACAAGATGCGCATTTCTATTTAGCACGGCTCTTGGCGCGAAACTTACGATCGCCCCCTCAGTGACGTCAGACCAATAAGAGAGCGTTTAGCGAATTCAAACGAATGCGGCAACGTCGCGTCAGTGGCGTACGTAGAAATTTATTCTGGGGGGGGATTAAACAAGTTCGTGGCACATACAGTGCGTACTAGAAGGGGGACGGAGGGGGGGTAAGAAATAGAAATTGGGTTGCAGGTTGCTGATGCTGGTAGTCATTTATCTATTTATTATTGTACAGGCGAAAAAGATTAGATTAGAACGGTATTTTATTTCTTACTGCTGACAGGCCCCTTTATTGCTTTTGCTTTAATTAGTCAACGAAAACTTTGAATAATAGGTATATTTATGGGCAAAAAACCAATTTCGACAAAAAATTCAAAGGGCTGTAACTTTTGAACTAGTAGCCCAATCTTGGGCCTGTTTGAAATTATGGATTCTACAGGCCACATTCTTATGCTAGTTCTGTATTAAGCTCACCATTAAGAGACGTCATATACTCACCAGTAGGTCCTTCTCGCATTACCAAGGCTTGATGAGCAGCTGCCAATCCGCCGGCCGGTTCGGCAACAGGTTGAGCAGCTGGTCCGTCAATGTCCTGTTGTCCATTTCCCAGCAGATAGGAATGTATATTAAGTACCCACGCGACCGCTCGACACCAAGTACGAATCAGCCCCTTTAACCAGATGCGCGTGTGCGACTGTTCAAGCAACGCCGGAATAATGACTTGCAAAAGCAGCAGTTCTAAGGACAACTCGTTGACCTGGGCGTCGTTAGTTACGCTGACGGTGTATGGGAGAAAAGTGGGAAAGAGGCTGCGCAAAATTCTAACTGGCAACCACAGCATTAGCAGTACAGCCGTGCCGAATATGACGGCAGAGAGCAGCAGTCTGCGAATGTGTTTCAGAATTGGTAGGTGAATCATTTCTTGTATTGGACTGAAGTCGGGATCATTCAGATTTCTTAGAAACCAGAGGACGCCGGGCCGAAGAATTTCGCGGAGTAGCAAGACAAAGGAGGCGAAATAGTAAACGTAAACCATACCCACTAACCAGTGGATGAAGATGGAGGTGCCCGGTGCAAGTTTGAAGTTGACTTCGCGGTCTTTTAGTGATGCATCGAACATAGCTAGCGAGCATATGTCCAGCCACCAGCCGCAAACTAAGGGGAGTATACCAATTTCTACCACGGACAACATGGCAACTTTTACGACCACATAACACAGGCCCAAAATACGACGTGCCCGGCCCAACCCAAATAGCGCCGCAATTCGGTGGAGAACCACCAGAAACATGCCGACAAGACAATAGCCCATTAAGGTCGTTAGTAACCCTTCAAAGTGACTGGCCGTGGCCGGTTCGCGCATTCCCAAAACGGAAAGTGCCAACAGCCCCATATGATAGGGGCAAAAGGCGAATATTAGTATAAAAAGTGTATTCAACGAAATAACCCAGAAAACATGCTCAAGAAACACCAACGACCCATCCAGCCCTAACAGACGTTCCCAAGTCAACTCCTCAGCCGCACGGTCCCATTCCATTGGGATCCAATTGTTATCATCCCCACCGTTCCCATCCCCATCCTCCTGAACTTCGGGGGGCTCCTCCGCGTGCTGCTCGATCACATTATTCTGATTGTTGAGATTTTCAATCGGATTCTCTTGAAGAACTGGATTAATCACGTTATTATTCGCATTTACGTCATTCTCCTCATCTTCCCTAGGTAAATGCTCGTCTGCGACAGCTGCCGCCGCGACCAAATTCTCCCGTTCAAGCCAATCGGGCCCGCCCCCGTGCAAAATCTGCTCGCGAAGCCAAACCAGACCGATGAAAGCGAACAGCGTGCATGTCACCACAAAACAACCGTGAAACACGTCCGATGCAAGATTCTCGGTCGACAACATGTCAAAAGGTAATGCGAAAAACGAATCCAAAGATCCCGCAAATAGACAACGATATATTCTACAGGCGGTGAGCGGAACAATTCCCAACCACGCAATTGCCACCAACGTATAATGCAGCCAGTATTTCACAGCTGTCGCGATCGACGACAAAAGTCCGCCGATCACGTCCTTTAAGGGCAGTCGCCGCGGCATGTCCGGCGAATAAATCGGCGTAAACGAAAATCGGTGGCCGCACAGTTCACAATATTCCTTTCGAGAGTACCTCATCCACTGCATTAAACACTCCTGATGAATGTACTTGATGCTGCCTGTGCAAATACAGGGATGAAAGAGCGGCCGTTCGGGCATACCTTCCGAACGACACACTCGACATATGTCCATACCACTTAGATCCGGATCCATCATCTGTTAAAGACCTCTAATTAGAATCTGAATGTTAATACTTCACTTACTTTTCTTCAATTAGAATCTCAATGTCACAGGTTCATTACAATGAGCAGTCTTGATTTTAGTCGTTGAGCAAAGTTGCTTACATACGAATGTTACAATTTTATGTGAGAAATTACCTTCATTCAAATGCTGTGTTTTAATTACAATTATAAAAACTCAAGTGACAGTGACACTGACAAGTGCCAAGAAAACAACAGCTGATTTGATTTTACAGCGCCACCGCCACTACAAAATCAATGGACATGGTTACCATACACAATGACGATGTACAGGATGCTTCACGATTTTTCTGAGAAATACGGAAACTGTTAAATGTTTGATTAATCATTGCTTATTTAAGAGTACTTGGTTTCATTTTTTAAAAAACAAACGTTTGCACATCATAAGGCGTATTTATTAGGATTGCTTAGTCACAGAATTAAATAATAAGTAAGAACAACTTGGGAAATTTGACTGACTAGTGACTACACCCTGCAGGTATGTGATTGGATCATTTTAGAAATTGGACTAGTTGCATGCGTTTCTAATAATTTATGTTTTTAATCTTTAGTCTTACGATAACCCTGTATTTTTATATGATGCAAGACGTCTGACCCTAAGTAATAAAGTAAGTAAAAATTGTCTCAGATCGACCCGGAAAAAAAATTTTCTTATAGAATGTGGCCTGTAGAATCCATAATTTCAAACAGTTCCAAGATTGGGCTACTAGTTTAAAAGTTACAGCCCTTTGAATTTTCTTTCGAAATTGGTTTCTAGTCTATAACTTTTGATTGAGAAGTCTGATCGAAAAAATACGAATTGTTTTGGATTCTACGCACCAAAATTAATAAGAAAAAGTGTTTTCCCGAGAAATTTTGGTGCAGTCAATTTTTGGTAAAAAAGGAAGGTACACTGCCTTTTTTTGAGGCCCTCAAGTTACATCTCGTTAACTGGTCAGTATGCTAACATGCTCATGCACACAAAGTGCAGAAAAAATCTAAAACTGGTATCGCACTAAGCCAGAGTGGACGTTATGACCAAATTTGAAATTGTCTGGGTCCCTATATATCTGTTATGCATCTGATGCTCAATAGTTATCAAAGTGAAAAGTTAAATGCACAAAAAATGGGGACCTTGGCAGCAAGATCAGAATTATAAACACCAATGGCTCCCCTACTACGTCGCCGTTGAACTTGAATTTTAAAACAAAAGTAGGTATAATGGAAAAGCATGATCTTTCTCCTTGCTGGCAATTGACTTCCTACTATTGTTAATTTATTCTATTGTGTGTAAATTGCTTCCTGTTTAGAGTTACGAAATATTATTTAGGTACTTTTATATTTTTATTCTAATTACAGCGCAGTACCGAACAAGTGTTACAGCAGTTCTGCAATATGCTCTATTTACCTCTTATTACTCTATGCTTCTTCACTGGTGCAGAATGTAACTTTATTACAGACTACGAGAAGCATTTTGGATCAAAAACGCCGTATCGAGCTGTGGAAAACAACAACTTGTCTACAATAGAATTTGAAGGTAAGTTCTTTCAATGCCTTCGAGTCGCACCTCCCACCTACTGCTTAGGTTGTCAACCTACAAAAATATGGTACATAATTCGACATGGTGCAAGAACCCCTACCAACAGAGTTTTACTCAGCATGAAACACAATCTTCCTCGAATCGCACAGATGATCATCCGCGCAAACAGTTAGTAGGTACTAGTTTAGACAAAGTACAGTACAGGAGCAAATTTTAGACTATAGTAGCTTTGCGCATTACATTGACGAATTAAAAGGATGGAAGCTTCCATTTGGAAACGGAACTGTTTTAACACAAGAAGGAGGTAGAGAGTTGTTTCATTTGGCTTCACGAACACAAGCCAGATTTCCCACCCTATTCCCAAAAGAATACTCCAAACAACATTATTATGTATCTAATGTGAAATGGAAAATAGATATTCAAAAGACAATTTTAGTTTCAATACACGGATGCCGAAAGAACCCTGTCAAGTGCACTTAATTTTACATTTGGATTGTTTGGTAATGAATCTATTAAAGTGGAGTTTCCAATACCATCACCCGAAGATCCTATTCTAAGGGTAAGTAGCACGCTGTAGGCTTAACCCACGTATTATGAAAGTAGTTTTATAAAGCGTGCGCTCGTTGGAAAGAGGAAGTTGAAAGCATGACTTATGAGGAGATCGTTTTATTTCGCGAGAGCGATGTTGTTAAAAATGTCATAGCGTCAGTAAATAGAGCATTGAATCTGAATGGAACTCTGACATTTGGTAAGTGCCGTTATTTTGTACTCGTAGTCTTAGATTGGTCTTGTGCAGGGGATGTCGAATTGATGCATAAAGCGTGCATACATGAAGCGGCATCTTTCAAGTATTCGGTGTGGTGCGCTTTATTACCATTTGACGCAATTAAGGTAGGTAATATGACCTCACACCACGGACCTCAAATAGAGGTCCGTACCTCACACTTTATTCGAACCCGAGCTATTCAATAGAGTAAAAAATTATTCTGAACTTATTTAAATGAGCGAATACCTATTGCCTTTTCTACCGTTTTAGTGGGGGTGGGTAAAATCATATTTAAAGGTAGCAAAAATATAAGAACAAAAGTATTTCTAAAGTAATTTGCTCTTTGTTTCGCGAATATACCTATATAGACCTATTATATTTATTTTCAGAATTAATTTTGAAGAAGATTTTTTAAATGTAATCAGCTATATACACTGTGCCGAGATAAGAGGACCGCTATGGGAATTCTAGAAACGGTAAGAGATACAAATTTGGATAAATGGAAGAAAAGTTGCGCTTAGAAATCCCTGACAAAATTACTGGTTCTTACTGCGCTTTAATAAGGTGGCATTGTTTCAATACAGCGTTTTGTATTTGTGGAACCGTCTGCAACTTCAACGTGTCGCCACAACTGTATAATGAATTAGGTACTAATTATGTCTATGGGATTAACAAATTAACAACTCCATTTTAAAGAGCATTAAAAGTTGTTGTGGAAAAGTGTCATTGGTTTTACTCTAGGTCAATTATTAAAAAAAAGATCGTCGGTAAAATCGAAACCACTTTTTTCAAAAACCAAAAAATGTTTCACGGATTTCTAAACACTATCTTCTTAGACGTTTGATTGCGCAACAAATTTGTATCTATTACCCTTTCTAGAATGCCCATAGTAGCCCTCTCCTCAGTCCTCATCTCAGAACACAAAATCCTTGTAGGTTTTTGAGTTTCAAAATTCGTTAGACAGCTACTTCAAAAATGGGTATATGTTCGAAGTATCCTATAAGCAAGCTTGTTCCTTATTCAACGAGATGATTGATCACTTCGAAAAGTAAGATGCATTTTTTAACCAAAAACACTCTATTGATTTCAACCACAGTGAAGACACTCCAACCACGGCTGTATATTTCTCACACGATGGAGCATTATTAAAATTCTATGCGCATTTAGGTCTTTTTAAGGACGACAATGGCTTAAAGTACACAGATTACAAGGAAGATTATAAATGGGATGTGAGTAAAATAGGTCCATTCGCAGCAAATATAGCCTTTGTTATGTTCAAGTATATATCAACACATTAGTTTATAACATGCACTATACTTCATGTGTTTTAGATGTGCTTCAAAAGAGAAGGTTGCAGTTTTATTCAACGAGAGACTGATCAATTTGCCCAATTGCGGAGAATTGTGTGATTTTGAAACGATTAAGATGCAGTACAATGACAGCATTCGTAATTGTTCGTACAAGAAAATCTGTAATATCACAAAAGCATAGTTTCCCAACGTTGTCATAATTTCATAAAACAATATATGCATATATAGGTATTAAAAAATGTTCAGGTTTTATTTAAACTATGGCAATCAACCTCCTATATCCTAGAATTACTTTTTTAAAACAAAAAATCTGCACTGAACCCATCTAAAGGTTTTACTAAAATAGATCTGGTTTAAAAATATTGTAAGATTCTTCTCTCATTGTTTTTGCACAATCCAACTTTAGCAAGCCTGGATTTTAAAAAATTATTTGTAAGAGTGCATCAAAAAATTTCCTAAGCAAATTTGCTTGGTGGATTTAGACCTGTAGATTCAATAATAAAAGTTAAAATTATCACCAAAATTAAAATACTACTTGTCCCATATAGCAATGTTTTTAATAGATTTAGTCATTGGTGTTTAGTCCACTAAATTCCTCATTGCGTGACGGATTTTAGGAAAAACGATATTTTTAAGAAAATCAAACGATTATCGGCTTACCGAAGGTCGATAGGAATATAAATTTTCGTAATAGTTTGATCTGTAGAATCAACCAATTACTAACGGATCATTTACCATGAGGCTATTGTTTAAAGCTACTTAGAGATTTAGTACTTAGATATAGGTGTAAGTGTAGCCATAGTAACAAAACATTGTGAATATTGTTTGCGTTAAAAATGTCTCAGTTAATTCTTATTTTACTGATGGTCCTCTTTGCGTGGGATACAGAAGGTGATTTCATAGCAAATTATGAGAAGCACTTTGGATCACAAACGCCATACAGAACGGTGGAAAATAATAATACAACCCCAGTAGAATTTCCAGGTAATTGTTCTTTGAATAACGGACGCGTAGGTGAAATTTGCGATTTTAGGATGTCAGCCCAAAAGAATATGGTACATTATCCGACATGGGGCCAGGGCCCCCACCAATACCGTTATAGGTAGCATGAAACAAAATCTACCTCGAATTGCACAAATCATTATCAACGCTGAGAGTATAGTCTGCTGAATATAATACGCATAAGTTCACAGTTTTTGTAGGTATCACTTTCTCGCCCCAAATTGAGGAATTGAAAAAATGGAAACTACCGTTTGACACGGAAGCTGTCTTAACAACGGAAGGAAAGAGAGAGTTGTCATCCTTAGCCACACGAACTAAGGCCAGATTTCCAACACTTTTCCCCGAAGTGTATTCCAAAACACACTACTACGTAACTCCTAGATTGTATGTAAACATGTCATACTGTGCATTTCAGTTTAGGCACACCAACGTTGCAAGAACGCAGTCAAGTGCACAAAGCTTCACATTTGGATTATTCGGAAATGAACACTCCAAAGTGGAATATGCTACTCCACCACCCATAGACCTCGTTCTACAGGTCGGTATAGTTAGGCTTAATAAACCCTGAATTGAGTAGTTTTATAAAACCTGCCCGCGTTATGACGAGGAGGTTGACAGAAATGTCAACAAGGAGGCAGTTTTATTTAGCAAAAGTGAAAGGGTGAAAAACGTCATAGCTTCAGTGAATGAACGTTTGAATCTCAATGGAACATTATCATTCGGTAAGCAATTGCCTTTCATTTCCCATCTGAGATTAGTGATCGTACAGATGATGTCAACTCCATGTATCAAGCGTGTGTATACGAAGCAGCATCATATAAGAAATCTGTGTGGTGCTCTTTGCTACCATTTGAAGCAATTGAGGTAACTGCCTTACAATGAAATGATTAACCCAATGAGAATTGTAGATTTACGACTTCCTAGACTCTTTGAATACGTACTATGAAAATGGATACACGTTTGAAGTAACGTATAAGCAGGCGTGCACTTTGTTTAAATCAATGATTGACCACTTTGAACGGTAACAAAATAATATTTCAAGTGCAACTACTTAAGACTTGCAGGAAAGAAGATGGCCCCATTTGTAAGGTCTATTTCGCACACCACAGCGGAATTTTAAAGTTTTATGCACACTTGGGCCTTTTTAAAGATGGTCACCATTTAAATCACACTGATTACGAGGGCAGTTATCAATGGGATGCCAGTAAAATTGGCTCTTTCGCAACTAATATAGCCTTCGTCTTATATAAGTAGATATTATGCAATTTTTACACAACATTTTTATTGCCTTTTAATGCTTCTAGTTGTTCTGGCACTGAGAAAGTAGCAGTTCTATTTCAAGAACGCGTTATAACGCTACCAAATTGCAGCGAGTTGTGCGATTTTGAAAGTATCAAGCGGCAATACAAGGACAGCATTAACAATTGCATGCACGATCAAATCTGTAAATAGAGTGTGTAAATATAGGCAGATTTTAATTATTAAATAAAGTAGCATAAAAGGAAATGATTTATTTTGCACTCGGAAAAATCACATCCGAAATATACTTAGTATATTCTTTGATTGAGAAGTCTGATCGAAAAAGTACGAATTGTTTTGGATTCTACGCACCAAAATTAATAAGAAAAAGGGTTTTCCCGAGAAATTTTGGTACAGTCGATTTTTGGAAAAAAAAAGGAAGATTATACACTGCCTTCTTTTGAGCCTCGAAAAAAAATGGTCTCAGATCGACTCGGAAAAAAAATATTCTTATAGAATGTGGCCTGTAGAATCCATAATTTCAAACAGTCCCAAGATTGGGCTACTAGTTCAAAAGTTACAGCCCTTCAGTGGCGGTTTCTCAATAAGTGCACATGAGCACGTGCACTCCCAAAAATCATTTTAAAAAAACGAAAACAATAACAATTCTATTTATGTATTTAACATTCTTGCACGTTTGTATCTCGCAATAAAAATAGTTCACTTATCTTATCTGAAATGCAAAACCTAACGGGTACACTGACACACCGCTGAACGTGTATTAAGAATTATTCCCATTCCGCCTTCCTGTGCAGTGCACGATTAGCTACGATCTCTGATTCGTTCAAACGCTACGTCGCCTTTCCCCGTGCGCCCCGCGAAGGTCCAAGTTGTAAAGTATAGCAAGAGCACACTCTCATTGTGTACCAGTATTCGCCGGACTGCGAAGTAGAGCGTGTTGATCGTTTCGGTTTTAACAAGTAACGTTGCGACGTTACCGTTCATTATTTAAAGACAATTATTAAATTCAATTTACTAAAATTAGAAGATCAAATTAAAATAAAAAATGCGGGTCGCCCAAAACCGAGTTTGGAAATATCGAAAATCAATAAAGGAAGAATAAACGATCGTTTAAAATAGGCATGTATGAAAAACCTGACTGGTTATGCGGTTGTACCTTTAACAATAGTCTATTGTTTTCCGTGTTTGTTGTTTGATGATGAGCTCGGTGATGAGGCATCAGAATGGACAAAGAATGGCGTTACAGACTTAGTCCATTTATCCGAAAAAATTAAAAAATATCAATCTTCAAAGGCACATCATATATCTGCTAAATTGAGATTTAATTTATTAGGTAAGCAAGATATAAGGCAGCAGTTAAATAGTGCATACCGTTTGAGTATCGAAAAACGTAATGAGGAAGTAAAAAAGAACAGGTATGTTTTATCCAAAATTATAGACCGTATAAAATTTTGTGGTGCTTTGGAACTTTCTCTCCGCAGCCATCGAAAAATCGAGAAAATTCAAATCAATCAAATCAATACGCTTTTTTATGCCATTTAATAGGCCCAAAAAACTTCGTGTTGCGGTGACACTCAAAAAATTTTCACCTCCGGCTTTTTGCCCGTGGCCCCATTTTTAAATTGTGCACCCCCAAGACACACCACTACGCGCCGCCACTGCAGCCCTTTGAATTTTCTTTCGAAATTGGTTTCTTATAACCCTTGATTGAGAAGTCTGATCGAAAAAGTACGAATTGTTTTGGATTCTACGCACCAAAATTAATCAGAAAAAGTGTTTCCCCGAGAAATTTGGGTGCAGTCGATTTTTGGAAAAAAAAGGAAGGTTGTACACTGCCTTTTTTTTTAACCTCGAAAAAAAATGGTCTCAAATCGACCCAAAAAAAAAATTTTCTTATAGAATGTGGCCTGTAGAATCCATAATTTCAAACAGTCCCAAGATGGGGCTACTAGTTCAAAAGTTACAGCCCTTTGAATTTTCTTTCGAAATTGGTTTCTTATAACCCTTGATTGAGAAGTCTGATCGAAAAAGTACGAATTGTTTTGGATTCTACGCACCAAAATTAATCAGAAAAAGTGTTTCCCCGAGAAATTTGGGTGCAGTCGATTTTTGGAAAAAAAAGGAAGGTTGTACACTGCCTTTTTTTTTAACCTCGAAAAAAAATGGTCTCAAATCGACCCAAAAAAAAAATTTTCTTATAGAATGTGGCCTGTAGAATCCATAATTTCAAACAGTCCCAAGATGGGGCTACTAGTTCAAAAGTTACAGCCCTTTGAATTTTCTTTCGAAATTGGTTTCTTATATGTACATACCGTAAAAAATTTCCCATAATATATTATTCCTAGGTATATTCACTTAGAAAAGAGAAAATTTACTCTGAAGAAAACGCACGTACAAGCTCACCTCCCACCTAATAAAAATTCATACTCATGAAAATCAAAAGAGTCAACACAAACAACTTCTAAATTTGGCACTTAGAGAGGGAACAATACTAGATGCCCACTGTAGTACAGCATTGATTCAGACCAATGCAGTGAAATATATGAAAACGAATTATAGCCCTAACTAAAACACAACAGCCAACTTATTATTGTTCACCCCCTCACTCTCAGTTGATTAGTCGCCTCTTACGACACGCAGTGTCTCTGCGGTAGGGGTATTCTACTACCCGCCCCTACACGGGGAGTTTAGATACCAAAAAGCACATGCTTTCACCTAACCAAATCAAAAAATAATACAAAGCAGCACTCCCAAAAGGGAGTAGTATTTTGAAAAAGGTAACAATACTGGAACCGTAAAGGATACCAGAACTTTCAGCATGACTTTTGTCCATGAAGACCTGTAGGAAACTGGGGCGGCACCTACGTCAACAGAAGAGGTACCAAATTCATCTAAAGATAGCATGGGAGAAATTCATTTAATACTGAAATAAACTATAAATCTACACATAATGTTACTCTGGTTTCTTTTTAAGTATACAAATTCCATCAAGGGTCGGAGCCAGCTGCTCATACTGATCCGTGGCCAGCTCGGCCCTTTCGCCCGCCGCCAACAGCATGGGGGTAGTGTGCGTATGAATGCCCGATATGGTCTTTGGCGTTCCCGCCTTTCCGACGATATCGACCGCTTGTCCGACCCTGACCGTGACAAAAAGCGGCTCCAGATTCTCGTCCAAAGTTAGCAGCCATCGCGGGTACATGGCGCCGGCAAGTGCGAACAAAAGATAGTGGTTACCACCGGATATTACGGAACGGACATCGAAAAGTGATATGAGAGGAATTAGTATACCGGCCATGGAACAAGGGTCCATCAGTAGTCGGTCGGTATGCATGGGATTGAGAGTTAAAGTTCCCTTACCCAAATGCGCGAGACCTTGCGCCAAACGTACCATAAATAGTTGCGAAGGGTTGCGCTTGTGGAAGACTGCCATTTGTCGTAATCCAGCCGACAGCCTTGCATTGTTGGTGCCCGCTCCGACGATGCCCAATGAAAATATTGCACTACAAGACACCTCCTCGTCAGTGTCATGGGCGTACTTCGTCAAAATATCGATGATTGGTAAATGAGGGCGGGAGACGTATAAAAGAGCAATCGCCAAGGGTACAGCTCGCCTGACTCCCAAGTCACCGTAACGACCCATATCACCCAGGATTCTTTGACACATTTCCCCACCAGTATCTTCGCCAATTGCGATTGCCGCTACCGCTACAACTGCGGCGGCTTGGGCCACGCCTGTATCATCATCCTGTCTAGCTTTCTTCTTATCTTTCGGGGAGTTACTCGGGGTGGGTACGACAATACGATTACTCATGATCTGGAGCAGCTCTTGAATAATCAAGACATCGCCAGTTCCAGCATACGCGCACATTTTTAGTAAGCATTGTGCAGTGGTTTTGAACGGTTCAGCAAGCACCTCCAACGCGACGATAGATGTATCTATGGCATCTTTGCAACCCAAATAACACAATCCCAATCCCAATACGATCATCCTCATATCTTGCGAGTTCGATGGAAAAGTTTCACGTGCATCGACCAACTTAGTTAAGATTGCGTTGACGACACTAAAGTTACCACTACCGACAGCAACTAATCCGCATGCGAGACTTGCCACGGCAAGATATTCAACAGCTTGGGCGTTTTCTACAACTGGAACCAACAGCGAAAGTACGTCGTCACGATTGCTGCCTATGTAAGCTAAGCCGAGTCCAAAAACCGCACCGGTCAGTACTGCACCTTTAGCATTCATATAGTCAGATAAAAGCGCAAGAGCCGGATCATACTCATTTCTAATACGACAATTGACAATGCCCAGCGCCAAAAGCGCGCCACCTTTGATGTAATCCTCTTGAATGTACAAATACTTGTCTATAGGTGAAAGACCTCCGTCGACATCCCACATATACAGCAAGCCCAACGTGGCAGTTGCGCTCATCATTCCGTAGTCCTTGTTGCGATAAATCCACCTGTGGCCGTTATCCAAACTCACGAGCTTATCCTTCCCGAAGCCCGCATTCACGAAGCCGTTAACGAAGGACGAGGCCAAATTCTGACGCGCGCTGTCTAAATTCTCGCCGAGTATCAGAGTTCTCGTTAGCGTCGGCTCCAGCCACGTCTTGTAAACTTCCTCCGGAGTTTTCGGTTCGGCTACATCCAACTGTGAGGCAAAGTCAGCGTTTCGTACACATTATTTTACATCTCACCTCTCTTGCAAGCATTGCGAAGTAGGTGCTCATTTGGGAGTTATTGAAGATGGTGGCCAATTCTTCGTAGTCGTCTCTGTCGGTATCAATCTCGATAGGAAACAATTGCCTAGTTGCAATGAAGGCCATTTGACGCAGAGATGATCTGAAAAAGGAATCTGTTAATAATAGTAATTGGTAATCATAGCGGTGTGTTGGTGACACGACTCGCCCAAATTATAACTATACAGGGTCATTCTTGACGAGCGTCAGTTAGAAAGATATGGAAAACGTTTGGAAAATTAAGTTAAACTGATAAGTCCTTTAAGGGTTTTGGCACATGATGAATTGAACTAAAATATTTTCAAGATGGCGCCACTTCCGGAAATAGCGGAAGTAGCCTTCAACTTTGTTATTTTAAATAGGGCCCCCCTATTTTTTCTACATTTTCGAATTCTACGTCGAATTTGGAGTACAACGATATCCCATAGTTGACCCTTTGCTCCAAGGGCTTCGCCGATATTCAAGTTTTTATGTCAAAAATTGAATTTGCAGGGGTAACTTTAAAAATTTATTATTCGAAAACGGTTGGAGATATTGCAAAACAGTTTTCAATGCTTTATTAAGAAAAGATCGAATTTTCTTATGGTATACGAGATCGTCTAAAAAAGTGAGACTACGTCACTTTTTCAAAGCTCTCAACTTTTAAATTTCGGTAACTCCATTTTTTTAAATGGCACCCCCCAGTTTGTTCTTCACCGTTGTTTTCCTTTTTCCCAGACCTTTAATTTGATACAAAATGTCAAAAGCTGCTTCAAACGGTTTCCGAGATATTCCATGTTTGAGTTACTTCTTGTGGCAAATTGATAAAAAATTTAAGTCGCTTGATGTTATTCTTTTGTTTTTACTATGATAATGTTTAAACGTCAAATTTTCGCTGCTTGAACTTATACTTCTCGTCAATAATGGCTCGTTTGGGTTACACTAATGAAGATTTTTTGAATTTAATATTAATACACGGTGAATGTAATCGAATCGCGACGAATAACGGTATGTTTCAAACAAAAATACAAAAAAGGAACCCTGTGGTAGACTCTAAAAAACAAGAAATAACAGCTGCACTGGCGTATTTTGCTGCAAATCCAACTGCATCGCTTAATGATTCAAAGAGAAATTGACAAATCTTCATTAGTGTAACCCAAACGAGTCATTGATGAGAAGTATAAGTTCAAGCAGCGAAAATTTGACGTTTAAACATTGTCATAATAAAAACAAAAGAATAACATCAAGCGAATTAATTTCTTATCAATTTGCCACAAGAAGTAACTAAAACATAGAAGATCTCAGAAACCGTTTGAAGCAGCTTTTGACATTTTGTATCAAATTAAAGGTCTGGGAAAAAGGAAAACAACGATGAAGAACAAAATGGGGGGGGTGCCATTTAAAAAAATGGAGTTACCGAAATTTAAAAATTTAAAAGTTGAGAGCCTGTAGTCTCACTTTTTTAGACGGTTACGCATACCATAAGAAAATTCGATCTTTCCTTAATAAAGCATTGAAAACTGTTTTGCAATATCTCTCACCGTTTTCGAATAATAAATTTTTAAAATTACCCCTGCAAATTCAATTTTTGACATAAAAACTTGAATAGCGACGAAGCCCTTGGAACAAAGGGTCAACTATGGGGTATCGTGGTACTCCAAATTCGACGTAGAATCCGAAAATGTAGAAAAAATAGGGGGTCCCTATTTAAAATAACAAAGTTGATGGCTACTTCCGGTATTTCCGAAAGTGGCGCCATCTTGAAAATATTTCAGTTCAATTCATCATGTGCCAAAACCCTTAAAGGACTTATCAGTTTATTTTCATTTTCAAACGTTTTCCATATCTTTCTAATTGACACTCGTCAAGAATGACCCTGTATAAAATTACCCATCCGTGCACTCGTTGAAAATTCTGTTAGCCAAAGGCCTGTCGTTCAATTGTATCGCCAAAATTATAGCTTTGATGTGCTCATTAAATTTTAGATACTGCCCGATGACGATTCTCACAATTTTGTTCGCCTCGATCTGGTCGACGTATTTCGCGCAGCAGGATAAGTAGAGGCAGATTCGCGAGTAAGTGCTCTCGTCGACAAACTCGGGCAGCATTTCCAACTGATCTATTTCCATCAGCAAATCGCACGCTTGTATTTCGGCGTGATGCGTGCAATCGAACTTAATAATCGACCTGATGAGAGACATGACGTTTTCTGTGGGCGAAGGAAAAAGCGCCCATTCTTCGACGATTTCCGATTCTAACTGTCTTATGTACTCGTGGCCCCAATCTTCAATTTTTCGAGTACCTTTAAAAAAAACAGTACAACTGGGAAAAAAATTGCAACGAAAGCTTTCTACTAATGTTTACGTGATTTCAAATTCATGTTGAACAGCACGCATTTTATAAGTATACATTTTATAAGTGGATGCTCATCAAACACAAATTGAAAACCAAGGTCTTTTGTACTTGCAGTATCACATAAGTCGCGATAAAGGCAACTAGAGCATAGTTTTAAACCTATAGCAATAAACAAAGCAGTAAATAAAAGGTCAATAAATGTATAAAATATCTTGAACTTTACCTAACAGGCAATAATGCAAACAATCGTGCTTTTCCTTTGCAGAATTTCCACCTGTCGGACACATAGCCAAAACAGAGACGATATCCGCACATTCGTTTTTCACCCTCGGATCGGTGATTTGATCGTACGCTTCCTTAAAAACGTTATAATACGGAGACAAATACTTGAGCGGTTTCGGTACTGAGGTCATCGAGGTTGTCGATGATCGAATAATTGCCTTTAGCATGTTTAAGGTAGGAGGTATCAATTTGGGATTCGATCCCTTGACTTTATCGACAAGTAGATGTAGCTCGTCAATTAATTCCTTGTCGTCCGCTTCCTAAAAGAAGAATGTCAGCCCTTTATTACAAACTATTTACCTACTTCTCTGTATGACGTTAATGCACCTTCCATTTCTATTAACTTTGTACAAACTGCAGCAAATTTAAGTGACAAATTTATTTAACAGTCATTCAAATTTGTGTGCTTCAGGGTTGCAAACAAAGAGCGAAGAAAATCACCAGATTTTTAAGTTTTGCCGCGTCCTTTTAAAAATTTAAACTGCATTTAAAGTTGCTTTCCTCATTTATGAATACACCAAATTTTAACGAAAATCTTGAATTAATTGGCTGCTCTCTCACCCGCAATAATGTAAACCTTTTTTCCAAGAACATTAAAGAAATTACGAATTTAAATTAACTATCCTTACACGTCCGATGCTACAATTATTGCATACCTATAATTCGTTTTGATGCGCAAATAAAAACGCAATCTTTCACCCGAACAGTGGATCAACTTCTCTCCCCATATCCCAAGGAGGCATTGGAATTCAAAGTTGTTCCGATATCAACCTTTTAGCTTTCCTTAGTTCAGTAAAATGCAAATAAGGTTCTCATCAACCTGATTCTTAATAACACTGATGAAGTTGAAATTGCCCTAGAGACAAGGAAGGTGCTTGTATATGAACTAAAGTCGTATAAAGACAAGTATCTGTTACCAAAATTCAGATCAATAGTGCTTTCTATATAATAACTACTGCTGTAAATATAGATGCGGATACAAGCTTTTTCGCAAAGACCGCGGGGGTGGGATAAGTATATTTATGTTAAACCAGTCTATCAGAGTTGTGGTACGGCAGGCGTCGCGTTATGTAATTTTACCTATATCAGTGCTGTATATACAGCGCCTATCCCTTAAACCATGTTGACTTCTTAAATTTTTTTGAGTCGACTTTTTCTGAGGAGCAGCACAATCAGCAACTCTGCAAAATCACAAAATTGAGTAGAAAAAAACTAAAACTAACACAAGAGGGCAACAGAGACAGAACAAAAGGCAACGAAATAGAAAATGATATACGGAAAACCAAAAAGCACAAATAAAGATAGATATGTAGTACGAATTGGAACATAAGAACCATGCTTGCTCCCTGTAAAATGGACGAAATCGGCAAAGAAATGAAGAATTATAACATAGGGATCCTAGCAATACAGGAGGTGAGAAGGAAAGAGAAAGGAAAAACAGACAGACCACACTACACTCTTTATTATAATCAAGGCAGTAAAGGAATATAGGCTTTATGGTGAGCCAAAGCATGGAAATAAACACTACATTTCAGAGGGGTAAAGAATCGCTCATCTAAGAGTAGGAAACGAAGTAGCCAACATCACTACATAATTAATGTGGAAATTAAAAAGAGGAGCAAGCAATATGAAAAGAGAGGCTGAAACCATCGAAGATGAATGGAATAACATAAAAAGAAGCATTGAAAATACTGCAGACAAGGTGATGGGAAAAAATGTAGGAGAGAAGAATCGGTGGTTTGACACTGAATGTGAAACAATGATCCAGAATACGACGGGCGCAAAACTAGGAAAGAATGAGGAGCATAAAAGGTATCAAGGATAAACCAGGAAAGTGTACAAAACTAACAACAGGAGAAATGGATTAGGGAAACAATGGAAAAGGAACATAAGAAAAATAACAAAATTTATAGGCATAAGTATTAAAAAACAAACCAGAACTAGAAATACGGCAAATATACAGTCCGAGGAATGGTTAAAACACTTCAAAAGCCTCCTGCAAACGAGTGTTGAAATAGAAGTGGACGAGGGTAAAGGGAACAAACAGAACAAAAGGTTGTTTAAAGTTAATCAAGGCAGGAGGAATGGACAATATCGATTTAAAACAAATTTAATAATCCAGATATTGCACAAGGCGATTGGAAATGGGGGTTATTAGGGTCATTACTGAAGAAAGGCGACACAAGGGTCCTTATGCACAAATAACAGAGGAATTAGTCTCCTAACACCAGTGTACAAACTCATGACCACACTGAATTGATGACTCACAGAGCAAATAATAGATTACCAACAAGGATTTAGTAAGGGCAGATCCACATATTAGGCGATACATACTGTTGGATTTCAAAATTAATTTAGAAGCGAGACACGGGGAAGGAAAACTTGAAGTACTTAGGGGTTATAATTACCAACAAAATGAAAGAACTCGAGAGATTCTAATTAGCATTCCAAAGCTTTGTAAATAATAGGTCAAGTTCCCCTTTGAATTTCCCTGGGAATAAGTCTCTCTTCTATTATCCATAAGGATCTGAATTCAATTTTCAGAAGGTCCATAAAAAAATGTCAGTGTCAACCTAAAACTAGAAAAATGAATAAGTGAACATTAAATAGTGATTATATATTTTTCATTTATATACAGGAGAGAAAATTCACAATTATTCAACAGTACAAGATATTTTTTGTTCAATTCAAGGCAAAGAATTTGTTGGAAATTGAAATTTATTAAGACTTGTACATAATTTTTTTGACACTGCACAAACAGCAATAGCCAAAAAATCACCTTCACAATTTACTTTAGAGTATTTAACCATACAATAATAAATCGTTTCGTAATACATTTGAAATATTAATCACTTCACTGGACTGGTGGTATATAAAAGATCTATCAGTGCTACATATAAGACATTTACTTTAAATAGGAATTTACTACAGATGAGATTAAATAGTTTAAATGTTGGTAAAATTGACAAAAAAATTAATAGCTATATCTACATAAAATGACTTCAAACAAATTTATACAATCGTTCAAACCCTTAACTGATTATATCGATATCATAGTAGTAGTGTACCTAAAATGCTCGTATTGCAAGCTAATAAGAAGCACTAATGTTAAGTAGATTCTAACAATTCCTACTATTACAAATAGACCTGTCTCACAAATGAAATTTCGCTAATCAGAAAATATTTACCATTAAATCTAAACTGTAAACTTCTTTTAACTAAAATTAGCTATAATTGCCACTTCAAACTACGCTAAAAAACTTTTTACAATAAAATTACTTCAGAATACAACAATTCGCGCTTCATTTGAATTATAAAGAAAAGCAAAACGACAACTTGTAATATTTTTTGTTTATTTAAAGCGTTTTTTTTTGTGTAATTTCACTTTCTTCTCTCTCAGTAGAGAAGCATCGCCTACCGACAGGCCATTGAAGCCATGCAAGTCCTTTAAAATATTACCAAAACATAAATAACACTCGAAAGAATTCTTAACGACACTCCCATACTTTTACCGTTTGATCTACGCTGCCCGATATAACGTACGGGTGTGATTTGTGGAAATCTACAAAAAAATATTATTAGCGAGATTATCAAATTTCAGATCGTTCAATTAAATCAAATGACCCTGTGTATGTTCACCGACCCAGGTTTGGAAATGAGAAAGTTTGGGATTTTCAAATGATTTGAAAAAACTGAATTGTGACACTTGCTACAGTGATGTCAAATCTAATTCTTACACCAAAATAAAGACGCTATTCTGTAGTATTATGACGAGGATTGGAAACAATTATTATTGGTATAAAGAGCGCCCAAAAACTTTTGACTTGAGAATCAGTGCCGGATTATAGAGAGTCTAATGTGTTCTGATTTAATCAGTGATCCGATGCACATAATTTCATATTCTAAACAACTTTTCCTTATAACAATTTGCTGCATTATTGACCAAAATTGCACTTTATCTCAAAATTATTTTTTTATCAATTGCTACAGCCATCTTGGATTTTAAAAAGCAAAAATGTGCTTGAAATTCTTTTCACACCAAGCTCAGGCTCTCAAAACATCAAAACGAAATTCAAACATTTTTAATCAATTACACGTATAGTGAACTCAATTCGAGGACACACTGTATACAGTGTGTCCCAGATAGCGTGGGATTGCATGGGTAACTGTGTTATTATTAAAGATAGAGAATTGGTTAAATGGGTAATGTTTTGCAGTTTTGGATGCTTATTTAAAATTTTCTTATGGAAATTCAAAATGTCGCATAGGTGACTGTCTTTGATACGCTTAATTTAGAATTGATGTCAAAAAGAAATTCAAGATGGCCACTTTTGAGGAACATTTACCAACTTCCTAAAGTTAAATAGGCGCCATATTGGATTTTTAGATTACTTGATAGATTTTTAATTGTCTTTTCAACGAGCTATTATAACATAAGATTGAAAATAAGATACCAGTTATATTAACGGTTTTTGTATTTTAATCAAGTAGTCTGTGACGAATAAAAAAAAACAAAACAAAATCTATTCGAGGCAACAAACACATTTTTGCAAGCCCCAAAATTGGAAAAAACTGGTACAGGGATGACCCATTTGAAAATGAATGAGTGCAGAGACAAAAAAATCTTCTCATGTAACGTACCTAAAGATGTACAAAAATGTTTATGAGCCTCCAAAGTTTTTTGACAGCGCTTATTGCGAATGTCCCACACTCGAAGCGTTTTATCATCACTGGCCGATACTAAAAATTTACCGCCAGGATGAAAAACCACTCCTCTCACCCAATTGTCATGACCTGTCAGTAGAACTAAACAAATGCCGGCGCCGACATCCCATATTCTGCAATACAATAAATAAATATAAGGTACAACACGAAACCCGGCCAACCTAATGCTTTTATCTCGAGATCCGGAAGCGAGAAAAGGTCCTAGGTGCGCTCCTTTTTTATTATCGGCGCCGGCGGCTTCGTTAATGGCGGCCGCCGACGCGTCCGGCGCCCAGGCGATACATTCGATGACGTGTTCGTGCGCTCGTAATTCGGAACGACACTCTTTACTACTTACCATCCAAATTCGAACGGTTTGATCGTTGGAGCAACTTGCCAGCAGGGTTCCGTCGTGTGACGCCCTGACCATTCTAACCTGCACAATGGATTGAGATCTAGCCGACAGTCGTCATTATCAACTTTACCCAATCTCGATGGCCAGAAAACGTTTTGACACAATACCCAGTCTGTACTTCCCACATTTTTATAGTCTTATCCCTACTCGACGATATAACGAAATCTCCGGCAGGCATAAAGGACACACTCGAGACATTGTGATCGTGTCCGAGCATCGTACGTATGCATTCGTAGGATTGCTGAAAGTCCCATAACTTAATACTCATATCCGCGCTGCACGAGACCAGATATTTTCCCGAAGAGTCGAAGGCAATGTCTTGGATGGAATCTGTATGGCCCTTTAGCGTCCGTTCGTATTCGCCCGTTTCGAAATCCCAAACCTTTATTGTGGCATCCTCGCTCGCCGACACCATAATACTGAATATCGGGTGAAAGATTACACGCGTGACCGGCGCCCTGTGACCTGAAACGTCGACGGTACACTTACGACGAGATCGTCTCAAGACCTCTCACCTGACAGGCAAAACTTTTCGGGAGGTCGAGGTATCCACTCATTTGGACTTCGTTTTCCTCTGGTAGGCGCGCCCTCGATGTATTCCTTCTCGGCCTCATTCAATTTCGACTCTAATTCCATCACTTTCTTTTGCAACCGAATCACGGAAGTCCATTTCTTTTCCAGCAGACCTCCGAATTTGCGTTCCACCTCGCCGGGCATGTCGGCTTCCTTTTTGAACGCCTCCAGTGCGTCCATATACCCATTGCTTCCCAAATAGTCAGCGATAGCTTTATTACTGGAAAAAAGACATCACTTCATTCAGACACAATGATAGGCGATGTTGTATTTTTGCAAAGTAGGTAACCTGAATGTGATGTTTGACAACATGTGAAATATACAGGGTGTTTCTAAATATGATGTAAACTCGGAAGGGGCTAATTCATTTACTTATTTTATGACTAAAATATAAGCATCGGTTCGCAGGGTGTTAAAATTTCAAGAATTTTTGTTTTTTCTTTATCTTCTACAGTTTTTGAGATATTGCGCTTATATCATTGGTCATCTCAATGGTGGTGAGAATCTACACTGTGTTGTTTTTTCAAGGATCATGTCATGTCATTTTCGATACCTGAATTTTTTTAATCTGTGATCGTTATCGAGAAAAAAAATTAAAGCATTTTTTGGTAATTAGCTGAATAAAAATATAATTTTTAAAATGGTCCAGTAGGCCCTGGCCTTAATTGGATAATATTAGCTAATATAAAAATATTAATATTAATAAAAATTAGTTATAACAATTTGCATTGAAAATTTATATTTTTTTAAATTTAAATTGTGAAGTGTACGGTAGAACTATAACACACTGTAGATCGGTAACGAAACGTTTGCGGACTTAAACTTTTAGTCATAAAAATTAGCCCCGTCCATAGTTACATCGTATTTAGGAATACTCTGTACTGGTTGACTTGCTCTAACCAATAGTTAGTCTGACAACATGGACTGGACAACTACCCTGCGCGCTCGAAGCAGCCCCAACGGGACCAACGAACAAACCATAGCTTAAAAACTTGCATAGATATCTCGATCTTGATTGCATAATTTGAAATTTGTCATTAAGGTGTGTTTTTGACTCCAAAGGCGGAGAAGTCTACATAAACAATGGGGAAGGCCTGCATTTTCAGTTTTTGGCGATATCTCGGTTATTTTCAAGGATTTTCGAAAAACTCCAAATGCGTTTTTTTTAGTCACAAAAAGGAGAAGCTTTGTCCCCATTTAACCTGCACTGTATCTGTCACCGGTACGGAAATCCCAATAGTGAGTCACATATTTGAACCACCCTGTACATGGACAGCACCTGAATTTTATACTGAGAGGTTTAAAAACGGAATTAAAAATGTTTGCAGATGGCCCAGTGCAGATATACAGGGTGGTGACTTGCGTAACGCATCATAGGGATTTCAATGTAAAATTCATAACGTGCGATTATTGGCTCCCCAAATTATTTTAGAGCAAAAATGTATTAAAGTTTTTTGTAGGAAATATTTTTTTACGTCAATCAACCGTATTAGTTTTCAATTTTTTTCATATAAAGACGGAAAATTGGAAAAATAAAACATCTTTTTCAATAATCTGCGATGCCATGGAATTTTCTAAAACAAAAAGATATCCAGTTATCAATTAGCAGCAGTTCGAAATGGATTTTATGATCGACTTGGTTACTGTATTGCAGTTAATGGTGACTTTCGCACATTTATTGTAAATTGTTATATTAGGAAACCGTTTTTAGTAATTTGATCTTTCTTTATGTTAAATTCGCTGTTCTAAATATAATACTTTTTGATAGAGTTTGATTTGTTTCATAGCAGACATTCCATGGCATGACGGATATTGGCGTAGTTTTTGTATTATAAAATTCCATGGCATCACAGATTATTGAAAAAGATGCAGGTTTTATTTTTCCAATTTTCCGCCTTTATTATGCAAAAAATTGAATACTAATACGGTTGATTGACGTAAAAAAACCTTAACACATTTTTGCTCTAAAATAATTTGGGGAGCCAATAATCGCATGTTGTGAATTTTATATTGAAATCCCTATGATGCGCTACGCAAGTCACCACCCTCTATATAGTTATCATGTGTTACTTATCGCAGAAGTCAAAATAAACCTGAAGAAACTTAAGACTGCTAAACATATAAATAAACAATAGTTGAGGTTAAAATGTGTGGATAAAATAGAGATTGGCTACAAGATGGCAAAAAAAAGTGAAAAACATTATACAGTGTGATTAACAAAAGAATGAGAAATTGGTTGGGTCACTAAAACCATAGTACTAACTTCGAATTGTGTAGGAAAAATCTATTAACCTCAGACGATTAGTGGTTACTGACGATTGTGGTTTTCGGTAGTGTGATAGCAATTTAAAGGTCAATTATTTGTTATTGTTACTACTGATATACGATTATTTAGTGCACTAAAAAATCACCCTCATAAAATCTAAATTTTCCCAAATTGGGGTTGTCTGTGTAGAAAATATTTAAGATGTCTTTTTTAGTGCAGATACACTGATGAGCAAGGGGGACTGCCGCTGACAACAAGAGTTATCAATAACAATTTCTTATGCCATTCAGTTGATATAAATTACCTCGTAAATTACCCAGTAATGACAAATGAAATAGGCGACAACTTGTGATCGTTTAAATTACTTCATTACAGCTCGATTTGTTTTTAAATTCCAAATATGTGAAACAAAGTAGTTATAGTTAATAACTAAATCAGCAGAGTAAAAGTGGAGGATTAAAGTTTAAAGGTAAACTGTAACTGCTTTGCCATTGAATAATGCATTTATGGTCAGTTCATGCATTCTTAACACGGCCACGAAGTAATTTTCTTATTGACTTGGGTCTTTGTAATTAACCAAGTAATTACTTCGGAGAATTGTTATCTCATTGTGCACTTATTTTTAGAACAGGGCTATTGGAAGTAGTTCTACTGAATATCCTTAAGCATCTTGTTTTCTGTGTCCTCAGAGAACACGTTGACAATGTTGAATTCCAAGGCAGCATCTCTACGTGTACCAAAACTGTGACTAGGTAAAAAGACATTTATTGGGAACCATTCTTGTAACATTTTGTTGCAGGTTGCAAGTGATGCAAAGTAAATGAAGTGAGTTTGGAAGAGAGTCAAAAACCATTCTAATGAAGTGAGATATGGCAGCGAGAGCAATTGGATTCCATGAGCCAAAGGAGAGTGGGCTACACAATCTTCTATTAGGTTGACTTGTGCCCCTCCCCTTGTTTGCTATGACTAAAAATGAACAAGAAAATTGTGTAAAACTGTAATAAGTAGCTAAATCACATTAGGTATTAAATTAAAAGTTCGAAATGCTTCTAATACACTTCACATTACGAGCTCTACGAAACTGGTAGCACACTTCCAATAGCAGTGTTCAAAACAACTTCATTGATGTATACAGTATATCCATCGTAATTAATTCAAAAAATGTAATTGCACTTCTGGGATAAGTGAAATAATAAGCTATTTTCGTTTTAAGGAAATACCTGTCACAAAATTCAGTCACTGAAATTATAAAATTAAGAATAAATGTCGATTTGCTATGGCAATGCAAAAAAAGTTTCGCGTCCTTGAAGATTAGGTGTATTTTGAATGTTAATGACATTGTAATTTATGTCCAAGCAATTACTGCGAATTTTATAGTAATTTCCGCCTCTGCCTTGATTTGTATCTGTAAACAACTGAGCAACTCATTCATATGAGCGCCAAAATCAATATGGGCGTTATGACGTCACCTTCATTTTCACTGTCAAGGGGAAATCACCACATGCAGATTGCACCTTGGACCAGTGCACTATCAAAACAACACAATCTGGGTTAAATAAGAGTTGGTGAAAGTTTCACATCGTGCAATAAAATAAATTGGGCATACATCACAAATCGGACAAGTACTTACAGCTCCTCTCGCTGGCGTTGAGACAAAACCATTTTCATGATCAACTACCGTAGCTCTTAGTTCATCACCTGCACAAAAAAAGAGACATTTTAATCCACATTCCCCCCAAAGCTCTTTAAATTAAATTTCGCATATCAATCAAAACACAAGGTACCCATATAACCTTAAAAAAATTCTCACACATCTGTCACTTTCTAAATTTCTTCTTAAACTGCCAAATACTTTCACTAATAATCATCTTTTTTAATTAATTGATACTATCAGTTTAGCAAAAGCAGATCGGTTTGGCAGGGATTTTAAATACTAAATCCATTTATCAAAGTTCACGAGCATAAGAATGGTAACTTTTATCAAAAGGCGATAAGTTCGACTAATGATTTTTTATTATTTTAAAGTATTCAAAACTAAAATCAATAGGCACGATTAACGCAGATATTTAAAATGCGTCATTGAACCAAAGAACCTTCAGAAGCTGACAAAAAGTTAGAGATTATGTAAAGTTACAAAGAAAACTTGTACAATCATCTAATAACTTTAGATTAAAGATACTTTATTAAATACACCCCTGATAAAATCAATACCAGCCATTTTGCTAAAAGTTGTCAAAGAAAACAGCATCTCAAAAGCGCTTTACGCACAGTTCCCCAGGACTAAATACTTACAGTTTAAGATTCGCAAATTTGAGTTATCCGAAACTGGTAGAACGTTCGATATTTTATCACACAAATCCGCTTAAATTGGGAAAAAACTGTTAAGAACTTTACTACGCGAAACAAATTCTAAAAGAAAACTGACAGACAACTGCAGGTGTAGGCGTACCAACTGATTGATTTTTCGTTCCAACCTGTCAAAATGTGTATCGCCAACTTCACATTATTGGGTAAAGGTTAATACACACGACAAGTGGAACTAAAGCTGGCTTAAAACTATTTCATGTTTGTACTTACAGATAAATCACAATTGCTATAAACTTTTCGTATACTGTCCGTCCCAATCTAGACTAGACGGCCTTATAGATTTATTTATAGACCTATATTTGGAAATAACAAAATTATACAACACTTTTTAGAGCATTTTCAGTGCTCTAGTACTAGGGTCCCTGGTTTCAATACAGGTTTAGGCAAGGATACTTGTAAATGTAGTGGGTTGGGTTGATAGAGCAGCCTAGGCTGAAACCCCGCTACTTAAAAATAAAGACCAAAAATAAACAAATAGTGTTTGGGAAAATGATCAGAACCTTTTCTCCAAAAAAGGTATTACACTAATTAGTATAATAGCCTTTAATGGAACATTACAATTAACAAAAGTAATAGCAGAGAATAATAAAACTAATTTGTTTCAAATCATTTTATTACTCTTTTAATACACTGTTAAAGATATTGAGTATTTACAATTATAGACAAAGAAACAAAAAATTAAATAATAAATTCTATATATAATATAAAACAATGAATCATTAAGGGCACAAAGTACATAAATACACAAGTTAAATAAATCTAGTTAACATATGCTTTTTTTTTTACACCAATTCTACGTTACCTGAACCACAAATGATCAAATTTGCAGTATCGCATCCGCAGATAACAACTTAACTTTAGAAAATTTTGTACATAGTAAAATCACGTCGTCGATATTGGCAATCGTACATTCGCAAGAATTAAGAAACGATTTGCTAAGAATTTTATTGTCTATAACAAAAATGGCTTACGAAAGAACATTAAGGATAAACTTATTGCCTCATCATTACGTTGTCTCGTTAATCAGTTTGACACCGTATTTGTAACAAACATAGAAGAATATAAAAAGTATGGCGGTCAGTCAAGAGAAGTACTGACTGAATATTAAATAAAGAACCATAAACACTAAGGGGGCCATGTAGCAAAACATCATGTTGTACGAGCGATTGCATACGTTTCGGTACTGGCTCTGAATTGTGACCAGGCTTCTACTTAATGACAGCCTTTCATCGTTTATTGATGCAAATTTTTCTTTTAGCGTGACCAGTTCCTCTTCGAGCGACTTAATTTTTTCATATGTGCTTTCATCGTTTGATATGTCTGAGTTCACAAGCGGATTCACGTCCTGCCTCTTCTGCAACTGATTGTAGCTCTCCTTCCATTTCTGTTGATAAATACTCAACTCTTGCTTTAGTAACATGCATTCCTCCCCTTTGTCGATATTAATCTCCTTTTCTTGAGCGAGCGTGCTTTCAAGCATCACAATCTTATTTTTATTAACAATGGCCTCCTGTTGCAAGCATTCCAGTTGGTTTTTTAACTTGTTTTCTAAAGACTGAAAGTGATACTTTAACGTTTTTGAGTCTATCTTTCCTTCTTTACAATCCGCATCCTTTTCCTCATCGTCGCTAGGATCTTGCAAATCGTCCTAAACAAAGTTAATGAGAAATCTATGCAGAAACCGAACGAGACGCTTACATAGTCGTTTTTTGCAAGCTCCGAGTTGGCGGCGAACTCCTTCTCGTTCTCTGAAAAATCCGTCAGCGAACGGTCGAAATCTCCCATAAGCGTAGTGCTAGTTGTATCTATGGAACCATCGGCCACCAATTCGGTATCGCTAGCGACATCCGTGCCTGTATCCGTTTCCTCTCCGTCGTTACACACCGGGGCCACCTTGAGAGGGTACTATATAGTGCTAACGGTACAACCATTTATCGTAGAAGCAACGCCAAATTATGTTAGAAGCGTGACATTTAAAACAATTGGTCTTTGGACTAATCTGTAGTTTTCATTTGTTTATTCTTGAAAAGTAAAAAATAAGTGTGAAAATGACTCACTCTTCAGTTTTTACTTAGTTTATTCAATTTGTTTATGCACATTTATCATTTCTGGTAATAAAGGAAGGTTATACACTGCCTTTTATTGAGGCCCGCAAAAAAAATTGTCTCAGATCGACCCGGGAAAAAAATTTTCTTATAGAATGTGGCCTGTAGAATCCATAATTTCAAACAGTTCCAAGATTGGGCTACTAGTTCAAAAGTTACAGCCCTTTGAATTTTTTTTCGAAATTGGTTTCTAGTCTATAACTTTTGATTGAGAAGTCTGATCGAAAAAGTACGAATTGTTTTGGATTCTACGCACCAAAATTAATAAGAAGAATTTGTGTACCAATAACATGTGATTTTGAATAATTTTATTATTATGGCATAAAAAAACACATTACGGGCCTATTGGAATACAGTTTATTTTCTTTTTACATGCTTCATATCCTTTATTAGGGTCAAAATAACACAAGAAACAATAAATATAGAGTGCGGCCCTTTGAATTTGTCTAGTCTAATCGTTTTGGCTTTAAAGAGCGTCAAAGTTGCAAAATGCGAAAACTGCCCCTTTAGAGAGCGGCGCTCCGAGGCTCGCCGCTCCCGAACTGAAGTTTTCCCACGAAGCCCACCACGGCAGAAAAACGCCTTCTCCACGACCTTGAAGAAACCATTTTCAAGCTACGATTTCTTTTCTAAATTTTTTCATTTTTTTGCTTCTTGCCCTAAGTATTGCTACCGCCGTAAGCCATACCTCGAACCGCGAATTTCTAAACGCGCACCTCCACGGCGACGCTCCCCAGTCGCAATTATCCCAGGTACCATTTTCTCAGAATTGATCCAAATTTACTTCAAGAATGTCTCTCATACAAATATCATCAAATTGATGTACAAATTAAGAAATTAAAAATAAAAATCGTATTACATTCAAGAACTGTGGGTAAAAATCAACCTAAATAAGAGTTGTAGGAGCCATATATCAACCGGCGAAAGGCATTACTCAAGTTTTTGAGCTGACATGTCTGTGAGGTCTGATCAGTTATTTTGTCTTGGGGATTTTAACATCGATTATTGTAATCTAAGTATACACTTGTATTCTGTAGTGCATTTGTTAAATCTCAAACATTGAACTTACCAAAAAATTAACGTAAATAGTGTCCAGAATTTATCTTTAAAATGTGTACTGCATAGTAAAGACCAATCGTTCCACATTCCACGCTGATAACACAATTTGAGGTTTTCTTATATGTACCATTAGCACTAACACCCGTCGTAATGACAAACTTACCCTTAAGTTGATGTGATTCTGTTCAGTGTTATTAGCGTTGCTGTAATCCATTTCGCAGTTTTCCATCTCACTCAACATTTGCTCTTTGCTTTTCATGTCGTCCGTATAAATTAGGCTACACTTCTCCAACTCTTCGATCGGCAGTAACTCTTTCATCGGATTCGGTACCAACAATTTGTACTGTTCAAGTTTGCTTTGTAGGTCGGTAACTGTTTGGGATTCCGTTTCTAACTTGGTTTGTAACTCGCGTTCTCGTTGCCTCACTTGGACACGTTCCTCCTCCAATTTCTGCTGTTCTAACATTAGCTTATGCGCCAACTCCTACAAGATGTAAGTGATCACGTGTTAAACTAACCGAGCGTTACCTGCAGCTCTTGTTGAACGTGAGTCAACTGATCTTTGGCGAGCTTAAACTCCTGTTCGGCAGTTAGCTTTGCTCGTTCCTGTTCGCTCGCCGTTACTACGGCCTCCAATCTCTCCGCGTGCAGCTTGTGTAGCGTGTCTTTTGCCGCAATCTGATACACGGTTCGCTCCTCCTAACAGTAGAAGTTACGAAAATCTATAATCGACATTACTTTTTTACCTGTAATTTGTTGAGTTCTTCCCGCAGTCGATCATCGCTAATATTTTTGTTTACTTGCAAAAGTTGATTCTCTAAGGTGGCAACTCGAGATAGAAGTCTTTCCTCGCCAATGTATGCCTGAAGAATATTAAAATACATGTTCAAATTATACTGGACAGACTCCTAGTGGTAGCTAAAAAAATAATAATCGAAATTGATTCAATTGTTCCAATTCTTTTTGAAATATATCGTTCAATATTATAAAAAAATCGCCAGCAAAACCAGAGAGTTCATATACAGGGTGGCCATTTGAAAATGAAACAGAGCCTATTTTGGGAACCTCAAAACATTTACGAAAAAATCCTCGGACCCGTCAATTTTTGATTCAAGGGGGAACCATTTTTTTGCTAGTTTCGCCCCCCTAAGGGCAAAGCCCTAGCGGAGGTGACATGTGCTCCCAAAATTTTAAATCGAATGGGGGGTCGAGTGATACCTTATTTTGAAGGTATTTTGATGTGGATTATAACCCTTAAGTTTTAAATCGCTACTAATTTGCCTAGCCGATACAGGGGCTAATAAAAGTTAAAAATGTGTCAACATTTTCTTATTAAAAAAATGCTTGTAAATGAATTAGTTAAATAACAAAAATTAATACAATAGTAAATACAAAAAATGTTGTTCTCCTACATTCTGAACCGTACTTTTTGTTGTTGTTTTTTTTCTTTTTAATACCTGTAGGTGGCTATGCCAATTCTGCAACGAAAATCTTGGTTATTGTTGAGAGCGTTACTATAGCAACATTTTGAAGTTTAATAGTGCTTGTCAATTGTTGTCAAATAATAGTAGTGACAAATACACACCTGTCGCTATTGGGCTGATTCAAATCCCAGAATATTTCGTGAGGTGCATACACAACGTTCCGAAAAATTGAATGTTTGGGCTGGCATTTTTGGTAACCATATCGTAGGCCCCTTCTTTTTACCTGGCAATCTAACAGGATAGATGTACTTGAAGTTATTAGAAAATACGATTCATCCAGCATTAGTGGAGATACTAGAAAATTACGAGTACTTGGAAAATCGTATAGTATTTCAACAATATGGTGCGCCACCCCACTATGCTGCAAGGGTTCGTCAATATTTCGACCAAACGTTTCCAGGACAATGGATTGGACGAAGAGGAGCTATTGAATGGCCTCCTCGTTCCCCAGACTTAAATCTGTTAGATTTTTTTTATGGGGACATTTAAAAACTAAAATTTATGCTAGTCAGCCAACGCCGCTAGAGAACTTGCGACAAAGAATAATTGATGAATGTCGTCAAATCACCCCAGAAGTTTTCCAAATGTACGGGAAAGGTTTGAACAAAACCTGTATTATTGTATGGAAGTCGAAGGCCAACATTTCCAACATTTACTTGATTGATTTTAACTTTAAGCACTTAAAATAAAACTGATTTAAATCTTAAGAGTTATAATCTACATAAAAATACCTTCAAAATAAGGTATCACTCGATCCCCCATTCGATTTAAAATTTTGGGGGCACTTGTCACCCCCGCTATGGCTTTGCTCCCAGGGGGGCAAAACTAGCAAAAAAATGGTTCCCCCTTGGATCAAAAATTGACGGGTCCGAGGATTTTTTCGTAAATGTTTTGAGGTCCCCAAAATAGACTCTGTTTCGTTTTCAAATGGCCACCCTGTATTTTAATCTATTTTGGTCAATATCTCGAGAATTTAAAAAAGATACTGATGTGGGATTTTTATTGAAATATTAAATATGTATTTAATTCTCGATTTTATCGTGTAAAAAATAGGTAATACCATTGCATTTAATTTTTACAAGAAAAATCATAGTAAAGTATACTGCATTCACTATAAGAAGGTAGTAGATGGCGCTATGTTTGAAGATAAACACACACAGGAAAAATATAAAACGGCACCAAATTAATTAAAATTAAGTTATGTTTCAGTGTAATACTGACTTATGTTTTAGCCAATCACATTGAAGGTCAAAGCTTTCTACCGCTACCTTCTTAAAATGAATACAGTATAGTAAGTATCATAGTTAAATTTCAATTAACGCCCTCTAGTGACCACAGCAAAATTACCAGGTATAAATAAAAGCAAATACGCTGTTGCTAGGCCAAATGAAGCTCTCTTGAACGCGACCAAGTTTGCTAAAATCAGTTAAGCCAAACTTGAGAAATGAATATTTATGTCCAAAAACATTTGATTTCCCCCCACCACTTTAGTTCACAAGATAGAAAAAAAAGTAAAACAAAAAAGAATCGGTATTATATCAACATTAAAACTCGGCTATCTTTGATACCACTTTATTAGATAAAATCAGGAGAAAATTGATATTTTATATTTGCCCAAGACTGTTGCGCCCCACAGTGGTCATTTTACACACTTGAAAATCATTTCCAGTAATCGTGGCCACATTTGTTCCTAATTTTTTACCAGAAAGCTCTGTCTACTAGTTTCTGAGATATGGCCGACGGCCATTCTTATTTGACCACAGGGTACTAAATAATAAATATGTAATTGTTAAAAAACAGCAGAGCCGGTATCGTAAACGACACCACGTAATGTTGCTTACAATACTCTAAGTGCACTGTAGAAAAAGAAATGCTGTTTGGTTGTCATATGCACAAATTATCTTCATTTACACTATTGGCAGATCGTTCTTTAGCAGCAGCCTGGATTCCTTAATAAGTATGGATTAGAGGCTCACAAATTTTGTGCGTTACCACTAGAGTGAAGGATCGTTGACCACAAGGTGTAGCCTAAAGGACAAAGGTTAGTTGTTCTAATTTCCTGGGGCAAAATGGGGAGGTCTGTAATCAACAACTGCATCTGTACTTATTCAGGGTCACTATTGAAGATGAGGAACTCTTGCTCTGGTGATCATTGCTCGAATTATTGTTAGTTCATAGCACAGCACACTCCACAAAATTTTTTTAAGCACCATATTTGGTGGACGTGACTCATGAACCAGTGAATGTTATGACCAAAAATAAACCACACGCTGCTTAATATTTACCTGCCAACTTTCATCGGACGACCGTCTAGTCTCGTCGACAATTTGCTGCAAGGCATTCAACTTATTCTCAAGACATTGCTCTCGCTGACAGGCCTCTTGAATAATTTGGTTAAGTTTGTACAATTCATCTAAAGGGATTAGACCTAAAAAAGTGAGATTTAATTATTTTATGGTAACAATTAGTGTACTACCCGCCGTAACAGCGATATTAATGCTGTCGGGTCTCATACTTAAATAACTCATTCTGATAGACGATAGCTTGATTGACTAAATTGAAAAAAATGCCGGCTATCTTTAGGTGGTTACATTTTTAGATAGCGTTATCAATAATAAATAAAGAAAATTGATTGTGGCAGTAAGTACTCCTCAAATTGTTTATAAAATTGCAACCTAAACAGGAATTTAAGTGCAGTGCAATACTATCCAGTAAATTTCTAGGGGTCAAATTACGCACATGGCACATTTTCACATCCTGTAGGTACTCGGATCAAGTTACTTACCATGCCTACTATTCTCTGTAATGCTTGGGCTCGCTTTAGCTTCTTTTCCATCAGCTAAATAAAGCTTAAGGGTCGCGACAATGCAACAATGGGTAACTTTATGATTATTTTCTACTACGTCCACTCCAAATTGAACTAAATCGCCCGAACAAACCTCATGCGGTTCCGATTCCGAACTAGACAGTCTGTTGTTATTCACAAACGTACCATTACTACTTTTAGTATCCTAAAACACACCACTTCGATTACTGCTCACATTCCCAGTTCCACACAAACCTGTAGGTAAAATTTTCCAGAATCGTACCAGAGCACGGCGTGATGACGTGACAGCACTTTACAATCGAATATGGCATTAGTGGCAGTCGCTCTCGCCCTAGCGACCGATCGTCCCACTTTCACGGGCTGATCTAACGTAAGTATCCGCTCTTGAAACGGATGCGAATTTGGTCGGCAAGTTAAGATCGCTTTAGCACTCATCTTATTCGTTGTCGGTATTACCATATCATTGTTGTTGGCAGGGGTTGGGTAAGTTGCCACATTTTTCACCCAACTCCCGCTTACAACAACCATTTCCTACAAAGTTCGAGTTACAATACTATTTCGGCATTATCCGGACATAACATGTTCTAATTAGGTGTTTTAAATTATCCCTTACCTCATAGAGACTGCAATTTAGTTAATTATCTCCAAAAACTGGTTTATTTCAATATTTTTGATAGAATGTCAAAAGTAGGTGGGCGTGAACTTAGCCGCTAGCTGTTTTCTTCAATCCCTGTACCATTAATCTTTCCGGCATCTTAAATTTTTTATACGAAAGCACCATTTATTGTAAACATTCGGCGTTGGGCCCTGAATTTTTCCATTGTCTTAAACGTACAATGGATTTTAATTAATATAAATTAAACTATTTACAGAAAATATGTTCAGGGAGGGGGAGATGTATTCAGGTGGCAACAATGCAATAATATTACTATTTTTAATGCTAACTTCATGAACCTTTGTACAGGGTGGCTCCACAAAACTAAATTGTGTATGAAGCTGAGACCTTGAATGTGACCCGTAATTATTTATGAATGCTACCGTTGTTATTATGTTCAAGATTTTCAAAATCTTAAAATACATTTAAAGTACACTAAAATGTCTTATCGGGAGATAGAAAATGAAGCAGAAGAAAAAATTTTGGGCAAACCAACTGTAATACGTAATGCCACCGACTTGCAAAGGCTAAAACTGGAGAAATTAATGAAACATCCTGTAAATTATAGGTTATATCCCTACGCTTTACCTCTCCTTCTAAATTGTAGGATAAACCGGTGCTTCTCCCCGAAAAACCGAAAGACAGAGGAGTACCGATAGTGCCGGAATTTGTTCGAAACGTAATGGGATCGAGCGCCGGTGCCGGGTCGGGAGAATTTCACGTTTACAGGCACCTGCGAAGGAAGGAGTACGCACGGCAAAAGTACATGAGGGAGAAGGGCGAAAGGGTGAGTAATGTACAAGCGCGATAGCGAGTTTCATTTGTATTAAAATTAGGATCGATTAGATGACGAGTATCATCAGAAGTTGGAAGATAACAAGAGAAAGGCGGAGGAAATGACGGCAAAGCGACGAGCAAAAAGACTGAAACGCAAGAACAAGAAAGGCTCTTCTCAATCCGTGAAAAAGAGTGAAAGCGAGGAAAGCTCGGAGGCGGAGAACGAGGGTGATGAACGAAGCTGTAACGAGGATAATGAGTCTAAAGAAAAAACTGAAAGCAATGCCAGTGAACATGAGGAGGGTGTGTCCGAAAATGAAAGTGAGGAAAATGCCAGCGAAATTGAGAAGGATGTTGTTTGTGACAGGCCTAAAAATGAAGGTGAAGAGGAAATTCAACAAAATCCCAGTAAAGATGAGCTGGATGGTGTTTGTGCCAAGTCCAAAAATGAGAGTGAACACAGTGTGAATGAAGGTGATGATAAAAATGATGAGCATAATGAACTGTAATTACTTGCTAATTTCTGTTATTTACTTCTTTCTGATAGGTATATAACGTTTTATTTGAATGGAAGTAATGTCATAATGATTGTATATAAAAAATAGTAAATAGGCTTCTAAATCGTTTATCTAATTGTTATTACTTTATCAGTTTTATTTTGGATTACCATTGTTTTCGTATGGACCCTACAGAAAGTCCCGGGATTTTTTCTTAATGTCCAAATGGGCTATGTATACTAAAACTAGTTGTCAGGTAAACTCCTGACTTGACTTTCCGACTACATTTAATAGAATCATTGCAATTATCCTGGTCATATTATAAATTCAATGGTCATAGTATAACATTTACAAAATGCCCTCTAGCGCCTTTATTTTGCACCTGATGCAGAAAGTGTACAAGCCTGACTGTAAGCAACCGGCACTACAAGCAACAAACAGGAGTTGTTTTTACGATTCATATCTATTTGCATCTATTATTTACCATTGTTTAAATAATTAAGAGTAAACCCACACTAGGTTTCAATTAAAGATGTTAGTACCTACATTTTCAAGCATCAAATTAGGTCCCTATTATGTAAATGAATGCTTATATAACAAACCCTTAATTGTTATTATCCAATTAATAACGTTTAATTCGTGAGAAAATATCTAAATTCTACTCAAACGCCGATAGTTTCTCTATTGAATAAATAATTTTTTATTCAATTGTTTTGACCGACGTTGTTGAACGTCATTTGTTACTATCAAAAACTACTCAATATTATTTATTACAAGAATATTTCCAATACATTATACATATACGGTACATACCTACTTTAATTACTTGCTTAGAAAAAATACAAACCGGCTGCATGTACAATTCTACGAAAACCGCTTTCACTTTAAATGGGCTAAATCTGGATTAGAGGCCGAGCTCTTTATTGTTCCCGTTGTAGACATAGTGCGTACCATTGGATACGTCTGAAATAAAAAGTGACGATATGCAATTCATTTTGGGAAGACTTACGGAGTAGAAAGTCTGCTTGGAATCGTTACTGATGCATGATAACACATCTTCGTCTTTATCGCGTCTTTCAATCTGAAGAACTGCATGATCAAACCTACCATAACATCATATAAGAATGTTCATAAAGGTCTTTTCACTCACGCGTGATTTATTTCCATTGATTGGCGTAAGTCAGAATTTTCTTCCGGCGATTTTAAGAACTTCCAACCCCCTTTTGTATTTGATCTGGAGAGCTGTTTGAACATCCCATGCTGCCTCTTGTCGCCCTTCTGTGTATTAATGACGCTGATTTCGGGAGAAAACACTCGTTTCACGCCTTTCTGATCTAATACGGCAAATTTTCGAAATTTTGCTTTATGTTTGTTCCAGCTATAGGTAAGTAGAAAAGACGTGATTGTGTTATTGAAAAGATTGTTATAAGCTTACCAAACACAAGATAGAAGGATTAAGATGATTAGTAGCAGACTAGCGATGCAAATTACAACGACGGTCCCTATAAACGTTATAATTGACGATTACAATATTGAAACCTTTCAAACTTACATGATTCCATCCATCGAACTGTCACGACCATTATTGAGATTCTGGTAATTTAATGCGCACAAATATCTCGATTGACCTAAGGTGCATTTATTATCACAAGAACACTATTGTGGTCAGGATAGATAAGATCCTCAACAATAAAGCTACGTATTACACCTACGTATAATTACTTTATAAAATGGATATTAGGTAGGTACCTATACCTTTTAACTAATTGCATAAATTTTGTTCAATTGAGCATAATTAAACTCAGAAGCGTAGCGTAACAATTAGCGACCCAAACTTTTTACAAATAAATGAGCTTATAACAGAATACGTACTTAGTTACAGCGCATGTAATTTCAGGCGGTTTTAATACAATTACCCCGTTGAAGTAATTTTGAACCACATTTTCAGCCTACCCAAAACCATAATTTACTCTATGCCAAAACCCATGTAGAACCATTATAGTTCCATCTCTCTGTGTGTTAGCTGAGAAGAACATCAAAGAGCAAAGCAAATATTGGGACTTTTTGAGACGCAGGACCGAATGATGACTGCATAGAGCCTTAGGCCTATAATTGGAAAGACAATTAAACAAAAACACTTACTCACACTCACACATTTACGGAGGCGGTCAATATTGAAACATTGCAAATGAAGGGTCGATCTTTCATGTTCTCGTTAAATAAACCTAACAGTGAATTTCCATAGAAACACGTAAGTATGTACTTAAATATTCATATAGGAATTTTACCTATATCGCATTAAATGTCCCTTTTTCGCAAACATTAGCACAATATACTATAACTGTTTTTTCCACAACTCGAGAGGTTGCTATACAACTGATGTCATAAAGACAGTAAAAATTCAAGAAGTTACGACAACAGAAAATTCCAACAATAATGATAATGTCAGCAGCAGGGTGGAAAAATGTGTGAAAAAATAGTTGAAGCTGTAATTGAAGAAAAGGAAAGTAAAGAAAGACAAGGGCTAAACGAACGCGCAAGTTAAAAAAAAGTTTGATTGAAACCTAAAAATATGTTTATGCAAAATAATGGAAAATTATTGAAGCCACACAGGAACCTTTAAAAAATAATTCTACTTAAATAATGAGGAACCGGAACTTATGATTCATATTGGCCCCAACTCCCGGCGGTATTCTCAAAATTAAACAAATTAAATGTGTTCTGAGGAATAGATGATTTTCCTCTAAATAAACTATGCGAATATTCCGAAAGTATATCCACCAGGTTATATTCATGTATGTTGTGGGCGCTGTGGCAAAGTCTTCTTTGAATGTAAACTATTTTTCAAAAATGAGGTAGGTACTTTTGAGAGATTAAGGTCAGGAAGGGCCCAGTGATGGCAATAATTCAAAATTTGACGCGTAGTAGAGGAAGTTGGCGTAGAATAGACATGAACGTAATGTGCGTCAAATAAACTTATTCTTTAGGAAAGTGTGAGCAGTGATTAGTAATCATATCCATATTTAAATCAGCTTTGTTTATTACATGAACAAACAAGAGGATTTAATAACAATGGTGATTATTGTAAATTGCGCTGCCTGCAATTCAAATATATTAAATATCCCACCCTGTAAAAAAAAAGCGACGCTGTCGCCATCTACACTACGAGTTAAACTTAAATGACAGCCGCAATCACGCATACGCAAACAGCCCGCAGATTGTCATAGGTATGACATTTCTAATAAGGTTTTTGTAAAACTAATTGTTGATAAATTTTAGTTTAACAGTAATAAATAAACAAATCCGATAATGTCGCTAAATACGGCGCATTTGAATGGCGGAGTATTAATACATTCTGGAGAATGGTAATTAACAATTTAGAAATTTTTTATTATAATCTCTGATGTCATTTTATTTTATTTACTTTCTCCGCAATTGTAGTATACTTCTCTTTTGCGACAATGTTACCATGGAATGGTCCGGACAGGAGACACCTATGTTTAAAGGTACCAAACGCGGTCGTATTTATCTGACGACGCATCGAATGATTTTCAATGCGAAGGATGCGAAAGAGCCAATGCAATCGTTTAGTTTTCCGTTTGTTACTTTAAGTGACGTAAGTTTCACATCGTAGCGATAATTGTTGGCAGTAGTACGGACGTAATTTGTAGGTGGAACTTGAGCAACCAGTTTTCGGTGCTAATTACATAAAGGGTAAAGTTCGAGCTCAACCCAATGGGAATTGGATCGGCGAGGCTAAGTTTAAATTGCTGTTCAAGCATGGAGGCGCTATCGATTTCGGTCAGGCGATGCTCAAGGCGGCCCATTTCGGTAATTTTCCACTTAAGTCCAATTAAACTTGATTGTTTCATTACAGCTACTCGCAATACAAATATGGCCGATGCACCTCCTCCATACGTTCCACCCGAAACTCAATGGTATGCGGCTCCACCACCGGCCTACCAACCTTCGCCGACCGGTTACTCCGGATGGGTTCCACCAACTCACGCGTTCCCAAATCAACCTCCTGCTGATACCGTGTTTATGACCGATGCTCCTCCACCATATCCCGGTATTAATAGCGCTTATCTTCCACCACCCGGTTACGAGGCGGCAGGATTTGCTCCCCAAGGTTTTCCTCAAGCTCAAGGTCATCCTCATCAAGGCTTCACTGCGTCTGGTTATCCTCAGCAGGGATATCCCCCTCAACAAGGGTACCCTCCTCAGCAAGGATACCCTCCTCAGCAAGGATACCCTCCTCAACAGGGCTATCCACCACAACCTGGACCTCATCAGGGATATCCTCCACAAAACGGTTTCCAACATGGACCTGGAGCGATGGGATTCCAACACATGAGTCCGGCAGATGCCAAAGCTGCCGAAGCTGCTCAGTCTGCCTACTACGATCCGAACAAGCCGCAAATGGCTTATGTACCACCGCCTTCTTATTACGTAAGTCTACAAATTATTTGGGTGGTTTGTACCAATTTATTATTTGCAGGAAAATCCACCAACTTATAACCAAGCTACAACTAAGAAGGACCAGTAGATGCACTTCAGTTTGTTATTGATTGTTGCCTTTATTAATGAAAGTATATCTAGTTTCGTGATTGTGTAAAATGTTTAAATATTGTTATCATTCCTTTTCTGTAAAAATATTTTTGTATTCTGTGTAAATATGTCTTGTACGTTGGAACATACTGTATATGCACAGGAATTACTAGGGTGTATCTTGCAAATTGCATCCTCACATGAGATTATTTAATCCAAGTATTTATGTCAAATTTAACGCATTCGCTAACATTTTATGTATAGATGAATAAAACTACTACTCTATTTTGGCTTTGTTTTGTATTTTTTAAAAGCTATGTATAGGTATGTTCCCCTGTAGATAAAATGAAGGGAAGTGTATTAACTGTGCCATTTTTTTAGAATGAACAAGAAAAGCCGGGCTTTTGTTTGAAGCTCTCATTAGGAACGTAAATTAGATCCTCTTCAATGAACTAAAGATAACTAGATAAAAAGGTGATTTATCTGAGATGGTTTGTAAACATTTTGATTAAGTATAGCTAGCTACATGTTACTGTTTTAGAACAATTCATTAATGTCGGAGTCTGCCCAGAATTTCTGGACCCAACCCAAATAGACCGGCATTGACTCAGTTGTAGTGTGTGATTATTTAACCCTTTGTATCGTCATTGGTCGGACTATCTTAAAAATTACCCAATCACTAGGTGGTTACAATATATTTGTGTACATACTGAATTAATCTAGGTAGGTACCTAATATTCTCTATAAAAAACGGTCCTATACACTTTTTCGCTCTGATAATTTTAGGGACATCGAAGAAGAAAAAATGTACTCAGACACTTAACACAATTTTAATTTTAAATGAAGTGCTTAATGCATTGAACTAGATACTCTTAACTGGAATGGCATCGCCCGTAAACAAACGATGCAGGGCGCCGTGACAAGAGAGATAGGTAGAGGTAGGCATACTTCATCGGCCCGTATGAATAAAAGTAAGCAAATGCTTATACTTGCAAAATTCAAAGTAAATACTCGTAATTGCCCCTTCATACTGGTCTGTTTAGCATGGTTTAGAAGCGCTGTACTGCGTCCTGTCTTTCTGCTTAGAAGCGATGCTAAGTCGCCCAGTGCGAAGGAGCACTTACGAGTATTTACTTTGAATTTTGCAAGTATAAGCATTTGCTTATTTTTATTCATACGGGCCATCGTGTTGCACTCACGTGGCGTTTATGCGTTTTGCAAAACAATGTGCCAGACAAGGATGATTATACAAACAACGTGCCAAACAAGGATGAGGATACCTACCACAGCCTACGTTAGGCGGCACGGGATTTTGGTAATCGATGCCGTTCCAGTTACAGAGTATACAGTTCAATGCCTTAATGTGACATTGACAAATTTAATATTTGTAGTTTGTAGTCAAAATGGGTACTATTTTCATCCATCAATACTAATACAATCTCGTAAACGCACCCTGTATAAAACAGACATTTGAACTACTTTCCATATGCGTCGGCATGGATACTGAGCCACTGCCTTTTTGTTTTTGTTTATTGTTATTTTTATAATTGTTCAAATTTAAAAATGAAACGTTCTAATGTTAGAATAATTTATGAAATTCCCTTAGACTTAACAGTCTCTTTTTGTAGAAATGGATTGCGTTTGATGTCGACACCGAAGTGGCGATGAAATCAAAGGAACCTGCAGCTGCAAGCTTTACAAATGTGGACACTCCAAAAAACCATTTGCGATTAAGTAACAGTTGTAGTAGTATCAATTTGATTGAGAAACTAAAGCCGAAAACTGTTGACACCTTAGCCGTTCATCCAAAGAAAGTTAAGGAGGTTTCGGATTGGCTCGAACGTAACGTGATTAAAAGACAAGTTGTACACCATTCGAATTGTGTATAATAGCTAAACGAACGTTTGTAGGCGAGGGTGCCCGTTCTAGTTCTAACGGGGCCGACAGGTGCCGGAAAGACTGCAACTCTTGACGTAGTTTGCAGGTCGTTAAATATCAATGTACGCGAATGGATTAATCCTGTTGATAAGGAAGTCGACGAAAGGTTTTACCAAGCACAGTCTGTGTGTTTTTTAGAATTTTTTAGTTTGGCAAAGTACAATTCGTTGTGCGACCAGGTTGGGGGTCACCAAGTGGCTTTAGTTGAGGATTTTCCAAATTTTGCGATAAATAACCCAACAGAGTTTGTGAATGTGTTTGAGTGAGTCTTAACTTGAGTATGTGTTTCCGTTGGTGATTTACATTTTCAGGCGGTGCCTTGGTCATCTTCCCGTGGTTTTTATTTGTACAGATGCCAGTAGCAGTAAACTGGATTTATTGCAGACATTATTTCCACAGGAAATGAGGGAGAAATATCGTATTGAAATAATCAGGTATTTGTACTGTAGTGAACGAAGTTAGTAACAAGTTTTGTAGTTTCAATCCAATCTCAGCAACCCTCATGAAGTCTGCTCTAAAACGAGCTCAAAGCTTTGTACAGAAGAAGTCTGATTTGTTCCATATACCCACAGCCGAGGTTATCGAAGCAGTAGTCATATCTGCCATGGGCGATATACGTTGTGCCATGAACCAGTTTGCTTTTGCATGTCTAAAAGGTGGGGCTCTTACGGTTTGAGACCATTATATGCTTTACTCTCTTGTAGGTGTCGGAAGTATTCCACTAGAAGCCAATACAACAATCCCTAAGAAACGCAAGAGGGGCGAGAAAACTGCAATAATAAAGTCTATGGAGAGAGATGAGACCTTAGGATTTTTTCACGCTTTAGGTAGGGTGTTAAATCCGAAACGCGACGAGTCCAGTCAACTATTCAAGATACAGTGTGACTTTGAGTCCCTAATCGATCAATTTAGTACCCAACCGTCTAACTTTAACGCATTTTTGCAAGAGAATTATTTGAAATATTTCGGCGATTTGGGAGATGTGCAACTGGCGTCGGACATCTTAAGCTCGGCGCAGCTATTTTTAGCGAACTGGAACGAACGTCACGAAATTATGTTGTACTCCTTGTGGGTGGGTGTTTTGGGTTTAATGGTTCATAATAGGCACAAACTGTCGAGGTGGAATCAAATTAGAGGCCCTACGAAACTAAAAACAATGTAAGTCTGCCCACTTTTGTTATTAACAATAAAGTCTACTCTTGCAGAACCAATACTTCTGGAGAAAACTTCGAAATGGGAGCGATGGATCATTTTTATTATAATAAAATTACCAATAGCGATAAATTCCATGTTTTTAAACTGCGTAATTAATTCAAATGTTACTGTTGAAAATAAAATGCTTTAGTCATTAGTTCAATAAGAAAAGTTTTGGTTAATATTCTATGGATTAAGTATCCATGAAAAATTACTAGTAAACTTGAGAAATGAAAAGTTATGTGACATGAAGCCGATTGTCCTATGCACCCCATACTTGCTCAAAAAAATCTGCAAAATTCAAGATGCCATGGTACCATTGAATAAGTATAATAATTACTTATCCAATGATAATGGTAATCGCATTTTATAGGACCTCGGCCAGCATGTGGAGTCACACAAGATAATAAAAAGCGTTTTAAGAGAAGGATATCAGAAATACAGCATGAATGTATCTGGTCAGCCAAAGGGCTAAAGACCTGCTGAAACTATTGGATATAAAAGTGTACATATAATATAATATGCTACCCTATTAGCAGAGCTGGGCAGAATACTTTCAAAAAGTATTTGAATACTAAGTAAATAGTAAATACTTTACACAAATCAAAGGTATTTGAATACTAAATACTTTTACGTCCAGCACAAGCGAATACTAGATACAGATACATTGAAAAGTATTCAAATACTTTAAGAAATAAGTATTCAAATACTTTAGAATGTATTCGAATACTTTCAAAAGTATTCAAAAAAACATTTTCTCATAGAATGTGGCCTGTAGAATCCATAATTTCAAACAGTTCCAAGATTGGGCTACTAGTTCAAAAGGTACAGCCCTTTGAATTTTCTTTCGAAATTGGTTTCTAGTCTATAACTTTTGATTGAGAAGTCTGATCGAAAAAGTACGAATTGTTTTGGATTCTACGCACCAAAATCAATAAGAAAATGTGTTTTCCCGAGAAATTTTGGTGCAGTCGATTTTTGGTAAAAAAGGAAGGTTGTGCACTGCCTTTTTTTGAGGCCCGCAAAATAAATTTTCTCAGATCGACCCGGAAAAAACATTTTCTTATAGAATGTGGCCTGTAGAATCCATAATTTCAAACAGTTCCAAGATTGGGCTACTAGTTCAAAAGTTACAACTCTTTGAATTTTCTTTCAAAATTGACTCAATATTTGTGAAAGTATTTGAGTTACAAATACAAATACTGCTTCCATAAAAGTATTTAATTACAAAGTATTTGAATACTTTAAAGGATTTGAGTAGGTACTAAAAAGTATTTACAAAATCGAATACTGCCCAGCTCTGCCTATTAGTATTTTTAGATAAAATAGTCTAACTCTTTCAGTATAAAAATAGTCGCAGGTAGCCGCCCACTGCGAAACTCCTCTTCCTTCGCATGAAATGAAAATATCCACCTAACACAGGTAATCAGTTTATATACTGTATTGAGAGACGTATAATACTTCAAGGCCGTTTCTGAGGAAAAGGAAGATGCACCCAGGAATATGTTTCAGGATAATTTTGGACTTTTTCAAAGATCACAGATCCCTTTAGGAGAGTGAGAATAAAGTTTGAACGTACAACAGGTACAAAAATATTTATTTCTGTGTAACACTATTTACATAGACAATTATTCCTTGCCGTGCACTCGGAACCTATAAATGCATGTGTAGGTAGGATTCCCATAGTTGCTCAAAACATGTAATTCCAGGTGCTTGTATAGTACTGAACTTTGATTTTGTACTTTAAACATCTGCAGAGCGTTTCCCTCCAGGTTGTACTTAAATACCCCGAAACTAAACCCGTCGGTAGCTTCTTCACCATCCAATCCCTAAAATCTATATCAGAAACCAGCAATACCAATACGAAACATATTTACATAAACTTGAAACTCCTTTGGCGCACTTGTTCGATTTTGTGCTAGACTCTTATGTACATGTTCCAAAGTAAACGCGGTCACATACACCGGACATGCCAAACTGATCCGAATCCTGCCCGTACTACCCCTAAACGAGAAACATTGCCCCGGCAACGTTCCCGGTTGCAATATCTTACTGGCATCAGTCGGAACTGTTGAGAACATATCCGCAAGATTAAACGCGTGATTAAACGCCTGTGTACCAGGCATGGAGATGATTCGCGCTCCCGACGATTCCATTGCATAATCTACATTTGATATTTATGATCGTTCTCGTGTTAGTTAACTTACCTACCTATCAATCCAATTTTGTCAGTATCGTAAAGATGTACAGCTGCTTGTATTTTCTCATCGATTAAATTTAGAAATAAGGGATTGGTACTTATATCATTCATTTGATTCCTACAACAACTAACGTTATAGGTACCTACATGATTTTTAGAGATCTGACCATAATGCCCAACTCGACATATTTCAAATGGAGGGCCTAAAAAGTTTTGTGTGATCAAGTCGAGTGTTATCGAGAATATGATGTTGTGTTAAGTGGGGAGTTGGGGTCAAAATCTGAAGTTGGGCATTCTGTTCTCTATTATTACCTTATTGCGGCAATCTCATCTTGTAATTTTGATTGACAATTGGCTAGCAGCTCATCGACTACCACTACACACAGTGCTTCTTTGGAAGGTAGGTATCTACACAGAACTGTTTACGGTTGCCTTTCTGAAATAATGGGGGCCTATAACAAAATAGTTACCCGAAATAAAAACAACCGCAATCCCTAGTACGTTTCGCACAGTTAAAAAGTGTTTCAAAACATTTTTAATATTAAAATCCCATGCGCATAACTCCCGAAGATTTTCCTTTGGGGTAGGAATAAAGTCGGAGATGTCTAAATTGCCCATGGCAAAGACGTCCTGGGTTAGAGAGGTAGTCGACGTGGACTGTTCTGAAAAGAATAATTATGCCGAAGAAAGAGCAATGCTTACTGGTAATACCATCATGATTCCGTAAGTTTAGTCTATTTCTCATTTTGTTATTAGACATTTTTAAATTTATTTGAAATTTGAAAGTGTAACAAAAATTACTGCCAACCGAAGAAATGTAAATACCCAATGCTACCAACACAAATAGCAATAGAATAGTTACCAACCGTAACCCATCAAAACTGTCAAACCAAAGGGGTAGAGGTTAGAATAAATACCGGACGTTAAAAAAGGGGCTGTTTTAGTGTTTTCCAATACTCAACGATGACCGAAACGAGTAGGTTAGCAATGGGCCCGAAACCCGGGGTAAATTACCCTCTAGACGTTTTATATTGCGGAAATTGTAGTATGCCAATTGAGGTTAGTTTGAATAATCTTTCCATTTTTTCGTCACTAAAAGGTATTCATTTCATTAGTATTGCGAGTATTATCCCGAATATGAGAAGTGCAAACAATGGCTGGAACGTAATTTACCGTCAGAGTTCGAAAAAATTAAGGTGAACGATGACACGACCGAAGGTGGCGGGGACGAAGAGAAGAAGAGGCAAAAACGCGGTGGCAAGGGTATGATGAAAACGAAGAAAAAGGATGATGGTCCTAAACAAGTTTGCGTTTCGAGAGCACCTCGTGGTAAGAAGAAGTCTGTTACCGTTGTAACTGGTATGAGTAGTTTTGGTATGTACCACCCACAAACCCTACCTGTATTTCACACATTGATTTCGTAGGTATTGATCTAAAGGTCGCAGCCAAGTTTTTCGGTACTAAGTTTGCATGCGGTTCATCGGTTACAGGTGATGACGAAATAGTAATACAGGGAGATGTTAAAGATGACTTATTCGATGTTATTCCTGAAAAGTGGCCAGAGGTAAGATGATGAGTGATGTGCATCGTTTCTCACTGTGTTATTTTAGATTGATGAAGATTTTATCGAAGATTTAGGAGACCAAAAGCGATAAATTAATGTTGTGTTGAGTTTATGTAGCTATTTCTTTGATAATTATGTTTTTATTGCAAAATAAATGATTTTCCTAATTTAAGCTTCTTCAGTTTCATCTTCATTTTCTTCTACCTTTTGCACATGTGGAAAGTGTAGCACCACGATTTTTAAAATTTCATTGACTTGTTCCTCGGTGAGTCTTTCTTCGCTCTCTTCAATCATCTAAACCTATTTGGTAAGTTTAGTTGAACTAATCGTAGCACTTACCAACTGAATTTCGAGGGCTGTAGTTGGAGGCGAATTAATGATCATTAGTTTTTCATTTTTACTAAGATTAAATGGCTCTAATGCCTTGAGACATGCTGTTATAGTTTCCGGTGTTTGTTGATTGCAAGGTGTATTCTCCAAATATCTGAGAGTCTCGTAAGTGATTGTGGCTAACTGTCCTTGCCGTTTATCTTTTTTCCTGCCATCTTTTAGCTGTTGTAAATGTTTTAAGACTTCATAGTTGCTTAACTGAGCGGAGTTTGAGTTTATACTGAAAATAAACAATACAAATAGTCCTATACAAATGTTTAAAACTTACACTTCCATTTCACAAATTTTGTGAGGTTAGAAAATTACTTTTTGTTTTCTCTGGTGTGAAGTTAGCTATCATTATCAATCAATATGTACAGTAAGCTACAATAATATTAGTCACGAATGCAAATTTTAATTAAAACGTAATAGCGGTCCCCATCTATCTCATCATGAAAACAAAGATCCAAAAATATTCACTTTGCCACAAAAACTATGTAAAAATTGGTTTCCTTAAATAAATTGTAATTCTTGGAACTGATAGGAAAGGGTCCACCTTTATGTGCATGTAAAGGGTAGTTTGTGGGCCCGTAAACAAATTCACACAAGGGAACAATAATATTACATCTACCCTAAAAATTACAACTTCACAATATGCATTTCCTAGAGCTTGTAGACCCTGGAAATAAAACCAACCAAAGATGTTAAGAAATAAAAAGACACACAAGAAAATCGCCACACTGTCATAAATCCATCGAAAGTTAGCAAAATGAACTACAACGCTTTTGGAAAATACCTACCACGGTATAAGAGAACAACAACAGGCTGTGTGACATTTTATTTTTTAACTATAATGAGCAAATTGCCAGTTCCGTAACACTAACTACCCAGAAGAAATAATTTATTGGGAAATTGTCTACGCTAAATTACAATATTAAAAGCTGTTCTTCGCTTTCCTAAATTTTCTTCTGTTCTCCCTATCTTCGACGCAAGGCACTTGAACTAAATTAAAATATACGTTTCCCATAATGTGAGCGGTTGGCGAATCGGACGATTTTAGGCAGTCGAAAAGATCGTCGTCGCATACACAGTGCGACTTGGTATAAAGCGAATTGTTAGTCAAGTTGTAGCGTTGGGAATACGCCCTCACTTTCACTGGGCATAGATCGTGCGCGCGACAACACCTATCGACATTGGGCTCAGCTCCTAGATCGAAATAATCGTTTGCTATGTCACCCGTACCGCACCACTTTGTACCTACAACAATAATATCGTACTTGGTTTACTGACTAAGAAATTCAACCTGGTATAATTCCGCTGAATAAGGTTAGGGGGTTGTTGGATAAGATCCCCCTATTTTCCATGGGAGCGGTTTGATGATGGAGCGATGTCGCACTGATGTGAGATTTTCGATCCACTTGGTCACATTGGGACATCAATGTCAACATCTCCATTAGCGATATATACACGGGTTGTGCCATTTCTTGCAGCTCTCCCAAGGCGTGCAAAGCATGGTCCGGTTCACTGCAACATAATTTCAATTAAACCCGTGTCTAAATAATAAATACAAGGCCAGGGCTCGGAATGGACCGGAACAGCCGTTCCGGTTGGTAAAAAATATTACAATATCATTCCGTTTCGCCCGCACACAAATTTCACAGAATACTACATATTGGCGACTTATTTTTCCAAAATCACATCTGGAAACGATTATACGTCCTCCAGATCATACCAGCACACGGAACCCAGAACTTGTCTCTATACACAAAAGGGAACCATGCACAAAGCGGAACTGGAATTTTAATCTATCAGTTTTATTCTTCCAAGATGATTAAATTTAGAAAATTTTTCTTTACGGCTTTACATATACCTACATCGGAACCCAAGTATAAGGGTAAAAGTATGTTATGGGAGCAGGTACCAGAGCCGGAGAAGAAACTTGGGGCGAATAAACCCTTTCCAAAATAAAATTCAAAGTGAAACATTTAATTCTTGTTACATTTTATCGTTTTTTTAATGTGTGTTACACGAGCTGATGGGCCGTTACTTCTGGTTCACGAAAATTTCTATTCCGAGCGCTGTGCAAGGCAAATATAGAGTGTAGAAATCAATGTGTTTGGTAATTATTTATAAAAAGAGTCAAGGTTTCAATCAATACTCATAGAGGATAAACGTCAGTAGGGTTCGTTATATACCTATTAGGCTTCTAATTGCATTGAAACCTCTGGGGAATTTTTATGGCAAAAGTAATCACGGAGACATCACTGGCTGTTTACAATTATTTATTACACCCTTCAAGTACACAAGTAAAGATTAAATATAAGAATCAAAATTAACCACCATCCCCTACAAATGTCTATGGATCATTTCAACTCTTCTCTACAATCAATTTATGATCACATTTTAATTCATAAAATAGAGTTCTTTGATAAACCTGAATGGATTTAAAGGGAATGGCAGGGCCAGCTTCAGATTCAGTGCCCATAACAGAACTGGTTAATTTTGCGTTAAATCAGTGACACTCACTGGACGTCCCACTACCTATTGCACGAAACTGTCTTTAGGTAACATTGTGTTTCGCGACATTTTCTTTAAATGTTGAAATTTACTAGGAAAATTGTCGCCACAAACCGACCAAAGGAAAACGGACGCAGATCGACTCGAAAATACGTTTTCTAATAGATCACAATGCAACAATTATCAAATTATCCTCAACAAATATAGCATAACTCCGTCCTTCCGTCGGTGGTATATGTTTTCTAGATAGACGTGAAATGTTGCTAATAAATTACCTACCTTATCTCATGCACTTAGATGTTACACAACATTACAATTTACATGTTAATAAAAGCACAGATTTAATATTTAAATCTGTGATAAAAGGAACCGCTGCAATTGTGCAAAGTTAATGGTGGATGTTATACTGCGTTTTGTAACGGTAGGTTTCACTTTATAGTCAATAATTTCCAAATGAATTAATCGTTTGTTTTTCTCTGTAAAGTCGAAGGTTGCAGTATGCGTCATTAGATTTTTTTATTTGCGTCATAGAAATTTATCAACGCCAATTAGGGGTGCTATACGCTCAAGTTCATGATAAATAAGGTGCAGTACCTACGGCTGAATCGCACCTCGTCATTGATAAGAAAGCGATGCAGTTTGGAAAAACCTGTCAATTTTGCTAATGTGTGAGCAAAAAGTCATGTCATACATTTTCTTCGTCAAATAAGCGAACGTGCAAATTCGTATTGAGAACTATAGCTAAAAATTATAACAATAATACCAGTGAACTTTTCCGGCGAATAAATCAAAGTTAGAGTGATGTTACGATGAATAAAAATTCAAATCCCAAAGCGAACATTAAGTGTGAACTTATTTACCCTTTTAGTCACTGATATTTCGAGAGTTGAATGCAGACAATATAAATAGAAAGTTCGCTGCTCGATCATTTCAATGAAACGGATAATATCCGGAAAACTTCATCAATAATCCTCCAGGAGATCCAATTTTCGTTTGCGTTGAGGCATCATCTTTTAGAGAAGGACCGTACCAATTTGCACCCTGAGAGAAACAACGGATGGCTACAATTGAGGTAACGTAATCTTATTTTATTTGAATCGTATATTTAAAATACCTATTTAAAAAGTGCATGTTTGCTGAGTAAGTTCCAATCCAGAAGGAAGTTTCTACTGATATTAGTCAAGAGTTGCCATTAGAAATGTTACAATTGTCTGAGGGGGCAAATTTATAAGTAACTGAAATTCGAGGAGTTAGTCGCAAAGAAATGAAAAGGCCGGAGTATCTTATCTATCGACATCACTAAAATTAAGCGAAAAAATGGTATCAAATCGAACAGAAAAACCCTTCGTTTCTAATGCTGGCTTGTTGATATAGAACATCAACTCCGTTTTTTTATAAAGCAATGTCTATAAGGTGTGCCTCTAGAATCGGGCAAAAAAGTTGTCGTAGCTCCAGCGGATGAAGACATTTACTCTTCGATTTCTATCTGCACTGACCACCGAAAAAACCGATTCGTAAAAAGCAAAGACTCTGAAATTGAGCGAAGAAACTGTCGTAGATCGATTTGACTTTCTCTGATAGATTTCGGCGTGTACAAACAAAAAAAATCACCCCCAGGGCATGAGCATCACAAAAACCTGATTTGTAACAAACACCTACTCTCATGATTAGTATTTTCAATTGATCAAGATGGGTAATAAAGAATCTTGATATTGGTCATATAGAATACCTACCTACAAACATAAAACCAGTCCATCAGCCAAGGAAGGAAGTAAAGCCACGTGTATCTATTAATTAATATTCAATAGTGTAACCCACTTGAATCTAAGTAAGTCAGCTGACATACAATACAAACGTACCAGACACCTTCACAGACAAGTTAATTATTCCATTTCCTTGTGAATGGGAAAATAAACAAAAACTATTGTGTGAGCTTGCATACGTTATAAGGATACATATTCCAGAGGACATTGTACTTTATTATATACAAACCGTTTGGATGTAACAGGGATTTTTTTTATTGTAAAACGTACGTTATGGCTTTTATATGTTTGCGTTGGTGTACCTACTTACATAAGCAACAGTTAGAGATTGATTGAATAATTAATTCACTTATTCACGCACACAATATCTTTTTGAGGCTTACTTCAATTCGCGGGATTTCGCTTTTAGTTACAGTCAGGTGAGGAATCAAGAAATAATTTTAGGATGAGCTGATTTGGAACTGCTTCTGGTAAAGGCAAGCATATCGCATATTGTAAAAATCAGATTAGCGCATGCGCAAACTGCGAAATGTCAACTTTCTTATTTATGGAGATTTTACTCCCTGAAAATCTCCGCCATCAATAAACCAATCGTTGTTTTTCTGTAGCCCCCTATACAACCGAAAAACTCTCGATACGATATTCACAATACCTCTTCTGGGCCCATAACCAAATGCAATAGCCGATGGATCTATCTAATTCTTATTGAAGTTTTAAAAATAACTGATTTTTTATCTTATACTAAGGGTAGCTGATTATATTGTATAAATGTACAGTTCATATCCAAAATGATGGTTTCTTTCTAGGCCCATCCTCTTAACCCTAAAGTTCAGTTTATGTATGAACGTGGTCTCTGTGGTAAACATGGACTGAAATCAACTAACAACACGCAATCTACAAAATTGATGTCCGTTCCAAACTAACCCTATTATATTATCTCTTGAATAAAATAACCAGTTTAATGTGAAACGCCATATGTGCATTTCTGGCCATTAAATGATGATAAAATCAATAGCGTGCGACTTTTAAAATTTTACAAGATGTACCCGTTCGACGACCTTAACAATTTTCGAAATGGACAACGAAATAAGAAAAATATATCGCCTTTCTGTAGTACAGACTAAGTACGTCAGACCACAGAATAAAAAATATATTTTTTCAATGACCAGACCTAAATATGGATCTAATCTAAATTTTCGTTCATAATTTGTGTTAAAAGGCAATTCATTTTCTTAAGTGGGGTCGCATCAACCCGCTTAAAAAATGTCAATGGGAGCATTTTATTAATTGGAATAACCACCACCCCTCAAAAATTCTAAATTTTCATATTCTAATTTTCATATACACGATATAATAATAATAGTTATTGCTATCGCCCCAAATCTAACCCGAAAATGTGAAACGGTGAAATCGACGTCTTCAATTTACTAAATTTTAATTGCGTGACATGGGTGAAAGAATAACAAGAAAATTTCTTTCGATATTATCAAGTACCTAACCACGACAGCATTGTGTTTGGACTATTAAATTTTGAAACAATTTTAATTTTGCTTTTTATATGTCGCGGATTACGTATTCCTGCACTATAAACGCTAAACATTCACAAAATATCATGTTTTTTAACTTTTAAAAACAATTCATGTTACAGGGCTCTTTTAAAATGTTTCTCTTTTGGTTTTATAAATAATCGTCCGATATTTATCCATACCGTGGAGGTAGTACCCCAGAAAAGGGGTAATCTACCGACTAGTTCTGATTTGTTAATATTATATGTTGTTAGGAAAACTACCAGCAGTGTAGGTATATCCAAGTTTGCAGCTTCAAAAGACCAGTGCTAACTTTGCACCACTCGAAAAACCTGTAAACTTTACCACTTATTTTGTATTTTTCAAAATAAGTCCATAGACCATACCATACCAGCTCTGTAGGTTCAATATCTACCAACAATTTTCGACACCGATATCGAGGATAATACTCATTTTACGGGACACATCATATAGGACGATACTGTAGAAATTGTAATTAGCCTTAATTTAAGTAACGAGCGATCAAAAATGAGTTGTCGAGTCACCTTTGGAAATTCAAGTTAAGTACAATTTCCTATGTAAACAAAAATTCCAAAGGCGACTCGACAGCAACTCATTTTTGATCGAACAGTACAAAACGACGTATGTAAGGCATTTAGTTTACTCACAAATTTTAAAATTCAGAAAAATGAATAACCTGCATTTTTCACTCTCTAATTGTTTATTTTTTTTTGTCTTTGAAAAATATATGTGCTGAGACAATAGGGACTAAGGGGAATTCTTTGCCTTCCCCCGACCGGGGGCTGTTCTCTCTTTTTCCCCTCCTTTAATCTTTCGGTCAGAAATAGGGTTCTCATTCTCAGTCCGTTCCTGCAACGTTCATATAAGATACTTGGTAGACCAGATACAAATTTAGAATGTGGTTTTCACGAAAGTTTAATTTACTACACGTAATCTTTTTTATTGCATCTATGCTAATTTTTGTGCATAGAAAGTGCACGGAAGTAAATATCCTAAGAACTTTTTGGTAGAATATGCTTAAAAAAACATCTAGATCAGTGCAGTTAAGAGAATGCTTTCAAATTGGGAAACTTAGTTAAAATACTTTTATTGTACGGACCAAGCCAATTTTCAAATAGGTGCAACGTTAAAAAAATTATAGATAAATGGAGCAATAACTGTAAAATTTGCAGCAAAAGTTTACCCATTTGATAAATCAGAGCATCATCCATATTTGCTTGTTGCGTTTAGATTCCACCAACTATTTTTTTTGGAATTTCTTAAATTTTATAGTTACCCGAAACTGCCGTAGAACTTAGCAACAACAAATACCGAGTTGTTTATCAATGAAGATGCCACATAAAACAGAACTCATTCAAATCTTAAACGATTGATGGTCATACATAGCAGAGTTAGCCCAAAAGTTTTTTCTCAGCAATTTTTTGGTAGGTTTGTTTATAACTGGAGATGTTTTAATTGAAAACTTGCTGAAACTGCGAAGGTACTAAAAAGTAATGTACCTATATAATAGATAGGTACAAATCCTAAAGTCGTACAAAGCCGCACTTCTATGGTTACTTTAACGATTACCTAAGGAAGAAAGTAGGTAATAAATTTGTAAATGCTTAAATTTAATGCATTCATTGTAATGTACAGGTATACTTATTCAAGAATGAAGCATTACAGGTAAAACTATTAACAAAAGAGGTGAAATTACGCAATGCGTTACCTACTTACGATACATTTCCTTTCATGTGTAGGCAAAATTTAGAAAATTGATTACTATAGGTAATTACTAGTTATTTAATATGTTTATTGAAACCGAATTAGATAATGGCACGCATTTAAGGGCAAGGCCACCATACCGATTGCAATAAATTATTCAGTTAGCCATTGGAAATTGATTGGTAACGGTCAATTTGAAGGTGGGGCACTAGATGGTGTTACGGGCGAAATTCAAAAAATTTTCTGCTACTTACTAAACTTCGATTAATTCGCAATTGAGCAGCAGTTTTTTCGGGCCCAATTCGGTGATGGCGACGGTTTGATCGTGGTAGTAGACCATTATTAACGAATCATTCGTGACTCGCCTTCCCGAATATTCCTTAACGTTAGCTTGCCGCTGCGCCCTCGCATTAAGAAATCCAGTAAAAAGTCCCAACGCTGGAAATTTGAACGAGAAAGACGGTTTGCCTTGTGTGCCAATAATGCAAAGAATAAATAATGACGTATAAATCACTGCACTTCTGATTAGCATATTTGAACACATTCGGCTTTCTCCCCAATTTAACACCAGCTTTACATTCTTGCAAAATTTGAAAATATTTAATTAGGTGGACACTCGAAGTTTCCCTCGCGAGCACTTGACATCGAATACACGCGCTCAGGTAAGTTCCACAAAAGTGCCGCATTAATTTGAAACTCGAACACTACTCGCTACTCTTCAGTAGGTCAGTAGAAACTTCATTCAATGTATTGGTTTAAAATACGTTGTCTATTTCACTGTAATTAATTGACATATTGTCCTTGCATATGTCACTTAGTGCCAGATATCGAAAATTGGCCGATTGCAAAATTTATTCGTAAGGAGGTGTAAAATTTAGTCATTACATGGGCGATTACGTAAACCGGAAAAGTTTGCAAAATTTAATTGCTGATTTAACGATGTTATGTATTTATTTCCCTTTTCGTATTGATTTCCCATTTTACTCTATGCGGATGTATTAGGCTTCTTTTTTGCTACAAATGACGCCAGATTAAGGCGATGTCTAGGAGAAAGTGCGCTTGATTAATCTTCTTGGACTACCTACGTACATTAATTATAGTGGATTCACCGCGTTTTTAATAACAAATAATTTAGGGCAGGTGGTGTGCGAACAAACTGACCTGTTACAGCAATTTTATCAAATTTACATATCCCAGATTAATAAATTCCTACAAATTATAATGTACGTGTCTAAGGTGAGGAACTATCAGAAATATTTCCATGATCTGAACGGTCTAAGTATTTCAATTGCGGAGGGAGGAATTTTATTTTGGAAGGGGCAGCCAAAGTACGGACGGACAGACTTTAGGCCGGTTCTTTATCTTATTTGCTATTACAGGACATATGCAAAACTGGAAGCTGCACTCTAATTTCGTATAATTTTATTTAATGTTCGTAAAGTTATATGTACAGAAATAGTTGGGTGCATTTTTCCACTTTTGAAAATAAGAAGTAGGTAATTGCTGCTCAAAAGAAATTTAAAAATGTCTAGTTACTCTGCGTCTATTTTTTGTTTTCTTTTTGGACTTGTATGTACTGTTGAAAGCGAAATGGCAACCTAAGTGCGAGGGTAACAAAGAAAACTTCCTCTACATAGCTGCTACATGGACACTTACCTACTTGCATATCTGCATAACTAAAGCATTAAAGGTTTTCTGTAGTTGCAATTGGATGAAATATAAATGAAAACAATTGGGCACATTTTCCGGATGCAAGGGGTGGCAAATAAAACTATCCTCATAAACTGCTCAGGGAAATTGTCTACTAAACTAAAACATGCACTCTAATGATGTAGTTAGAGACAAAATGTCACAAAAGAAAAGATGTTTTACATTTAACTTTGCAATAGAATCAAAAAAACAATTGAAAATCAAATGTATTTGGTGCACCAAATTCCAAATTTGAACCAAATTGTCTTAAAATGTATTCAATTAAAAAAGTAAATCGATAATTAAGCTAAAAATGCACGCTTACGTAGATTAGAGCGTTATTAGAAAAAGTAGGCGAGGAAACAAACGAAATTATTAATTGTCAGCTTCCAGTTGAACAATGATCAAAAAAGGATTGACGTCGAATCGCCTTTGGAAGCTCAAGTTAAACATGATTTCCCATGTAAACAAAAATTCCAAAGGTGACTCGACAGCAACTCTTTTTTGATCGTATAGTGCTATTTTGACAACATATTCCATCAGACAATACAACATAAAATGAACGAGGTAACTTTAACGGGCGACGCTAAATAAAATGCCGTTTTTTTTCTCTTTTATCACTTATATTTAGTTAGTCGATCTACATCGATTGTTATTCTCGTCGCCAACTTGTTGTGGCTAGGGCCGAGTAATTAACTTAATAAAAACAGTGATTCCTCACATGCGTCATCCAACACTTTATATTTCGGAGATAAAATGGTCATTCACTACATATTTTATCTATAAGTGTAATGTCTGGTCTATTATTGTGAATACTCTTGTCTGTGAGTAATGTCCTATCCCAATTTAATTTATGTGTGTGGTTTTCAAGTATTGTATTTGGAGTGTATTTGTAGTAAGGGTGTGTTATCCGTTGTGAGATCATGTTTAAGAGCTCATTTTCGAAAGGAGACAAAGAGGAATTTTACGTATGTAGGTATGTACTTTGATTGCTACATTTAGTTACATCACTGTGTGTATAAAATACGACCATGGGTGTGCAATCAAAAAGCAAGAGATTTCTAGGGGAAACAAAAGGTGGTGGTTGGCAGGACTGGCTGTCAAATTATGACTTCGTTATCGTTCGCCCAGTTTTCAATTGTCTCTATCAGCTGTTTTGGTAGTTGGCTATGTTATGTGTATTTGTGGTTGATGTTTTCTTTAATTGAAGTGTGTAGCGGATTTTAGTTGATTTCAAAAAAATGTCGGAGCAACCGTTTACACTTTACAGTTTATGTATAAATGTCGCCGTTACTGACTGTGTCACTCTTTGTAGGTTTTGTAAGAAAGAATTTCGATTACTTCCAGACAATGTTCTCTTTGATTTTTATTACAAAGTAAGTAATTGCGCTTACAATGATCATGTCATGTTTGTTTTGTTGTCATTCTTATCTGATTTTGGTTATAAACAAAGTCGCTGTGTTGAATAGGTCCTTCGATCTATACTATCTAAATTGCGGGTGATAAATCTAATGTGAATGACTGATAAAATACTTTCTGTCTTAAACTGTAGTTTATTGACTTCTGAAGATAAGAATAATATTTATACTGATCGTCCTAGTTACCAAATTTTAATGCGTTTCATTTCAGATGTACACAGAGAAGCGACTTTGCTTGCTCGGTGTCGAATATAGCGAATTACAAGTATTTAGCCGCATGCTAAAGGTGAAACACAAACGTAGCAAATTACTCAAAAGCTTTCAATCGCTAATCGATCACGGATCGAATGTGATGGAGGAATTATTACTCAGTTATTCTAAGTATCGTACGACGCCGGAACCTATTACATCTAACATAATCGATATCGGTCTAAAACTAGGAGGATTCCTAAACGAAGGCGGATGGTACAATTATTCGGTCGAGGTTTTAAATGTCGTCGAAGAGCTGTGCAAGAAAAGAAGCAGAAACGCCAACACTCTGTGCAAACTTCTCGACTGTTACCATAAGTACGTGAGGTATACGTTGGGTCGATTATTTATGCTTTCGTTGTAGGCGACTTCACGCCGAGTCTGTCTATTGTATGTTTAAATGCGCAGAAGATACTTTCGAACGTATTCTCAGCACAAAAGATGAGCTGCAAAAATTAAATGCCGTTCCAAATTTGGCTGGACTTTATGCAAATATATCTGCGCTATTTTTTGCTAGAAGTGAATACGACGAGGTACAGTATTTTGTACATCCGCTTGTGCATCGAGATTAACATTTAATTGTAGGCGTATCAGTGGGCGCAGCGTTCTTTGAAGTTATTAAATGAAGATGTGCCACCAAGGTATATTTGGCTTTTGTAATTAATTGTATTTAAATTAAGGCAGTTACTTTACTTTATCGAATTTTCCACAACTGTAATGTCTGAGAGAGCTCTGGGAAGAGCACAGAATTTAGTGTTTGTAAAAGGCATAGAAAGGGGCTTAAATGCTCAAAAAATGGTCATTTTCTCAGCAATCTAAAACAGTAGGAGAGTGGAACTAACGGTTTTAATTAGATTTTTGGGGTATTCAGTTTGTGGTGAATGTTTATTGATGGTATATACAATATACCAAATGAGGGGGCAAAAAAATCTCTGATATATGTTATATTATGTCTTTTGTTACCAAAATATTTTGAACCAGTATTAATTTACCTCCTCTATTTCAATCAATTGGATATAGTGATTGAGGTATAAAAATGATGGTATTTGGCGCTTTTGGTAGAGAATAAGTTTTGAAATTTCATGAAACAGAATAAAAGTAATTAAAGACTTCCCTAGGGATGATTAAAAATAGTTTTCAGAGCTTACCTTAGGTCACTATTGTATAGAAGAATTTTCCTTATTGTGCGGCACGTCATCTGTGTATTATGACGTCATCACTAAGTATGTTTACATAGTACCATACAATCAATTCAAGGGGATACGTATGTAGGTGCCATACAGACGGTGCTGCATTGTGGGTAGGATACCCATTACATCAACGACTTCTATTGACCAATTACTAAAAAAAAAATTTCGATAATTATTTTTAACTGTTTATTTATGTCGCAAGCTGTACGAACCATAGTACCGCCTATTCATTTCCTAATGCCATCTCATCGGCAGCATACTGTTTTGAAGGTTTGTTTCTGAAATAACAAATTTTTATTCTCAAAATTAAAAGTATTACTGCAAATAATAATAATAATTACACATAACACATCACAACATATTGACAGAGACACAGAAAGGGTGCAGGAAGAATAGTCAGGATTACAAAGAGCAGGGACAGTACAGTTATGAAATATGCAGAAACACATAGAAGGAATAACAGACAAGAAAATCGCACGTAACAGACAGGACATTGCTCTAATCAATAAATTCGCACACTCAAACACATTTAATCGACATAGCCATCCCAAGCGACACTAATGTCTTAAACTCGGAGTACTTCACTAGCAATAGAATTGAAAAAACTCTGGAAGCAAGAAAGTAACAATAGTAACCGGTTGTACTCTCAGTCACCGGACTCGCAACAAAAACATTCACACATCACTTACAAGCACATACAGAAGGCCATATTACTATAAATTGCATACTTTTTCTTGGTAAATCCAATGGCATCATACAACTTTTGGCGCAGAATATCGCAGCGGGACTTTTTTTAAATTTTGTTATTAGGTTGGCATTGCCATATAATATTGGATTCAAACCGCCTTGCGCTAACGTACGTGTAAACTAAGGAAATTCCTACTTTATTAATCAAAAATTCTATAATTTTGTGAGGTATAATCTAGCGGTAGTTTATTAAATTAAAATATATAATAAATGTACAGGGTGGCCAAATAAGAATGCGAGGTACTGTATCTGGGAACCTGTCCATCGTAGAGGCTTGTGGTAAAAAAATTTATTACTAAAACGACCACGAGAAAAACCTGGAAAATATTTTTAAGTTTCTGAAATGGCCGCAATCTGGAATCTAAAAAAGTGATTTTCCTGTTACTCAGCCGTTTCGAAGATACAGGGTGTTCTTTACGGAAACCTTTGAATACCCCCCACCACTTCATTTTTAGAGATACAGGAAAAATTGCCAAACAAAAAAGGTTCAGATTATCGTCGTCTTCAAAGACCGGACATTTTTTTGTTAGGTTAATATAGCGGAATTCACAGAAACATCACTTTTTTAGATTCCAGATTGCAGTTACGCCCCCTAGCGGTCATTTCAGAAACTTAAAAATATTTTCCAGGTTTTTCTCGTGGCCGTTTTAGTAATAAATTTTTTTACCGCAAGCCTCTACGATGGATAGATTCTCAGATACAGTACCTCGCATTCTTAGTTGGCCACCCTGTACTGTAGTGACAATTTCATTCCATTAAAATAATACAAATTTCCCCAGGGTGATCATCGAAGTCTTACGTCAGGCTTCGAAATCGTGCGTGGTGAAAAGGCGATTCTTACAAGCGAAACTTTTAATCCATCAAGCGGTCGGTCTGGCGTCCCTTCTCTATTACAACGACCACCATCCGTGCTACTCGGACACGCTGATGGATTACGGATTTTACCTTCTGAATTACGACACGATTCAAGAGAGCGTGAAGGTCTATGAAAAGGCGCTCGGCATTCGCAAGGACATTTTCGAGAAGAATAACATACACGTCGCCATCGGACACGAAGATCTGGCCTATGCGCTTTACGTCAACGAATATAGCTCGGGACGGTTTTATGCTGCAAGGTATGATTGTGCATAATTTTATACTGTTTTGAAAGCGGTCTGTTGCACACTATAATTTTCTTTACTGTTCCCTTGAGAGGGTCGTAACCCCCCTCGTTCGGAGTTGGAGGCTTAAATTTACATTTCTTTGCAACAGTTATAGGTGTTCCTCGAATCTAAAATTGACATTATTTATACAGGGAAAATGCTGATCGCGCGATACGCATAATGGACAAAATTCTACCAAAAGACCATCTAATGCTGGCGTCGGCGATGCGCGTTAAGGCTTTAATTTTGGAAGAGATCGCGTTAGATTTGCGCGACCTTACCCACCTGGAGGAGCAGGATCAGCTGCTGCTGAAGGCGGAGCAGTTTCACAAGTCGGCGTTGCAACTGTCCCATTCCGCTTTCGGCGAGCACAACGTACAGACGGCGAAGCACTACGGAAATTTGGGCAGACTGTATCAGACGATGATGAAGCACGACGAGGCGGAGAAGATGCACTTGCGCGCGATATCGATCAAGGAGCAACTCTTGGGACCGGACGACTACGAGGTCGGGCTAAGTTTGGGACATTTGGCGTCTCTGTACAGTTATCACATGAAGAAGCATCGCGACGCCGAAAAACTATATAAGAGATCTATCGATATTAGTTTAAAGTTGTTTGGTGTTTTCTATTCAGGTTTAGAGTACGATTACAGAGGACTGATTCATGTTTATACGGAATTAAACGATATACCCAACATGTTACATTATACACATATCATGCGCGAATGGAAGTTTTTGAGGGAGAATCACGTAACGACAAATAATTTCCCCGATCATCTCGAATCTCTAAACACGATCCTTACTGAATTTTTCAAAATGTGCTAATGCGAATGTATCTAGTCTGTCGATCGAGTCATTTTTGTTTTTGGTTATAGTTTTATTGTTAGACTGAATTTGATTAATCTTGATGCAATGGCATTTAAAACTCGTCTCATAGAGGAGAGAAGGTTCGACCTTCCTCGTCGGTACTAAGTTACAATAATTAAACACTTGGGCAGTTCGATTAATTTTTAAGTTTAAGATAATTTTTATGTTAATCTCTTTTAGTATTTTACAAATTAAAGTGAGGCTCTGTTCATTTGTAAATATAATCAAATTATTATAGTGTATGTGTTCGTTGATAGTTCTACATGTACGTACTATATTGCAACATGTTCCATATATGTTAATTAGAAAATACGTGAACCAAGCTTAGAAAAATCTTCAAGCTTAATATAAAATCATTTTGAAATTTGCTCATGGCGTTAGTTTGCTGGTTTTTTTAAGGTTGGATCTATATGAATATACAAGTGTGATTAAATTTCTAATAAAACTTTTTGTACCAATTTAAATTTGGCACTATTCTTATTCTTATCTGAAATAACTGAGCATCAATAACTAAAAATCTGATATTGCGCATGTGGGCAGAGTTGTGGGTGATGTTACGCGAAGATTTTCACTTAAATATAATCACGTTTTGGTGGTTTTTGTGAATTAGTTTTAATTTCCCCTTTTGCAATGCGCTTAGTTATATTGTCTACGATTTCTTTATATTTTCGGCATATTTTGCGTTTACTTTTATAATAATATAAATAATTATATCGTGAAATTGGGATGTTTCTGACTTTGAATAATAACATTGAATTTTTATGATAGTTATAAATTCAATGATAATACCTACTAAAAGAAACACGCATTTTAAAAAAGTTATCAAAATAATAATAATATAACGTCTTTATTAGATATTAATCCCAAAAGCGAAGTTCACTTAGGGGCCACAGCCCCTCCTAAACTCATAACATAACTTCAACATTAAATAGTTATCTACAATTTCGATGGACAGACGGCAAAAAAAGAACAAAAAAGACAATACTGTAAAAACTCAAAGAGAGCGATAAGTACTCTGTAATAAACAATAAGAAATAATTAATTAATACTCAACTTGAGAATAGGGCCACTCGTTCTGTGACGTTAAGAAGTTTGGTCGATTTTTATATGCTTCATTGATTCAACTAATTCCCTCTGCAGAGTGGCTAAAATGATGTTTTTAAATAAATGCGTTCTCACTTAATATAAAAAATTGAACTTACAACTGTATTCAATTTGGGCCAACAAGAATTCTTTGGTTTCATCTTCTAAAAGTGTTCTGTACAATCTGCAGTTGTTTAGTCGCCTCTTACGACACGCAGTGTCCTCTGCAGTAGGGGTATTCTTTCCCGCCCCTACACGGGTGGGTAAATCTGGACCCAAATGTGGGAATCCGCAACACTAAAAGGTAAGTAAAGAAACAAAATATGTTTGAAGTGTTTTACCGAGAAATTTTGGTGTGGTCGATTTTTGGTAAAAAAGGAAGGTTAAAGGAAGGTTATATATACACTGCCTTTTTTTGAAGCCAGCAAAAAAATTGTCTCAGATCGACCCGGAAAAAACATTTTCTTATAGAAAGTGGCCTGTAGAATCCATAATTTCAAACAGTTCCAAGATTGGGCTACTAGTTCAAAAGTTACAGCCCTTTGAATTTTCTTTCGAAATTGGTTTCTAGTGTATAACTTTTGATTGAAAAGTCTGATCGAAAAAGTACGAATTGTTTTGGATTCTACGCACCAAAATTAATAAGAAAAAGTGTTTTCCCGAGAAATTTTGGTGTAGTCGTTTTTTGGTAAAAAAGGAAGGTTATACACTGCCTTTTTTTGAGCCCCGAAAAAAAAATTGTCTCAGATCGACCCGAAAAAAAATGTTCTTATAGAATGCGGCCTGTAGAATCCATAATTTCAAACAGTTCCAAGATTGGGCTACTAGTTCAAAAGTTACAGCCCTTTGAATTTTTCTTCGAAATTGGTTTCTAGTCTATAACTTTTGATTGAGAAGTCTGATCGAAAAAGTACGAATTGTTTTGGATTCTACGCACCAAAATTAATAAGAAAAGTGTTTTCCCGAGAAATTTTGGTGTAGTCGATTTTTGGTAAAAAAGGAAGGTTATACACTGCCTTTTTTTGAGGCCCGCAAAAAAATTGTCTCAGATCGACCCGGAAAAAAAATTTTCTTATAGAATGTGGCCTGTAGAATCCATAATTTCAACAGTTCCAAGATTGGGCTACTAGTTCAAAAGTTACAGCCCTTTGAATTTTCTTTCGAAATTGGTTTCTAGTCTATAACTTTTGATTGAGAAGTCTGATCGAAAAAGTACAAATTGTTTTGGATTCTACGCACCAAAATTAATAAGAAAAAGTGTTTTCCCGAGAAATTTTGGTGTGGTCGATTTTTGGTAAAAAAAGGAAGGTTATACACTGCCTTTTTTTTGAAGCTCGCAAAAAAAATTGTCTCAGATCGACCCGGAAAAAAAATTGTCTTATATAATGTGACCTGTAGAATCCATAATTTCAAACAGTACCAAGATTGGGCTACTAGTTCAAAAGTTACAGCCCTTTGAATTTTCTTTCGAAATTGGTTTCTAGTCTATAACTTTTGATTGAGAAGTCTGATCGAAAAAGTACGAATTGTTTTGAATTCTACGCACCAAAATTAATAAGAAAAAGTGTTTTCCCGAGAAATTTTGGAGTAGTCGATTTTTGGTAAAAAAAGGAAGGAAGGTATTCAAATACCTTGCGAAGTATTCATATATACTAAATATTTGTGAAACTATTTGAATACTAAAAAGTATTTACAAAATCGAATACTCTGGTAGTAGGTACGAAGTACTAAGCGACCTTCCTATCATGATTTTCAATTGATTTTAATACCTAACAATTTTATTCAAATAATGAATGAATGATGAAGTGCTGAAGGGCTAAGTATAAAGGAGCTACATATTCTATTCGATATACATTCAACAAATAGGGACCCATTTAGCGTTTCTGTGTAAGAAAATTGTGCGTAACCATTAATTTCTAAAAAGAACCTCATTTACGACAAATAATAAAAATACTTTTTTAACAGTTCTTTATAAACACTTTAAAAAACACTAAGAAAGGAAGGAGCCTACTCTTCGTGGCGCTCCTGTGTAAAGGCCCGGTCATTTGTTCATCACTTTTTTAGAATTTAGTATTAAGAATACATCCTTAACAAAGATATACAATTTAATACACAAATACAATAGTTATACATCACAAAACTTGCACGATCCTAATATTAATATATGCATCATGAGAAAATAACATAAATTATAATGTAATGAAAATTCCCCAAATATTTAACATCAAATCTGTAGGTTGCAAGTACTCAGTCTTTCATAAAAATGTGTTCATTGTCAACTTTACCTACTTTCTATATGGCAATTTAATAATTGGATGGATATAATTATACAATTATATAAAGATCTGATGGAACATTAGTGTTAATTAGAAAGATAAACCATAATCAAGTTTATTTTTTCAATAAACCCATTACACTCGCTCTCATCTTTCTAATTAGGAGAAATTTGATATCTACTTTAAACTTAACAAATTAGTGTTTAAATAATCACATAAAAGATTAAGTATGAGGTCATCTTTATCACTGTAGAGTTAATCTCAAATTTGCTCTGCCGTAGTAAAATCGTAACCTCCGTGATTTCCCGTGGATATGGGGGGAGGGCCGGCGTTCTTATCCATATCTTCGTAGTTACGACTGCGCGAACCAGAAAATAAATTACCCATACCTCCACCTGTTAAATACACTAACGGAGCAGAGCATTACAAGGTTCTCACTACTCACCTGACATTTCCACACGTTCTTGAAGCAATTTCGCCAAGAATAATGTGGAAAAGGGTCTCAGAATGACTTGAATGATGGCGAGTGCCGCGGAAAATCTCTCGCGTCCTTCTGTTTATTAATAGAATGATTTGTGACGAACGCGCAACTGTAGGTAGGTACTTACCGTGCGAGTCTGGAAAACACATCGCCAGCACGAGTATGTCCAGAATTACTGACATTCCGTTTATGAAAACACACTAGTTTCTGTGAGTTTAGATTAAATTACTCGGTCAAAAATACATACCATTTGTACAGGTTCGTCCGCTTCGTGCTTGTGTATGCTCCACAGTAACGTAACAATTAAAACGAAATTATAAAATAGGTAAGAAGCTGGGGCCCATCTACCCATGCATGCTAAAGAGATTAGCATAAAATGGGCAACAAAGACCAACTAAAAATCTCTTTGATTATGATGCTTTTAAAGTAAAAGTCCTACCTTTATGTGAAAATTGGGTATATTTGAAAAGTCTGCCATTTGTTTATACCTATACTTTTAACGCATTTATCGAATATGAATCTTCTCTTCTAATATACTGCGTTTATTATTCTTTTACAGCTGATTGTCAAAGAAAGGTGACTCACCACAACCACAGAACAAAAATAGATTGTTGCCCACAACTGATTACCACAGATCTAAGTATGCGGTTGAGATAAGAACCAGTGGTTCCACACAGTTTGGCAAACCGAATGATTCATACTCGCTGTTCGCAGTCGGGATGATCGAGACCAAGACGATTCAGGCAGTCATCCAAGATTATTGTTACGTTTCTTCAAACAAAGTTCATACCTCTAAAAACCCAGTACCGTACCTAACACTATCCACACATCCAGCTCTGCATAATCGGGACGATCATACCCAGCATACCACACAACTATTCATACTTAAAACAATACGATTTATACAAATTATAGGATTATTCATTTCAGGAGAGGTCCACATCCAGGACTATTCATATTCAAGGCAAAGAGGTAGGTAGATACAGGAGATTTGCACGTTTTACAGTTGTATGTGAAAAATGCTGCTTGTTACCATGTTCCAAGTTCGATTAAATATCTTCGACACGCCGGGGGGTACCATATATGGTCTTGTTATACACACAAGTATATGATGTATGTAACAACTGAGATACGACTGGGAGGATAATTCAGACAGAACCATTCCAAGATCTTTTGGGAAACACCCAACGGAGAATTAGCACTTTTCTATCTTAAGTCTAAGTTGGATGAAAATAAAACTGGCAACAGAGATCGTTACAGGCGACTGTCGGTTGTTTAACCAACACCTGTCCTATCAAAATCCTGGACTTTGTTAAAGACACACGGTAGATAATATCGGGGAGCACAATATACCGATAGAACAACAAACTTAGAATGGAAACTCTAATGTAATGTAAAAATGACGCGCCATTTCGTGTATGTTCTCAGCAGCTTTTGCGTGAATGGCGCCAAATTTAAATATTAAAATGTAAGCTACGTCCGCATTATACTGCATTTCTCCGGATCTGTAACAATAACATTGGATTTGACTAACTGAAACCTAAAAGGTAAATGAATCCAGCCAGTGAAGTCCAATTTTGTTTGTTAGGGATCCAGATAAATTCAGTTTAATGCCGATGCACCTCAACAGTCAGGGGCTTCAAAGAGTACAGACCACTTGTTTTATAAGTAACAACTCCAATTAATCCAATCAAGGAGTTATATTTAATTTAATATAGATATACAAGATACAAGATCAACTTCATGGAACTCTACTTTATGATACTCTCAAGATCGTTCTAAAAACAAAATATGTAGCAATTTATTACAATTCAATTAGTGTTACCTGCTAAAGATAATGTGCGAATTGCCACACGCTTTAAACTTCTTCGTGTTCCAGGTTCTAAAGCGCAACCAGAAAAATGACGTTCACAAACCAAAAACGTTTGTGTAAATTTCTTCCACATTATATTCTAAACCAATTCTATAAAAACTTCGGGCTCCATTTTTGGGAAACGTCTTCACAATTTGTCACACAACATTTACGTTTTCGATTTGTAGATGCATAATTCATTGTAATAATGAATAGTAATTATACTTAAAGCACAATAAGCCGTCAATCAAAATTCAACTGTCATAATGGCGACACGTACTAAAGTCACTAGATTTAGTAACTTTAACAAGCACGCTAACTATGCGCCATCTATTGAATGTTCTCCAAACTAATTATATTTGTACTCAGTTGTTCCCGTTTACGTTTCCCTTCTAAGTTTTTTGTTCTGGGCAATATACCAAAAGGTTGAATTGTAGGGACCACCCCTAGTACAGTAATAATAATAATAAAGGAATCGAATTTATGTGATTCAATTTAACTTAACTCAGTTGTAATATTGAAGTATAATAACAATTAATTTTGATACAGATTAAAAATTATAACAAACAATACAACCGATGGATTTTACTTTGCGTTAATTTTGTGCGACAGATCGGGCATAATTTTGATATTTTAACAGCCTCTCGAATACAACTCGTGCAGAATACATGCCCACATGTGGTCGCACTAATATCTTTGTTTGCCAGTTCCTCAACACAGATGGGGCACTCACGCGCATTTCGTTGTATGCTCTAAATTACATTCGATTACCGAACATTAATGACTCCTTAATTTAGCATACCTTCCCGTCCTTATTTACAGTTGAAATGTTGTTCTCACTAGGCTGATCCGTCAAATCAATAGTTTGTCGATTTTGAGTAGACTTATTATCGACGGCATCGTTTACTTCAACAACAGAATCATCTATTGGAATAGGTTCTGGTGAACTTTCCCCTACTAAAATTACAGAATGATCAAAATCCATTTCTTCGTCGTGATCTACGGTAATCGCATTTGACAACGCATCCGAAGCGGCGAGCCTGTTTTCTTGTAGCCTAAAAAAAAAGGAGTCACTACCACGGCATAAGTTATCATTACGAGTCACCTCTGATAGCGTTCCTCAACTTCGGCAACAATTGAATTGCCCGTCTCTCCAAGCAGATGATTTACGTACTCCATTATATTCTGTTCACTTTGCCTAATGCAAAAATATAAATACACCAGAAAGCTGAACTCGTTAGTCTTACGTATGTGTTTCATTTGTACCCGGAGTAGCGACACTGATGTCACTAATGTCAAGAGAATTATTGCCAACGTGCGTCTCCTGCGTTTTCGCTTTTACCGGTCTGCTTAAAGGAGTTGAGGTGGTTAAGTCATTACGGGGAATTTCTCGCAATGGTGATTGGTGACCAACACCTGCGTTCATCAAAAATGGAAATGACGCTTCAGTCTAAAGCAAGTAAAAAATGTGTAAGTACTTTAGATGATCAAATTTCTACATGTAGAAGTACAGGGTGGTCCAAATTGGACACTTTCTTATAGTACGAGTCTTTATTTTAAGATAGAAAAAATGGACCTCTCTGGCAGAAACAGAATCTCTACTCTACTTTTTCCTTGATTTTGTTAATCCCCCATAACATAACAAACCTTTTTTAGAGTCCTTTTTTATATAGAATGCATAATGTAAAAAATTTTTTCTACAAAAAATCTTAATACATTTTTGCTCTAAAATAATTTGGGGAGCCAATAATCCCTATGTTGCATTACACAAGTCGCCACCCTGTATATTTTGAAGTTTTTTAAGAGCGTAAAATTTTCGAAATTTTAATGTATCACTTGTTATAGTTGTGTGAGAATACCTATCGGACAAACTTACCATTTGTATTCTCGCACGATTAGCCTTTTACTAATCTGAGAAACTCACGGCCGATTCCAGGAAAGCGAATTATAAGCAAAATCCTAGATTATTTGCCAAATTTGAGTTTAAACAAGAATTTTTACATTTGATTGGCTGCCTACAATATAAAGCCAATCAAATGTCTTAATACCGGATTAAACAATAATCCTGGATTATTTTTTTTTGTGCAACTGGCCATCAGTCACTTTGATCAACTATTTAAACAAAATTATAATTTTAGCGCCTGACATAATCGTATTCGGTATGAATACGAAATTTATCATGAAAACTCTTATCTAGGTCGTAATTTGGACTCGATCAAACATTTACAGACAAATCAAATTTATTTAACAGAATCAATCAGTAAGCCTGAAATAAACATACGCACTCAGGGTCAGAATACCCATACCACGTTAAGAGCAATCGATTTTGTGTCCATAAGAAAGTGTCCAATTTGGACCACCCTGTACATGTAAAGAACACTATGTATTTTTACACCTATACTTTCATTTTAAGAAGGTAGCGGTAAAAAACATGAAGATTTGACCTTCAGTGTGATTGGTTAAAACACAAGTCAGTATTACGCTGATACATAAGACGAGTAGCGAATTTTGCAAGGTGGTAGCTGGTAGTTTCTGTTGGCATCTAAACTATTGAAGTGTCATTAATTGTTAATGTCAAAGATTGATTCGTGTTTGCAGTGCTAGATATTTCTACTTTACAATAATTTGGTGCAGTTTTATATTTTTCCTGTGTGTGCTTATCTTCAAACCCAGCGCCATCTACTACCTTCTTATAATGAATGAAGTATAGACTGAAAGTCTGGATCTATTGTATTAATTGTTGCAAAATTCTAAATTTTAATAATATTGAACGAATTGTTCAAAGCCAAGAAATGGTCTTACCATAGCACGAACTCGGGCCAGATCTAATTCTCTCTTACGCGAAATGTTATCATTGTCAAAATTACAACACAAGCATCGTTTCACACCGTAAGAGGTACACGTTGTACCGACTTTTCCTTTTCCATAGGTGTTTTTCCGCTTTTTCGCAGCCTGAAAATTTTGTCACGATTATAAACAAAATTACAAAAAAAAGAACACGTACAGGCTGTATCTTCTGCGTTTTTCTGTTGTTGGGTTTCGATTTATTCTTGCATGGTACAGTTTTCTCAGGCACGACAACACCCACCTCGCTGAAAATTTTTACACGATCTGCGATACTGCTCAGTTCTTCTAAGGATAATTTACCATATCGCTAAACAAGGTAATGTTAGGATGTGACAGTCGGGGATCATTTAGTTACCGCATTAGCTATTTTTGGCATTTCAATTGTCTTTTCTATGTCCACCGAGTCTGGAACGACCTCGGGAACAACAGAAGTAGATGCCGATGCTGTTGATACTTGTATATCTTTCTTGCCAGAGTCCGGCACAATTGCCTTTGGAGGCGGGGAGGTTTTCACAATGTCCTTTGCTATTGTGTGCCGTAGGAATGAGTAGTCTTTACCCAGCACCCGTTCAATGCTGCTGTCGCTATCCGAATCAGACTACAAAGAGGTTTAGTAGAGATTACCACCGTATGAATGTAAAAACCATACACTTAACACTAACCATATTCAATTAAAATCGGGTCAAAAAAATTATTCAAACCAAAAACAAAAAATTCCCGTCACTTATCCACAGATAACTTCACTTCTATTTTTCAGTGTGAAGTGGCTCAATGACGGTCCAGTAACCAGGGTTACCAAACATTAGGAGCACAATGAATTAGTTAAGGGGGGGGGGGTAGTTTGAAAGTGGAGCCCATGTATTACATTATTATTATTATGTATTACATCCTTGTGGCAAAAGCCCACAATTCGTCTCTGACAATATCACTCAAACCACCCCACTTTCAAAATTAATTAAAAACGCTGGCAGAGAGAGTGAGAGAGCGGTTCAGTTTTAGCCATATGCATGAGTGTGACTGAATTCCACGAACATTTAAGTCAAAGAAAAAGAAAAGGAATTATCTGGTGGTCTATTCAGCAATTATGAAGACAACGAATTGTCCAAGAATTATCCATGCCACATACTTTCTTTCATTCTTTAGTTCAGATATTATAGGAGTTAAATAATTGTCGAAAATCATTCTTTGAAGAAGGAATTAAATCAAAACGCAAAATTACTTAGTGTTCCCATATGGTGAAGAAAATCCCGAAAACTTAACTTCGGTTTTGATTAATTTAAACAGTCCTTGCAAAAAAGATAATCAAACAATAAGAAACTTACCGGAAAGCTTTAAATATGCGCAATTCCACACAAAAAAACACATATAACAGTTAAATAAATGAAGCGAGGTACCACTTTAACCAACAGTTACGCCGTCAGGTAAATATATGCATGGGTGTAATCAATCGCTATCAACGGACAGTATACGATTAAATGTAAAAGGTCATTCCATGTGTAAACCTACACGTAAATTTTTGATTAGGATTCTGAAAGGTAAAATTTGATTCTTTGCGCATTTCCCCAAAAGACGGTTCGTCAAATACCGCGGAACAACTTTTTTAGCGCATTTTTTAAGAAATAATTAAATGTGCTACTGTTTGCGTTTCGTCCGTCCATCTGTCGGCAGAGCACCTCGGTGAGATCCTACGGGGTCATTGGATTTGACCCATTTTTAACAGGTTTCTTACATGGTGTATATTATAAGTAGGTGAAATATGTACAAAAGTTTGAACGGAACCAAGCGGTTGGCAGTTATCGTGTTCACGGACAGACAGACGGACACCATCGACTCCCCTACAACGCTTGTATAGTTTTGCTCTGCGCTTAATAATTTGCTATATGCTTATGGATCGATTGAAAAATGAATGTTTCTTCTAAAAGATTATAGTAGCAGAATGAAGAGCCGCCAGAAAAATTACTACGCTATACCACCGATATATTAAAGAGACAATTCACAGTAGAGAATATTAGCTATTTATTATACATTGTGGCGCAGGTAGAACGCACCATAGGGAAACGGCAATGTATTTTTTCGCAAAGGATCCATGAGGCAGCTGTGCAATTAGGGTTCAACGTCAGTCATTGACAAAAAAAGATCACCAAATAGGTAAATCCTGCAGCATACGCAACCAACATGATTAGCGTTCCATTTGAAATAAGAAAGACAGATCTCATTAGTATGCACAATCATTTGTTTCACTTCATCTACCCTTGCGGTTAAAGTACACTTAAATCTCTAGGGGTGGAAATACGCTGTTTGTGTGCATCTCAGGGAAGGGGAAATAAATTATTGTTTCTTTGTTTCACTTCATCTACCCTTGCGGTTAAAGTACACTTAAGTCTCTAGGGGTGGAAATACGCTCTTTGTGTGCATCTCAGGGAAGGGGAAATAAATTATTGTTTCATACTCTTGTGAAACACTCCGTCATTCATATTCGAGAGTGCAAATATCCCCCCTCCCCGCCAATTCTCTAAATTTAACTCATTTCCCCCTGTTAAGCCAAGTGAACAAAGTGGATACCTCCTAATTTCCCACAATTAGAAACTCAAAACTTTATTAAAACAAAAGAAAAACTACAAATTAACAAAGAAAGCAACAGACTAAATTCTATCGTACGTTTCAGCACTTGACACCACCATAGGGTTACACCCGCCCAATAAAAATATGGTCCCATCCTGCAATAAACTTTATCATGCATTCCGTTTGTTATTGAACCGAAAGTTTACCTTAACTAGACCGGGTATGCTACTCCAAAAGTCCAGGTTTGGAATCATTTCCGTTCCCCTAGCCCCTCTTAAGCAGTGCAATATAAATGCACCGCCTAAAAGATACACCCCGAAAATGGTACAGAACAGTATAAGTATCGTGGATCCTATACTTAAACCAGGATGACCCATTTGTATACATGCGGATGATGAAAATAACAGCAGATTCTAAAATACTGTTCTTTACACGAAAGCGATTAAATAAAACACTTACATTTTTGGAGGAAAATATTAGATATGCGCTCGGATAATCAGGTGTACATTGTAGTAGAATGGAGGTTTCCACATTTTCGCTGAAATTACTTTTTATAGTAAACAATTTTTCATATTACCAACACATACTGTGAGAAATGTAGCGTCTTTGGAAAATCGTTTAAAAACTTGCCTTCAGTTGCAAGTCCCAAATTGGTTAAGTTAGAATTACTCGCATTATACAAGCATAGCTGTAAGAAGTGAAATCGGAAACAAAAATGGAAGAGATGCTACTTACAGATGCACCGGTAAGGCAATGATTGTTCGCAATAGGTGCCTTTGGTAAGTATGTTTCAGGGATAAATTGCACATCTCGGCAGGGAAAGAAGAAGTAAGTCAAGTTCAAACTTGAGGTACTAAAAAACGTATTATTCTTGTTCAGTTTCGTTAAGTCAATGTGTTTGTTATCGTTCAACTCGCACTGGCACGGACTGGATTCCACGCAGCTGTTATCATCTGCAGAGTTTATGCTGTTAGCTAGAAGTAGACATAAAAGGGAAGGTATTAATGTATTTTTATGTAGTGGGTTAGCCATCACTGAACAGTAACTACATAATTATGTCAGAATGAACGATAAGGAATTTTTGAATAAAGAAATTTGAGGTTAGTTTCAATGTCAAATTCAATTGTCATCTGCGTCTCCCATACCACATCAAATTTGAAGTACAGTACAGTGGTTCTAAACAGGAACTAGTTTAAGTTTATGCAATTGTACGATCAGTAAAATGTTCCTAGCTGCTGCGATAGTAAATAATTTGTATTTATGCCAGGTAGAGGAAGACTTAATTTAAGAAAACAACCCTTTAGAATTTCATAGAAAGGTATTACAATGTGGATTTCACAGAAAAGAATCGAAAATAGTTGTAGACATACCAGTACAATATACAAATAATTCTACCTACCTTGCAGAACCACAAATCATATTACAAATTAGATCAGCTCCTGCTCCCAATGTGGAATAACATATAATTGTTTAAAGCCGACTCGCGTTTCTGTCCGTTTACTACAGTATACTTCAGCTGTCCTTTAGTGTGTACGTAATGCGCTTAAATTTTATTTTGAAAGGTCGATTTAGTAAACCAAAAGTTTCAATTAATGTTAACAAGAAATTTAAATCATTTAAGTTGTAACACTTTATTGGCCCTTCGATCAGTTACCTCCCCCACCGTTAAAAAAGTTTCAATTTAGTGTAATTTGTAATCCTTCAAAATAGATTGAGCAATAATCAATCTGTGAATATCGCTAATTCCTCCATATATCTCTGTAACCCTGGCATCTCTATAATGACGCTCTGCAGACATATCTTTAATATATCCAACACCGCCAAGAATTTGTATTGCATTGTGTGTAATGAATGTAGCCGCTTCGCCGGCTACCAGTTTTGCAATCGAGGTTTCTCTAGTAGACTTTTTCGACTTTTCGCGTAGATACGCCGCATTCCACACCAAAAGTCTTGCTGCTTCTAGGCGAGCGGCCATATCGGCAATTCGAATCTACAAAACACTGATTATATGTTTCATAGCTAAATATACCTCACCTGAACGGCTTGATATTTACTAATGGAATGTCCAAAACATTTTCTTACGCCGGCGTATTGTACTGCAAGCTCTAAGGCTGCTTGACTGATACCTACAGCTTGAGATGCAATTCCGACACGTGCTTCATCAAATTGGGCCATTGCAATTTTGAAACCTTCTCCAACATTCCCTAAAACAAGCTGTAATTATACTCTAAATTAAGGAAGAGAGGCCCATCACCTAACACGTTCTTCTTTGGTATCTTCACATCTTTCAGATGAAAAGTGCAAGTAGAAGTGGCACGAATACCCAACTTATCTTCAATTTTGGTAATAGACAAGTTTTGAATTGGAAGTGGTACCAGAAATGCAGTAATACCTACAAAACCCACAGTGGCGTTGATGCGACTTGTAAGTACCAACCTTTGTGTTTTAGATGCTTATCAACAGTAGCAAATATAATGGCAGCTTTGCCCTGCACGCCACTAGTTACCCACGATTTGACACCATTCAGAATATAATGATCCCCTTCTAAACGCGCAGTAGTTAAGATATTGGCAGCATCAGACCCCGCCTCTACGACATTAACGTGAAAACCACGCCTCCTCGAGTACTCAATTCACCTGGTTCACTTAAAGCAAAGCATCCGACGTTGCACAAGAAAGGCTTCAAAAACTCTTCCTTTTGTTCTTCGGTGCCGTAATTTGAGATAGCGTTCATGTACAAAAAATTATGTATCGACACAAACGCCCCGGTACCTCCACAACACCGTGAGATCTCTTCGACCGCTAATGCTGTACTAAGTTTATCTAAACCTAAACCGCCCCACTGCTTTGGGACGTTAATCCCCAACAGACCCATCTCACTCATCCCGGCTACCTAAATTTGTATCGTATGAAATGCCTATAAAATAAAGACGTTGGTTCACCTGGTCCGTAGGGAATTTGCAATCTCTGTCGAGCTCGGCCGCGATCGGTTTTAAGTGAGTCTCTGCGAAGTTCCGGCATGCTTCTTTAAATTTCACTTGTTGCTGCGTCAGGTCTGTATTAAAAAATCGACGGAACGTTTTGGAGGAGGCTAAAATTAACATGTTGAGGTACGCTGATGGGTTTACAGTTTGAGGGTCACACGCTTACGATAAATGCGCGCTTTGTTTTGAGGTTACAGTTACATTTGCCATTTACAACTCACCCTTTGATAATAATTTTCTTAAGGAAGACGTAGCCATTGGCACAAACTTTGCGATTTTCTCACACTAATGATTTTATGAAACAGGCTTAGGAGCAAACATTCATGCTTATCACCGTTTCTATGTAGAAATGGTAGGACGTTCACATTTAAAGTAACCTTGAGGTGCCACAATACACAAACGAGATACCAAAAAGATAGCACTCAGCACTGCACTGTCAACCCAATAATTTTTTAGCGCATTTTTTAAGAATTAAAAAAAAGTACCAAGTACTGCCCTTCTTTCACTCCTCTTATCAAAATACGGGGGGAGGGGGAAGGAAGAGTGGAACTAGTTTTATCCTTCATGGTACTCTAATTAACGGTCTCAACGAAAAGAATTAATTTCTACCAACCATAGCCCTCCTCCTCGACCTTTTATCCGTGATCGAGTATATTCCCTTATACCTCAAGAATGGATTGTCGGAAGAGGTACTCACAAAGGGCGATTGAGACATCTGCAAGAAATATATGCATTGGTGATGGCAAAACAAAAGCTATTTCAGTTAAAAAAATGTGCTTTATCTGCACAAGAGTTGTGCACAATTTATAATTGTTTTTGCTATTTGCGGTCAATTCAAAATTGTTCAGGATGGATGATAATTAATGCATCAATTTGGTAGATAATCTCCTATAAGATGTTCCACAGGGTAATATAGTAGGACAACTGCTATTTTAAAAATGAATTATAAGTGCACACTAAATATTTAATGAAGGTCACAACTTCACCAGATCCCTTGGGCGATGTTGCATTTTTTTTTAAATAACGCAGAAATTTAATCAAAAATTCACACCAAAAGTGCAGTGGTAGCCTTAATAGCTGACTGATAACAAGTATTTAGCAAAAACTATAGCAATAAAATCCAAAAAAGTGGAAGAGATGAAATCCCACTTGACAAGCAATGCTAAAAATTTATGCTTAACACCTAAACACATTAAACAAAACATCGACGTTATTTATATAGCAACGATACTTGAATGGCTTTTGTTTATAAACCATGGTTATGTTTTAATAATGTTAAAAGATGTAACCTTATGGACTTATGTAGCTGGCACTACAAATAACAAAAGGTTCACCATATCAAAAACCTATTCTTGAAGGGTAGCACAATAGACCAAAAGGTCACAGTGTAAGAACGACTGCAGTCATTGCATCATGTTTCATAGCAACCTTATCAAACACAAAAGAGAGCAAGATACAAACAATACCTACAACCAATAGAACCCTTAGTACACTAAACTGTGAGGGAAGATATACAAGCAGAAGGAAATTCAAAGCAAGTACTTAAGACATCTAGAAAAGTAAACAGTGTGGCAAGCAAAGATACAGACAAAACGAGAAGGAAGACCAAGATTAGACTTTTTTTATAATAAATAATTCAGAAGTTCGGTCAAAATGTAATTCACACAACAATAAAGTTAAGTACAAACAACACAAAATATAACTACTGGTCATGCACCCAAATATGAATTGAAGTACTGTTTGAGAATTTCTGGACCTGCAAAACTGGATTGGGTACCTAGTCTTGTAACACTATCGGCAGCGACATAATTTGAAATTTCAACACATTTCTCTAAACTGATATCATTGCGATTGGCCAATAGGTATGCCAAAGTACCAATAAAGCTATCTCCAGCGCCTGTCGAATCCGTACACTGCACGGCCCTACTAGGAACATGTATTGGATCAGGCGATTTCTTAGATGCCAGGCAGCTCCCCTGAGAACCCATCGTTAGTACTACAGTATTGCAACCCTTCCCTAATAGAATTTTGATTGCGACTTTCGCATCACTGAAATAATTCTGTCATAAACACCATTTCAGTTTCATCTCGTTACCTCAGATTGCGAACAGGTACACCGGCAAAAATTGAAGCCTCATGCTCGTTGACACAAAATATTGTCGGTAATGAAAATAAACGATCGTCGCATTTGGAAACGGCAGGTGCACCATTTAAGATGGAAATCTGTAAAAGTAATCGAAATATTGTTCCTAGTTTGCATTTATCGTACCCCTTTGCACAGCTCCAAAGTTTTAACAGCAACCTCCCACTTTGTTTCCAATTGACACAATACCACAGCAGCCTCCGTGATTATCTCCTTTGCATTTTCGACGTCTGCTTCGTTCAAGTATGAATTTGCACCAGCAATGATAACAATTTGATTAGCACCAGACTCATCCACATTGATTTGAGCAATTCCGCTCGAGACATTAGCCGAAATCTTCACAAAACTGCTGTCCACATTGAGATCTTTCAGATTTGTAACGTATTGCCCGCCCCAAGTATCATCACCGAGCTGAAATGTTACTCTACGGCTTCATTAATGCGTAAGATAATCGTAAAGGACTTACTCGAGCTACTAATGCAGTTTTTCCTCCCAGTTTTGCAGCGGCGACGCATTGATTGCCGCCTTTTCCGCCGAATGCTGTTTTAAATTGGGTACCGTGGATCGTTTCTCCCTCCTTGGGCAGGCGTGGGCAATAACTGATGAAAAAATATGTTTTGGAACACACAGACTGGGAGTTAAGGTAGATACCTGGTGAAGTCGATCATGCAAGAACCCACGACAACGATATTGGCCGAAGCCATTATTCCTTAAGTAATTAAGACTAATTAAGTAACACGTCTGTTTGTCGAGTTGATAACCGACAATTTGGATGGGATATTAAAAATAGAAATTAAAATATTCATGTTATCACAAGGTTATCATTTAAATGAGTGCTCTATTTTGAAAGTGTCTAATGGCCCATTCTGTGTCTACAGTCGGGATTGCTACTGTTCTAGTATACAGGGACAATGATAAAATTAGGCCTCAACAGAACTTTTCTTTAGATGACCAGAAAAAAACAATGGACCGAATTGAAAATAAGCATTGTGTTTGTAAGGGAAAGGGTGTGTAAGGCCAGATAATCCTAAGAAAATGGTTCGGGAAATTCAGCCCTCGCCTTTTTGGAATAAGTACCTGGTACAATGTTTCAATCAAGTGAAAGTGAAATAAAATGGTAGCTAATTAAACAAAACTAATGGTCTAATCGGTAATCCTCTAATCACGGTGTGTTCCGAAAACATTTTTCTGTGAGAAAAGAGTTTAGTTTAATCACCAGCTGCTGTGCGATACCATGTTGGTCACAGTGTGATTTGTGGTTGGTAGCACTGAAGATGCCCGATTTTAAAAGTTGTCAGTTATTTTAAAATTTATATCCATTGTTGATTGTTGATATTTTATCTAAAAAATGCTAAGAAAAAAGTTTGCCGATATACTTCACAAAATTCAACAAAGTTCCTCGTGTCATCAAAAATATCGGCATGTATTAATTAAATTATACAACGAGGTAACACCCAAAAGAAGTTGGTTACTGTCCTAACCTTTAATTATTTTAGAGCTCTTTCGATGATTTTGAATGTGAGTTTATGAGATGCACGGAATTATTATTTGGAATGGAAATTAAACAAAAAAATATTCACGCCGAAAGGTCCGTTGAGTTTTTATCATCGTTTGTTACCACTTTAGTGAACAGCACGCTGAAAAAACCGGGAGAGGATTTAAGCGAGGATTCAAGCGAGGATTCCGATCAAGATGTCGAAATGCATCCATTTTTAAATGCAGTGGTCAACAACGTTTTACAGGTTTCACAGAACTTGAGGTTTTTAAGTCGTTGCTTTCACTTTTTATTTTTAGTATCAAAATTTGGAGCAAATGTCGGCTCGTTACAGGTGTTGCCAGTTCATAAATCTGCTCCTGCGACAGTTAGGAGACGATGCACAGATTGACATGGATATTGCAAATTTAATTCAGACCGCTATGCTCGAACGTATCATTGTACTGTTTAATTAAGCGCGCTTACTCGTTTATACGCAGCCTCTGTTTGCAGGACGTCAAACCGAACGTACGACTGCAAGCGGTGAAAGTTTTAGCCCGTCTTCAGCAACCGGACAATCCCGACTGTCCGGTGATCCAAGCATTTTTACACCGCCTATACGAAAGTAGCGCGCAGGTACGCGTCCGGGATTAAACGACCGGTAGGTTTTAATCGACGGTTTTAAAGGTGCGGAGGGAAGTCGTCGAGTCGATAGCGTTAATTCCGTCGATCATACCGAAAATTGTGGAGCGAGTTCGAGATTCTGACCCTAACGTTCGTTTGGCGGCGTTTCGGAAGTGCTCGTTAGTTGGCCCTAAAATGATTACGATTTCCAATCGGCAGTTGGTGCTAGACAGCGGTTTTACGGAGTCAAATTCTTCAGTGAAGAAATTCTTTTTGGAGGATACCTTGCCGAAGTGGTTAAACGTCTATAACGACGATTATTTGTTGCTGTTGAAGGGTTTAAAGTTAGATGCCTACGAAGAGGACTTGAAAAAGACGGAAGTCATTTCTAGAAAGGTTCTGGAAGTTTTCTTTAAGTACGTTGTTGATAAGTTTCGAGTGCGGATGTATGTTATTGGATTTTTTTAGATCGAAATCGTTGTCCCTATTGGAGCATTTACCTATTGACGAAAATAAATTGATTCCCATTGAGCGATTGAGTAGCGAAACTGCGCTATTTTGGTGTATTCTGGCGGGATTTTTGAGGGAGTCCGATGATAATGAGGAGCACTTAAGCGAAATTATGCCAGAATTGACACATTTTTGTACTTTCATTGAAAAGTTATATACCTTATGCGTTTTAAAAACTTAGTTAAAATTTTCTTGTAGATATTACAATGAAACTAAAAGGAAACAGTTAATGGAGTGGCAGTACTTGGAGTACCAACAAATTTTGTGCCAACTTCTTAAGATCGTTAAGGAGTACGACTTGAGTGATGAGGTAAGAGGGCAGTGTAGCATGAGGCTGATTATTGTATCATCTACAGTGCTTTCAGAAGTAGACATGGGGATTTATGTGTATTGTTTTCCCTATGTCTACTTTTACATGACAAAATCTATTCTTCAATTGACTACGCATCGCACACAAATGAAAATTAGCATACGGAAGTTACTGTCAAAGTAACAAATATGACAGCCAGATCTTTATTTGTTTTAAGAAGTTATTTTGATTGCATAAAATTAGGCGCCCTTCATAGGAGAATTTCTCATTTCAAAGTAGAAAAACCGAGAGAAAAACTACTTTTATCAGCCGATATAGTATGTTGTCAGCTAACAATGTTGTTAAGGCATGTGATTGGATGTTTTTTTTACGAAAATATCCAATCGTGGTTAACCCCCCTGAGGCGGAGAGTAGTCGGAACATTTACCAAACCCCCCCAATTCTATTAGGATGAATTACTAACTAATAATGAACAATTGTTATGGCAGGTGGGTAGGCAAACAATACAGAAGTTGCTCATTTACATGCTATCGGATGGAAAATTTAACGGTTGCGTGATTACCGAGATAATCTTCATCATGCAGAAGATTAATCCTGCCATGGATAGCTTTACTATCCAAATTTGCCATATCGTCTCCGACATTCACGAACCGTTAACGGAACAACTCCCCTCGCCGAAGACCGTTTACCAAACCCAGTTTCAGGTGATCGCGACTTTTCTAATTGCCGCAATCGTTGTAACTTCGGTTTCCAGTTGGCCGAGCTGAGAGTAAAAATAAACGTATTGATCGACGAGCGCGATGAGGCGGTCGCGAATGCCGATTACGATCGCGCGTCCGTTGTTAAAAAGCAACTGATCGAGCTGAATCGACAAGTTGAGGAAATCAACAGCGCCATGACTTCCCAGAAAATGGAACGTAATCCGCGGAACGATCCGGAAACTCTTTGCAAATGCTTGAATATTCTAATCGGCCTCTTGTCAAATCCCAAGTTGACCGTCTTAACGGCCTCGCTTCGTAGCTGTAAGGATGAATTTATACGCCCTCTTTTATCCAATGGCGATATGGAGGTGTACTCGAAGGCGTTCAAGTGCATTGCGCTTTATTGCCTGTTGGATAAACAACTTGCACAGGAGAATTTAAAGAGGATATGCTTGCCTGTAAGGGATAGGATTTTCAAAGAGCGACTTGGTAAAAATTGTTTGCAGATCATTTCCTATCGACTAATGCCGGAGTACGATAAGGCGTCGTTATTTATCGCGATTGCCGCCTTCTCAGACGTCCTTCGTAAGTATGGTACGGAGATTTTTAATGACGTAGCCGAGAATACGGTAATGTCGGACACTGTAAGCAAACGTCGGTTGAACGGAACAAGAAGACTATTCACCAATACCGCAAAGGACGACGTTGATACGAGCGACATTGACATGTCGGGTTATGAGAGTATTATTGAAATTTTGTTGGACATGCTGGATGATGAGGTTCGTACAAGAAAATGTATTGGGTTGGTTTAGAAAGCTTTCTTTTGCAGAATCAGGAGTTAAGGGAGCAGTCCGGAATGGCCTTGTGTGAGCTGGTAAGACATGGGATTGCTGTCTCTCCAACGTTGATATCTCGCCTCATTCTAAAGTGGTTAAATCCTCTCACTGGTATGCACGTTATTAAACCTCGTAATTTATTTAAGGGGGGATTCCAGTTGTACATTAATAGGTACTTAAAAATAGACCAATTGAAATGCCTGGGGCTCAATTTTAAAGAGAAAGTCACCGGTGCAAACAGAATTCAGCTATCTGTAATCGTTTGGTCGCTAGTGGGCGTTTCTAAAATTGCGATATAGTTTTTATACAGGCTGATTGGTTTTTGCTATAGGACCCTACACTACATTTTTCATACGGACCACCCTCTATACAGGGTGTTCATTTTATTTTGTCCACTATTGCCAGAGCTGGGCAGTATGTATTCGATTTTGTAAATACTTTTTAGTATTCAAATTCTTTAAAGTATTCAAATACTTTGTAATTAAATACTTTTATGGAAGCAGTATTTGTTTTTGTAACTCTCACAAATATTTAGTATTCGAATACTTCGTATAGTATTTGAATACTATACAAAAATCTACTACTCCAAATTTCTCGGGAAAACACATTTTCTTATTAATTTTGGTGCGTAGAATCCAAAACAATTTGTACTTTTTCGTAGACTTCTCAATAAATAGTTATGGACAAAAAACAAATTTCGAAAAAAAATTCAAATGGCTGTAACTTTTGAGCTAGTAGCCCAATCTTCAAACTGTTTGAAATTATGGATTCTACGAGCCAAATTCTATAGGAAAATGTTTTTTCCCGGTCGATCTCAGACAATTTCTTTTCCGATCTCAAAAAAAGGCAGTGATTAACCTTCCTTTTTACCAAAAATCGACTACACCAAAATTTCTCAGGAAAACACTTTTTCTTATTAATTTTGGTGCGTAGAATCCAAAACAATTCGTACTTTTTCGAAAAATTGAATATCGCAGTTATCATAGAACTTTTCACACAAACAAAGGTAAACTTTGTCATTTCCAGACTAGTAACACTGCAATCATGGCCTTCTAAGATTTATGATAATTGCGATATTCAATTTTTACTTGACAGCTACTTTTTGGAAAAATTACAAATTGTGGCTAAGCTCATTTTAGATATCATGTGTAATACATAAAGTCACACTACCATTGATCCTAAGGAATCGAAATATGTATGCAATAATATACAGGGGGTTCTATTTAAACTTTGATATAAATCACCATGTATAACCATCCTATGTTGTATTAATGGCAATATTGACCTTCATGTGAAATATGCAAGCAGATAGAAGGGTAGGTAATTAAAATTTTATCTTTATTTCGCCGCCCATACGGCTGATATAGGTTTCAGCGATTGCCACACAAGAAAATAGTTATGCAACTTTTCATACTTCAATTTCAAACAAGAATCTACTGGAATCCCCCCTTAACAATTAAATTGTGACGCATGAAACACTTTTTAGGAACCCACCCAAAAATATTAATGGTGGGTTTATACAATCATTATCATTAGTTCACTATCATTAGATCATTAAGTAATATCCAATAGAAACAAAGGTATGGTTCTTTGGTTAGGGACGCACAATAAACCTTTCAATCTATTGGCCATTTCTTAATGATGCATTGATAGTGAACTAATAATGATTCTACAAATTGGCAAATTATTAGCAGATTGGTGATCATCACCTATTAGTTACTGGTACCGGCACATAAGAAGGCTACAGCGTAGATGACTTTAGCCAACTGGCTCCATTGCACACTAATAGTTTCAATTAATGGAATAAGAATAGTGCGTGATCTTTCGCCTTCTTACGTGCCGTGTACAGTACGCTTTAGATCGTATCAGTTTTTTGCCAAAGAAATTGGTGATCACTACGTTATAGCAATTTAATATTTAATTTATCTACATTTGGGTTAAATTTATAATTTCCCTAAACAGTAAAGAAACTTTTCAGAAAAACACGATCAGAAGTTACAACAATTGCTTGCCAACGCCCTAGTTTTCTTTGCGCGATTTGTGGGCGACGGCGATGAGTTGCTCGAAAAGGCGGTTATACCGATCCTAACGAGTTTAGGCAATGCGCCCCGTACGAGTCCGCTCGCCGACGTCGACATCGACAGCGCTTTAAGTTTCATAGCGGCAATTACGAGCATCCAGAAACCGGTGGTGAGATATTGCTTTTCGTTCGCGTTTCGATCGTACGATTTGATCTTTTAGGGTTTCAATAATATTCACAAAAATCTAGCGTTTGCCGTGTGCGAAAAGATCGCTCCCAGACCCGACGATAAGTGCGTGCCTTTATACGTGAAGATGTTGCTTCATCTCGATCCCGTTTTAAAAGACGCCGTCGTCGTACGAGAGCTCATTGATCAAGCACAACTGATTATCGATGTAATTGGTCTGACATGGTTAATTTTGTGTACTAATCTTTCGCTTTTCAAGGAACTATCTGACAAGTTTGCGAAACGTAACATGCAAAAGTTTGTGCATAAATTGAGTGAAATATTGGCAGATCTGGAGAGAGAAACTGTGGAACCGACTATCGAAAATTCACCCCTGCTACAGGTATTAGACACAAACAGGGAAGAAACCGCAGCATCCGAGATGAGACCAAGGCATTCAATAAACGAATCAAATCTGGAACCAATTTTAAAAGACATCCCCACGAATAACAATAATAATTTAATCCAGGCAAAATCAAATCGAGTAGTCATATTGAGTAATGTACGTGTTGATAACATATTGCCTAATACTTCCACATTTCCGAAACCAACGGATGAAAGTGTAACTACCGACGCGAACGTGGAACTTTCCCAAAAAGTGAACGGCTGCTTGCCAACACCGGCAACAGATCAGAATAGGGTGAATGGGGCACATATATCGAACAACGCCTACGTGAACATGTGGAAGCAAAATTTGTTAAGGAGCGATAAGGAAAATGATATACGAGACGAACAAACGAGCAAAAAAGAGACGACGAATCAGGTCAGAAAGTCGCTTTTTACCGGCGTTTCAAATTCTGTTAAAAGGAAAAAAAGACGGACGAGGTCTAGCCTTCATCATACAATGCACAGTGACAGTGACGAGACAATATTGCACACGATAATCGAGGACAATTCTCCTAAGGTATAAAGCAATTCATATTGTAATTTTGATCTATTGTGTAGTAGAGTATAAGCACTTTGCAGTCATATTCGGCCATTACAAGTGCAGGTAAGTACTGTACTTTGGAACGACTATTTTCAGAGTAATTGAACTGCTTAAACATTCATTTAGTTTAGATGATTAATAGAGGGGTAGATAATGGCGAGTATATTTCAGATGATGATACAAGCATGAAACTTAAGTTATGAATACTTCTATAAAGGTACTGTTTTATATAAAAACTGGCCATTTAAACAATTCAAAATGGCAGCCGTTTTTACTTATATCAGTCATAATAATTATATGGCCTGTGACCTTTATTCTTAGGACACCCTGTAAAATTGTGCAAAATTTCTCATTCCTACGACTATTTAGATGTGGGGTCTCGAGTACTTCCAGTCAGCCTATGGACTTGAAAATTCATCCGAGGAAGAGGGAAGAGTATTTGGGAAACAAGCAAATTTAAGAGTGGGGGGGGGGAGGGGTCCTGTGCGTAGCTGACTATTTTTTTAAATAGTTCTTCAATCACCAAAATTAATTTTTTTTGTCTTTAAACAGATGGGAAGTTTTCACGAAGACGACAATATGTCCATCCAATCTGTCTCATCAGAAGCACCTTCAAACGGCTCTTCTCTCGTAAGACGAAGTTCGCGGAGACCTCAGAAGGTCATCATATCGGAAACGTCATCGGACTCCGAGTATGTGTCAACGAGCTATCGACGTACATAAGTAAAAAATTTGTGTTGCAGGGGCCATCATAGGAAAAAAAAGGCATTAAAGAAGACAAGAAGGTACTTAAATATTTTCGTATAATTTTTAATGAAGTAACTCTTTTAAGATTTTCGGTAAATGATACAGCAGAAATATCTACAACGGACTCGAACCACTCCTTAAGTATAATCGACAGTTCGCTAATATCGCAGAAGACTCTCACCTCGTAAGTGAAAGACCTAACGTGCATGGGTGTTAAAGAAATTTTTTTTTGTAGCAAGCGCCCCACTAGGAAATCACAAAGACGTTCGGGAAACAAGCTGAGGTACTTGTGCTAACGTAAAATAATTACACTTATACTTCTATTATTTGTAAGCTTTTTTTATACTGTAAATTAAACAAGCAAAGTTTGCTTTTAATATTTAAGTTTCTATAAGGGGAGGGGGAGCATCAGTTAAAAATTGATTTGAATTTTTTTTAATTTATCATCTTTTCGGGAAGTTCGGGCGATAATTCAGACAAAGATCCGAAATCAGACGCAAGTTTCCGTACAGAACAACCTTCACAAGTACAAAAATGGCAAGCGCTTGTCATGTCGGATAGTTCGTCGGACTTTGAGTATGTGGCCCCACCTTCTGTACATACGAAAAACTAAAGGCTTGTTTCAGGAAACGTCCGGAAAGAACGCGATTGTCGCTGAGAAAAACTATGAGGTACTCTTGAAGAATTCAGTAAACGAGTTGTAGTAATTTAAAATTTTCTGTAAATGCTTTCATGCACATTAATTGGCGTAATTATTTTATAAACTTGACTGAAAGTCAAAAATTTTAATTTGAGTGTAGTTTTTGAGTTAATTTTACCATTTCAGATGATGATAATTAAACGTACCTATTTATTCTGTAAATATTTTTTGTACAGTGACAAAAGCAATAGAAATCTTTGTGTTGTAATTACCCTTAGTGAGGTTGCTTAATGTAAAATTTTTAGATTATATTTACCAGCCGGATACAAGCACAAACTTTTGTATGAAACTTCCCGAGACCCTAACAAACAATTCCTAATGGGATACCACTTGTGGGTACCGTTTTTATAAGGGTTCGAACTCTTGAAAATTGACATTTTGTCATATTTCTCGGAAATTTGAATTTTACAAATTTTTCCTTTATTACAATTTTGTGGATCTTTAGCATGGTACCATACACTTTCGGTTGCTGATGTAAATCGGAAGTTGAGTAAGCGTAAAAATGACATACAGTCAACACACTCGCAAAATGCTGTGCACTCATCGTCCGCATATCTTGCAGAGTCCAGTGCAGTAGCACTTAACGTATTGTGATCCACACTGGCTCCCACTTCTTGTTAATTTTCCAACCAAAGGCACTTGGACTTGGAATCATAAGTTGCAAATGGATAATGTCCTATATACAGGAAGGCTTCAGTTACATCGTCGACTATAGGCTCTATATCATTAATGCCTTTGTTCAGTCCTAGGAGACCGAAAGTCGCAGGCTCCACCAGTTTTCCACGCTAACGATGTCACTGAAACCTTCCTGTATATTTCAAATATTGAGCACATCTCATAGCTTCCAGCTAACAGAGATTTAAAGCTGCATTGTATGAGTTTGTCAACGAAGACAGGATGAAAACGTTCTGTAGTAAGAACCCATCTCTGGAGAAACGGCCTCGCTGCCCAGGTAAAAATAAATATGCATGAATTTGTAAAGTGACACTTCTAAGTCTTATAATTCAAGTAAACTATTTTGACTATACAGGTGTAGTCGCATATGCCGAGCCACGAAATTTATTCAGAACTAAGTTGACGATTTTTACTTTTTTAGGACTCTATCGATCATATTTCAAGAAAGCATTTGGATTACAAGCGATCAGAGGCAACCTGTGGTTCCAAGCCCAAGCGATTTTGGTTGGAAAATCGACAACAAGAAGTGGGAGCCAGTGTGGATCACAATAGGCTGTTGCACTGGGTTCTGCAAGACATGCAAGTGCACTTTAGTAAAATTAAAGTACATGAACTTAAGTCATGATTTGTAGGGGAACACATAAATACGATGAGGGTCTCGGGGAGCAGCTTGTATCTGGCCGGTAAATATGTTTTCGCTAAGCGACCTCGGTATCTGTGAATTATTAATTAGTTTTGTATTGTATTTTGATAAGCCGCTTTCCATGTGATCATCGAACAGATCGGACAGATTCTGTGCTGGATGGAAAAAGGCGTAATCGAAAGCAGCTGGTGGTCAATTTAAGTAGGATCTCATCAGATTTCGGGTACGTGTGAGATTTGCAATTATAAAATTACAAAATGTTTTTACAGGAAGAAGGATTGTGGTAACACAACGTCATTGCAACAGAAAATTAGGTATGTGTTGTTGTGATTATGTACTTACACAGCGCTAGGTTGCATTATTAATACCAAATAAACACACTATATTGTATCACAGCCGAAAGTTGCTTACCATAAATTATTAAGCATTCTTAGTATGCAATTATTGGTTTTGGTTGAGCTTTAGCTTTGCTTTTTAACTACTCAATTTTATTTTAATCCATAAATAGTTATTTCAAGACGATAAAGGGGGGATGTTCTAATCATCGAGTGAATTAATTTTCACTTTATTTTATAGTAGAAGTCATATAAATCATTATTAAACTTCTGAATTTAATTTAGTAGCCAAAAATAGCAAGCTTAGCTTCTTAATTCCGATGGCGAAACAGTAGAATATCACATGATTTGAAATATTGTTGCTCGCGCTACTCTTGGTACTTCTACTTGTCATTGATAGATGTCTTTATTTACTTTATACTAAAACGATACTTTGTAGTCCTTCTCAAATTTTCAAAAAGAATCGCATATACAAATCTCAAAGTGTGCAATTCACTTCACTCTTATCGTTGCGAAGGTATTAAAGTAAAGATTGTCGCTCTTTGGACAAACAAAAATCAATTATCGTTAAACTTTGGATTTCGATTTATCGGTTATTTTGTTATCGATTTGCATGTAAATCCTTTAATACCTGTCAGACTTTACTTTTTCGATTGCAATATTCAAAAACTTTTTACTCATTCGTAAAAGACTTATTTGTTATGCTTAAAATTTAGGTGATATCATTGAATAAGGTGCTTATTCAATGGTCTTTCGCCATCTATCGGCAGGAGTGCACCTCTTAAGTGCAATTGTACTAATTTTAAAGTGAATTGAGTTTATTCTCCCGTTTTGAGACTTGAAAATATAACCCCTTAATCTTATTCTACCTGAAAGGCGTTTTTCTTAAGACCTCTAGGCTTGAATTAGCTTGAACACGCGATTAAATTAATTTTCTAATTACAAATAAAGATCACAATTTATTTTATTTACATTCCCTTACGTCGATTATGCTTTAAAACGGATTTACTATTTTTGTCACAATTACACTGACCACAATTTTAAACAATCGGTGTTTTTCAGTGTGTCCTAATAAATGAACATTTAAATTTTTGTTACTACATATTCGTGGCATACCTAATCGCACAGAACGCTCGGAACATCCTTCATGTGTGTGTTAATAGGTGACGCTTTATGCGCACGCTTAATTGTCGCGTAATTACACAAATAGCAGTGATAGAAAGTTATTAAAAGCGGAATTTGTTAAAGAATGACGTACCTATGTATTTCCTATTTTTGTGGTGTAATTGCACTGTTCACAACTCACTGTATTTGTTCGAGTTGGCCTAATTTGAAAATTATAATTTTCTTTAATTAATTGTGATGATTGTTAAGTTATGATCCACCACTGCTGTTAATTAAATGATATTTGGTATGTTACCAAGTTTATAGTTTGGTTTTGCCGGAGCATTGTATATTCAAACTCCGCAATCATTTTCGGTCACCCGGTATTTGAAACAGCTGACTGTATGTACACAAATTTGTGCACGTTTTAGGTTAGGAGAGCGGATCTCGTATTAAATTTATTCCAACGGTTTTTTTAAATATTAATACACAGGACGAAGAGGATTTGGCTTGCAAAATAATTAACTTTCTCTTCAGAAGCGGTAATTACAGGTGTGTTACCTTTAAAACTATGAAAAATACTTTCCCGCCAAATTCATAGATATACTTTTATCCATTACTGAATATTATTAGCTCCTGGGTATTCACAACAAAGTTGTTAGTTACGCACGTCTTGTAAGCAATTAGTGAAGTTACTGCTAAACACGTTCTCAGATAGGTTTTAAGAAACTACCGAGTGAGCAGAGTGAGCAATTTGCTGAATAGGTAAAAATCCAAAGACCCAATACGAAAAATCTAGTCTTATTGCTAACACAATGGCCCGTATGAATAAAAGTAAGCAAATGCTTGTACTTGCAAAATTCAAAGTGAATACTCGTAACTGCCCCTTCATACTGGTCTGTTTAGCATGGTTTAGCAGCGCTGCACTGCGTCCTGTCCTTCTGCTTAGAAGCGCTGCTAAGTCGCCTAGTGCGAAGGAGCACTTAGGAGTATTTACTTTGAATTTTGCAAGTATAAGCATTTGCTTACTTTTATTCATACGGGCCAATGAATAGGAGGAGCGAACTTGAGATCTAGGAGAGCTCTGCGAGCGTGAGCTCCCCTGTGTGTGGTTTGGAATGGAAAAGATGACCCTTTACGCCCAATGCTTCCATGCAACCCCTTACGAGTGTTCGCATAGAATACAGGGGGACATTTTTAATAAAAGATTACTTGCTGCCCGATAGCTAATTGTAAATTTTGTCTACAGTCAACCACACAGAGGAATTTTCACATCCGCGAGTGACTATCAGAATACGGTAAATGTCCACGTGAACATGCCGCAGGGGAATTTGTCAAGCAGCCATATGGAAAATGTGATAGGAAACGAAGGTAACTTTTTCATTCCTCCACTGACTACTCATTCCGTCACTTGTAGGTAAAGCGAAAGACGATTCGATGAGTCAGGCTAGCACATCAAATTCTGGTAAAAGAAAAACTAGACGGACAAGATCCATCAGTCACGAACATTCGCAAAGTGACGGTGACGAGACAATATTGCACACGATAATAGAGGACAATTCCCCTAAGGTATAAAACAATTCATATTGTAATACTTTTTGATCTATTGTGTATAAGCAGTTACATTCGGCCATTATAAGTGCAGTGGAGCTGTTCTGGAAGGTATTTCAGTAATTGAATTTGTTAATTATATTTATTTTTATTGATTTATTGTCAAAAATGCCACATGTGGCTTTGACATGTCAATAGTGTTGCCATGAATAGTTATAGTTGTAGTGACACAAAAATGACTTTCGCTTCTTAAAAGAACTCCAAAAATTATTGTGCGCTATATTTGGTAGAAGGGTGTAATATAAGCGAACGACATGTGATTGACAAAGCACAAGTTACCATTTTTAATGGAATAAAGTTATAAAGTGTATAACAAATAAAAATAAATTGACATAATGCAACTAGATATACAGGTTTTTTTTTTGGGAGCTTTAGTTAATCATTTCTGGGAATATTAAATTTCATATACCTATATGTAAATTATGTTGTCTAAAACAGATTGGAAGTCTTCACGAAGACGACGATATGTCCAACCAATCCGTTTCGTCCGATACACCTTCAAATGCATCCTCCCTTGTGAGACGAAGTTTGCAGAGGGTTGAAAAGAACATCGTGTTAGAAACATCATCCGATTCGGAGTATGTGTCACAAGCTAGCGACATACATAAATAACAAAATTTGTTTCGCAGGGATCAAGGCAGAAAAACGAAAAAGTCGTTAACAAAGACAAGAAGGTACTTAAATATTTTCGTATAATTTATAACGAAATATTATATTTTTTTAAGACGTTCGGAACATAGTGAAGCAGACATTTCTACAACGGATTCGACTGACTCCTCGACTACAATAGAAAGATCCCAAACATCGCAGAAGACCTCGTAAGTCATAAATCTAAAGTGCATAGTGAAATTTTATTGTATAAAGCTACTAGGAAGTAACAAAAATAATTCATACTTTTATTATTTGTAATTATTAATCTGTGAATTATTAATGAGGAGCCTTCAACGTGACCGTCGGACAAAACCAGATTCAACGCCGCAGGGAAAAGGACATATTCAAAAACGGTCGGTGGCTAATGTAGGCAGGATGTCATCAGATGCGGGGTACGTGTGGGATTTGCACTATTAAAATTATAAAATTTGTTACAGAAAGAAGGATCACGGTAACAAAACGCCATTGCGACAGACAATTAGGTATGTGTTGTTGTATGTGTGTACTAAAGTCACTAAATATAGAAAAGCGTTAGAGAGAGAACGCATGATTTTCGCCCAAAAATGGCGGAAGTTACCAGATTCTAGTAACTTTAATGTTAGGGATTGTTGCACCTGTTTGAAGATATCTGTATATATTTTTATAAAACATGACAGTACTATGAAGTTAGGTTATAAAAAATGACAGCTATTCAGATTTTATTTGTCAATTTTTTGAAGTTGGCAGAAAATTTGCCCAAAAATGACGGATGATTGCGGTACTTTCCTATTATCTAGTGACTTTAATGTGTACTTACACGGCGCTATGTTACATTAATGATAACCAAATAAACGCACTATTCTGTCACAGAGCAAAAAGTTGCTTATAAATTACACTCGACACCCAAAAGTTAATTAAACATGAGAGTAATGCTATTTGATTTACCTAAAGTAGAAATTTTATACCTCAAAAATACCCTAATGAGAAAGTAAAACGTTAACGCCCTGTTGTTTGACAATATTTGAAACAGCTGACTGATCAAGGATATGGGGACATGGTGTCCTATTAATAAAGGTCACAGGCCATATATAAGGGGTCGTTAATTGCACAGCTTGGGTTAACAAAAGAGGCTAGGAGAAATCGTTGGAAATTATTTTCTACGTTTGCCGCTAGAGGGCGTGCGATTTATGGTTGAACAATTTGTTCCTAAAATATAGCCAACAAAATGCATGCATAATAAATAGTGAAATAGGTCAAATCTCAGTGAAAACCGCAATTTGATTACTGTTTCCTAAGCAGGGATATGGTGAAAACACACATTCACAAATTTAAAAGTCGGTTTTGAAACATAAGAAACAACCCCACGGAAAAAACTACTCGCCTGAGACTTCGTCTTTGTATCGAAAATGATGGCAGATGGTTGAACATTTACGATAGTCATAATTATTGTTTCTTTTAGTATTTAATTTATATTTAAAGTTTGAATAATTTATTAGTTGCTCATAATATAAAAACTTGTAGTGAGCGTTAATTTTAATTATTATTTACCGTTACCGCTTGTTATGTTTTTTGTTTCAAAGCCAACTTCAATGAATATAAATGTTGAAATTTAAATTTGTGAATGTGTGTATTTTCGCCACATCTCTGCTTAGGAAGCAGGCATCAAAATACGATTTTCAATGATATTTTCACTTTTTCAAGTTATTTGATTCTGATTGTCATATGAGAATTATAAGGTTTCATTTGGAAACCTGCAAAGTTTATGTTAAAAGTTCAACCACGCCCTCTACCACTCTTCACATTTACTAAAGAGACTATCATTGTAAAATCTGATTACATTGTCCAGTTAAACTAACTCGAAGTTACATTCAACTCCTTAAAGAGATGTTCCCTTTCCCCACTTCTCATGCAATAGATGCTGCATCAAAATGATGCAAAATTAACGGTTCCATAGATATGGCCTGTGACCTTTAGTAATAGAGGGCACCCTGTACACAAATGAGTGCAAGGGTTTTAAGATAGTGAGTAATGGCAGTCTTAATTACGCATGTTTTATAACCAATTAGTAAAGTTACTGACAAACGTTCTCAGATTGGTTTTACGAAAAACCATCCAAATAGGTAAAGGTGGCTACCCAATATGAAAAATCTAAAGTCTTACTGCTAACACAAAGAATAGAGGGGCGTTTTTAATAAAAGATTACTTGCTGCCTTATAGATAATTGTAAATTTTGTCTATCAGAGATGAAACTTCCGCATCCGATACCTCGAGTACGAATACAGTAAATGCGGCATATACATCGAACAAGGCCTACGTGAAAATGTGGAGGCAAAATTTGTTATTAACGAACAATAAGGAAAACGAGATGCGAAACGAAGGTAATTTTTTAAGTCCTCCACGTGGCACTACTTATTCCGTATCTTGTAGGTACAGCGAAGGACGATTCGACGCCTCGGGTCAGAAAGTCGATTTCTTCCCGCATATCAAATTCTGTTAAAAGGAAAAAAAGGCGCGTGAGGTCCAGTCGTCAACGTACAATGCGCAATTCTCGTAAGGTATAACACAATTCATATTGTAATGCTTTTTAATTTGTTGTGGTAGAGTGTAAGCATAGGTGCAGGTGCAGTACAATGAACGGTTATTTTCAGAGGAATTGTAGTAGGCCTGTCATTGGTGATTTTTATCTGGAAATAACCTGCTACCATCTTCCCAAGATGGTCGCCACAAACAGTTTTTCGCAGATATCTTCAAAACAATGCATTTTTCGAAAAAATATATGGAGAGCAAAATTAAAGAGAAGAGAATTTCCTAAGTGTAGTTAGCATATTTTCGCTAAAGTTGACCCTTAGGCAGAAAACCAGAAATGTTTAAGAAACAGTGCTGTATATTTTGTTTAAATGATTTATTAATCAACAAACTTTTCCGTCATAAACGGCCGAAGTGCAATTTAAAACTTTACTGTCTTCTGATTGGCCAACGGAAAAACGGAAACATATGCACGGTGTGAACCCATCCTAAGGAGAGGAGGTAGGTATTGGAAATGAGCAGGTGCATTCTTTCATACCTGGGGAGGTTTTGTGGTTGAGGTGTATGGCATTGAGACTCCTCTTAGTTAGTTAGTTAGTAGTTATAGTGCTTGTCACTGTGACTTTTCAGTACAGGCAGCATAAATCTTATATTATGTAAATTATGTTGTTCTTGAAACAGATTGGAAGTTTTCACGAAGACGACGACAATATGTCCGTCCAATCTATTTCGTCGGAAACATCTTCAAATGGATCATCCCTTGTGAGACGAAGAGTGCATTCCGACTCTGCGATGAAAGGAAAAAGACGTATTCAAAAGCAGCCCGTGGTTAATTTAACCAGGATGTCATTAAATCCAAGGTACATGCACTGTTCGTATACTAAACGGTTGTCTCACTTGGTGCAGTTTGTGGGCGTAGAGCGGGAGGGGTACTTACCGCTTGTGTCGTACCCTAGCCTGTCAAAGTTTTTGACGTGTCTGTACGCTTGACGTTTGTACCACAGCCATCTTGCACAGGTGTATTGTATGTGTCTCTCACCCTCATTTGCCGCGTCTTTATTAGTCAAGATATTGAATTATTGTTTACCTATAAGCAGAGCTACCTTTAAAGTATTCAAATACTTTGTAATTAAATACTTTTATGGAAGCAGTATTTGTATTTGTAACTCAAATACTTTCACAAATATTTAGTATTCGAATACTTCGCATAGTATTTGAATAGTATCTGCATCTTTTTTTCTCGGGAAAACACTTTTTCTTATTAATTTTGGTGCGTAGAATCCAAAACAATTCGTACTTTTTCAATCAGACTTCTCAATAAAAAGTTATAGACTAGAAACCAATTTCGAAAGAAAATTCAAAGGGCTGTAACTTTTGAACTAGTAGCCCAATCTTGGAACTGTTGAAATTATGGATTCTACAGGCCACATTCTATAAGAAAATTTTTTTTCCGGGTCGATCTGAGACAATTTTTTTCTCGGGCCTCAAAAAAAGGCAGTGTATAACCTTCCTTTTTTACCAAAAATCGACTACACCAAAATTTCTGGGGAAAACACTTTTTCTTATTAATTTTGGTGCGTAGAATCCAAAACAATTCGTACGTTTTCGATTAGACCTCTCAATAAATAGTTATGGACAAAAAACAAATTTCGAAAAAACTTTTGAACTAGTAGCCCAATCTTGGAACTGTGGTAAATTATGGATTCTACGGGCCAAATTCTATAGGGAAATGTTTCAAAATCGCTAGGATTAATTTCAGAAAGGCGTACGTATCATGTGCACGACTTACGATCGCTTTGAAAACTGGTACACGTATTCTTAAGGATATATAACTGGTATAAGAAAGGTCCTGGTAGGTACCTCCTATATAATAATATAATAATAATACGCTTTTACTCCCCTTAAATTTGTATATAACAATAGAAATATAAAAAAAGGTAACCCCATACAAAGTATAACTTGATTTTTTAAGTAGTATTAAGCCTTTTACCTAGTATACCAGGCGCGGATTTAAAGGGGGGGCGCAGGGGGCGACCGCCCCCTCCTAGACAGTGGTCACCTAGTGACTATTGGAAAAGACTTACATATTCCAATTCTTAATCATTTAATAACTGACTTAAAAAATCGTTTTAGTCAAAAAAATTATTAAATTTAAACAAAATATATTAATACCTAATGCTCTTCTGGCAGAGCTGCAGATGATAACATTTTAATTGATAAAAGAGTACGGATAACCCGTCGTTAGCACAACTTTTGGGTGAAGTGCAGCTATACACTGTGTCCCAGATGAGGAAACCATCGAAGATGGTCAAATTATAGAGGCAAGAAATTTGTTGATTTCGTTTTATTCTTTTCTGATGTTATTTGAGCAGATCATTTTCTCATTGTCACTTATTGAGTTTTACAAGAGACATTGAGACGTTTCATTTAGAAGAGATCACATTATCAACTTTATTTTTGTATATGGCTCGTAAAAAAAAATAGATACTATATCGAGTAGCATTTTTTCCTACGAATAAAACGATGTACGGCACACAAAAGAAAACACAAGTTGGAAACTGTTGGTTTTAGCAAGATGGTGTACCTGCGCACAATGTCCTAATCGTATAAGGATACCTATATTGGACAAATATCGTGGGAAGTAGAAAAAAATCGATTTGCGTCGACAAAAAGAAAACTCGCAACTTTGTCATTTAGCCTTTTTCTGGTTTGTTCTTTTCTTAGTGTATAAAGATTTAGTTGGGTATTTGTTCAATATGTATATTATGTATTATGCCAAAAATGTCCTATTTTTAAACGTATAAATGTTTTTTTTAATATATTCACTTTAAAAATTGTATGCGCCCCTCCCTAGACCAAATCCTAAATCCGCCACTGTAGTATACTATTTTAAATGTTTAATGTATTTGAGTGACAAGTATTCGAATACTTTTTACTGTATTCGAATACTTTTCAAAGTATTTTTATATTTATATTTTTATAGTATTCGAATACCTTTGATAGTATTAAAATACTTTTGAAAGTATTCGAATACATTCTAAAGTGTTTGAATACTTATTTTTTTTAAGTATTTGAATACTTTTCAATGTATCTGTATCTAGTATTCGCTTGTGCTGGACGTAAAAGTATTTAGTATTCAAATACTTTTTGAAAGTATTCTGCCCAGCTCTGCCTATAAGTCCAATCCATAAATCCAAAGATTACTTGAAAAGTGCTATTGCTGTTCCTTTTAGGTAAGTGCACGACCCAAGATAATTATGTATCTAATATTAAATTATAAATCTTTCCATTCCATAAGTAAAACTAATGGATTTATTCGTACTTAAACGTATAGCAAACGTCAACGATCGTACGTATGCACTGGCCACTGTGGAAACGTCCAAGAAATAAACTACTGATTGTTGCTTAAAATATCATTACAGTAATAAACACAAATATGCGAGCTGTAATGATTACAAAAATTAACTCTTTTTGGTATTAGAATTATTACCAAATGCACATAGTACATGAAGATAATTGCGTGGTGGCAGGCTCAAGTACGTCACAATTGACAGCGCATTTTATTGGCTGTTTGAAAGTGAGGCAACTGTTTAGTCCACGGACCGTGGGAAACGTCTGGAATTTGCACTGTTTAAATTATAAAATGTTTTACAGGAAGAGGGATCATTGTAACAGAACGTCATTGCGACAGAAAACTAGGTATGTATTGTTTAACATTAATTACTAAAAAGATGCTTATGATGCAACAAATGAGTCGTTAATCGTTAGCAGGCAATATTCGTTTTGGGTAAGATTTGACTTTTTTAAATTTCATGAAATTGTTGAGTAACAATTGCAAATTAATCTTTTAATACTCATTTTGAACAGGGTCCAAAACTTCAATGGATCATCTGCATCACGTACAGAGTCAAGTGAATGCTTGGGCGCAAACCGTAGTTTGCGAAGTTTTCAAAAGACGTTACGCAATGCATCATATTTTGAGTATGTATTGCCAATTTTCTTGGCTAAAAGTGCATCAACGTTCAGATAAACTAAACTTTTTGAAAATCTATGGAACAGACAAAAACCCTCCTTTTTCTTGTTTTATAAAAGAATTTGAAAGTTCGCTTTTTTCCTTGGCAAAATCAATGCAATCCCAGTGTTCATTCGAAAATAAAGATTGTACTGGTATAGCACAGGTTTTATTAATTAAAAATGCTATTAGAGAAGAGAAGAAACTAAAAATAATTCCTGGCATTAATTTCCTCTTGGGCACAAAATCTCGTTGGGAAAAAGTTGCATTTCGAATTCGATATTAACACGCACAGTTTGAAATCGATTTTATAAAGCAAGCACTTTTTTGATCAAAAATTGTATATATGCACTAGTTTATTAATGAGAATGGCGTGTGAGCTGCAATCAAACGCATGAGTTAAGTCAATGGTCCTACAATACTGGCCCTGCTCAAAACTGTATAAAAGAAAATGCATTTGTATTTCAAAATAGTAGTAGGCCTCAATTTGCTTACAGTAACTCTGAGGAAGAAGAAACCTCTACATCAGAATTATGTTCTAGTGCAACCTCCAAATCCCGAACCGGAAGTACCAGAAGACGTAGCCAACGAATCATGGACCAGACTATCGTTATATCGGACAGCGAATCCGATTGAGCGTAGCTCCCATACAGGGTGTTCCAACTAAAATTTGCATACGTAACGAGTAATTCGTTTACTAGAAAATTAAGATACTTAAGCATAAATTTGTTTGTTCGTTTCAAGAGTTTCAGAGTATTCAATATGTGAATACTGTATGTTTTCATAATTAGAATTAGTACAAAATACAAAGAAGAGAGCAGTTATGCAATAGTTTCGTTTTTTAATTGCGCTATTGCATTTTGAATTGATTTGAGAGATTTTGCGTTGTATAGTTAGTAATATTCCATTTTTTAGTAGTTCATTATTCATTTAAATGGATTGCTTTAATGCATGGTCTGTATTTTATGGTTTAGTTGTAACAGGTTACTTAGTAATCTTAATGACATGTAAATATATCAACGTTTATATTTTTATATATATGTACAGTGCTATACTTTGACCTATAATCCAAACCATTTATTATTTATGTCTTGATTGCTAATAAATGATCTGTTTAAGCTGTAATTTTTATTTACGCGCTTATTCATGTTATTAAAGGTATCCTGTGTCCCTTTTTTTTAACCTTTCTGATGAGTTGAAGCAGGTAAGTACACACCTACAGGTGCACCTGTCAATTCTACCTGTCGCAGGTCAAGTCAACCTGGGAATATGTCCAGGGTGTCTTATTAATAATATTAATAAAAATTAATAAGAGAAAGTGTTTTCCTGAGAAATTTTGGTGTAGTCTATTTTTGGTAAAAAAGGAAGGTTAATCACTGCCTTTTTTTGAGGCCCGCAACAAAAATTGTCTGAGATCGACCGGGAAAAAACATTTTCTTATAGAATTTGGCCTGTAGAATCCATAATTTCAAACAGTTTTAAGATTGGGCTAGTAGTTCAAAAGTTACAGCCCTTTGAATTTTTTTTCGAAATTGGTTTCTAGTCTGTAACTTTTGACTGCTCTACAAATCCTACATGAAATTGCACCATTTTCAACTGCTCTTTAAGGAAAATTGAGTGGGACGTGGCTATTAAGTGCATAAATTAAAATGTTCTTTTGAAGGTAATTTCGTACGTGGCGACATCTCATTGGAACTAGTTCAACTATTACAAGAAAATAATAAGGAAAAGTATTTGGATTATCAAAGAGATGGCGCAAATGTACCAATTGCATACACAAAAGACAATTCCAGATACTGGATCATTGAAGTACAATTGCTCTACAAATCCAACATGAAATTGCACATTTTCAACTGCCCTTTAAGGAAAATTGAGTCGGACGTGGCTATTAAGTGCATAAATTAAAATGTTCTTTTGATGTAATTTACGTACGTGGCGACATCTCATTGGAACTGGTTCAACTATTACAAGAAAATAATTAGGAAAAGTATAGGGATTACCAAAGAGATGGCGCAAATGTACCAATTGCATACACAAAAGACAATTCCAGATACTGGATCATTGAAGTACAATTGGTCTACAAATCCTACATGAAATTGCACATTTTCAACTGCCCTTTAAGGAAAATTGAGTCGGACGTGGCTATTAAGTGCATAAATTAAAATGTTCTTGTGAAGATAATTTCGTACGTGGCGACATCTCATTGGAACTGGTTCAACTATTACAAGAAAATAATAAGGAAAAGTATAGGGATTACAAAAGAGATGGCGCAAATATACAAATTGCATACACAAAAGACAATTTCCAAATACTGGATCATTGAAGTACAATTGGTCTACAAATCCTACATGAAATTGCACATTTTGGTGCAGTCGATTTTTGGTAAAAAAGGAAGGTCACTGCCTTTTCTTGAGCCCCGAAAAAAAATTGTCTCATAGAATGTGGCCTGTAGAATCCATAATTTCAAACAGTTCCAAGATTGGGCTACTATAATTCAAAAGTTACAGCCCTTTGAATTTTCTTTCGAAATTGGTTTCTAGTCTATAACTTTTGATTGAGAAGTCTGATCGAAAAAGTACGAATTGTTTTGGATTCTACGCACCAAAATTAATAAGAAAAGTGTTTTCCCGAGAAATTTTGGTGTAGTCGATTTTTGGTAAAAAAGGAAGGTTATACACTGCCTTTTTTTGAGCCCCGAAAAAAAAATTGTCTCAGATCGACCGGGAAAAAAAATTTTCTTATAGAATGTGGCCTGTAGAATCCATAATTTCAAACAGTTCCAAGATTGGGCTACTAGTTCAAAAGTTAAAGCCCTTTGAATTTTCTTTCGAAATTGGTTTCTAGTCTATAACTTTTGATTGAGAAGTCTGATCGAAAAAGTACGAATTGTTTTGGAGTAGTCGATTTTTGGTATTCAAATACTATGCGAAGTATTCGAATACTAAATATTTGTGAAAGTATTTGAGTTACAAATACAAATACTGCTTCCATAAAAGCATTTAATTACAAAGTATTTGAATACTTTAAAGGATTTGAATACTAAAAAGTATTTACAAAATCGAATACTGCCCAGCTCTGCATTGGGGTTAGTATACCCGTTACACTAACGATCCTCTACAATATATCAAAGCAGATGCAAGTCACAAAGCGATGCAAGCTTTATAGGGGCTCGCTGGTGACCGTCTGTCTGTCCGTAAACATGATAACTGCCTAACGCTTAGACGGATTCGGTTCAAACTGGTCACAGTTGATCTATATACTACTTACATGTAACAAGCCATTGAAAATGGGTCAAATCGAACCCAACAGGCACAAACACATACCTAATATCTAAATTTATTCCTACCATATTGCACAATGCTATAGATCTGCTCTTTTAAAAAAAGGTTAAAATGCAAACGTGCAAACATGCACGCACAATATAAAGGTAGGTAGTCAATTTCGCAAAATTCAAGGATAGCAAAGAATGCCTTTAGGACCCCCGGTACATACTTTGTACCTAATTAATGCGAAACACGCAAAAGTAATTTATAATATTTGTAAGATTCAAAGAAAACTTTCCCACATCACATTCGGTGCACATAAATTCATACTAATATTGCAAGCTTCAAGGGAAGTAGAATATATTCTTTTGATGTGCATTTATAAATCATAAAAGTTGGTTCCATAGTTCACTCAGGATGCTGTTGGTGTCAGAATCTTAGGTAGGTATGTGAAACAAGATATGAAGAATCGCATACGATTTTCAGCAGGGGAATTTTTTGCCACTTCGCTCGCATTCGGAAACCAGACTTAGGTAATCCGGCTCATTTGCAATAGCACTGATCCTTAAAGTCGTAGAAATCGATTAAAGAAGGTTTGAGTTTTCATTCTCAAGCTAGAAGAGGAGAAAAACATTACATAAAACGATAGAATTTGTATTGTCCCATGATATAATATACATAATAATATAAAGAGTTCAAAGCAAACTATTATATCACCTCTCATATTTAATGTTAGTGGTAGTCAAAACCATTGCCGTCATTCAGATCCACCATCAAGAGCTGAAGTTCATTGGAAGAACGGTTCAGTGAAGAAATAAGTTTCTCCTTGGAATACCTACGATTTGGAGCAGATAAACAACATTTTTGTGTTTGATACAGTATCTAATTTACTTACTAAACGTTTTGTAATGCAACTCTTCGCTAGTTCATAAAGAAACTACCCAGGACTCACCACGAGGAGGTGGTTGCAGATCGAGACCCACTTGTACATACCTTTCCAACATCCCAGTCTATAGGAGCGCCCTTTCTTCCCAATAAAACATAAATTATATATTTGAAAGTGTAAAAGCGCATAGTGAACTTGATACGAATAAGGGCCCATTGAGCAGTACTAGCACTTTCGTTACCCGAGTGGCGAAGAGCTAGCACTGGGCGATTACAGGTTTGAATAATCGATTATTATTTTTAATAATCGACTATACTGATTAATTGATTAATCAAAGGTTCGAGAAATCAGGAAATAGATTAATGAAATAATCAGATTATCAAGTATTCAATTAATCCAACATTCGATATTTGATTAGGTATTTCTTGTATTTATTTATCAAATAAGTGATTAATCGATCACTCAAATAATGGATTAATCGATTAATTTAAAAGAATAGTCGAATCCGATTATCGATTGATTATAATGGATTTTTTCGCAATACGCTAGTGACGACCATAGAGTTTGAAGGATTGGTAAAGGAAGGAAACAGAAACTAATGCAGTGGGCCATAACTAAAAACCTGCCGATCGGCTTCCCAGCGAAGAACACGAAAGCGGTAATCCTGGAGCTAGTGTAATGGCGTAGGGAAAGGGTCTTAGTGGGTAAACCTCCATCGAGGGAGTCCCAACTCCCCCCGCTGTAGAATCGGGGGGAGGTTTTCTGATCCGATTAGAAAAAAAAAGGTTCTGTAATTCAATAAGTACCCAAAATTTTTCTAAAGGTTTTGAATACATTTTTATTTACTAGGTGAGTGCTCTCTCTTTTTGTCTATTTCTTCTAAATCCCAAAAGCAGTTGGACTTATTAAACCTGTAAATGTGGCGTTTATATCTGAACCCATAAACCAGGATTTCTTGACTCTTTGCTAGTTTCTTGAATTTCGGTCACGATTATTAAGAAAACGGTTTGAAATTTTTACAATATGACTTCATATACTGTTGTTGAACTGCAGAAAACAGACAGTAACGTTCCTACTTAGAGGATAATTCATGTAAATCACACAGACGTCTTACTAAACACTTTATCAAAGAAACACAAATGTTTGGTGCAGGTATCACAAAACTTACATGTGTCGAAATAGGTCAATATCCTACTTTGCTTCATGACGGCAATGCAGGTTTGGGTAAGGGGAAAAACATAATTATACTACTGTTTGTTTGTCCGTCTGCCTTTCTTGAAACACTTTACCAGCCAGGTAATAGGATAGAAAGAGAAACCAACAAAAATTGACAATGCCCAATACCATTTGCGGTACTTACCGCTTCCCTTAATTAAAATCGCTATCGTTATGCTATGAATTTAAAAAATAAGCCTTTGTTTTGTTGTTAATTATTGTCAAAAATAAAACTAAAAACTCATTTCCCTTACACCGTGAATAATCCCGGAGCAACAGACAGATAGATGGATTGTATGATTTCATAAAAGGCTTATTATTAACCATTGAGTTTTAATAGCATTAGATACCTACTGATTCATAAGGAAGGCATTTCTATCTTAATGTTAGATAATTGTTTCGATCAACGTCTTAAATATCTTCGGTAATTATATCTTTAGGATTTAAGTGAATGCGGTAAATTAAAAACCCCTAAGCCTTCATAAAACGTAAACGAAGTTGTCAGTTCTTTCAGGTAACTCGAATTATTGAACGCGTAATGTCGATAACCTTCTTCTCCTTCGGAATTCAGAAAACCCTCGATACTTGAGTCAGGTCTATTCCCTGCTTTCATAAGTGGAAGAGCGACCGCTGCGGTCACTATACCGTAAAAAGCTCTCGACCGAAAGTCTTCGAAGAACTCGTCCCACGTCGGTGGGACGGTCTTTGCAGACAATTTGATTAAGTAGTGAATCAGTTTTTCGTGATAGCGACGTAAAAGTTCGGTCGCTTTTTGCTTAGTTTGCACATCCGCCCCCATTATCAAAAAGTAGTGCAGATCAATGGATGGACTTGAATAACACAAGACCTGATAGTCTATCTAAAAGAAAATAGTACAATGGGCTACTGACGTTGTTACACTCACAAATCGAACATCCTCAATGTGACCAATTGAATCGTACAAGAACATGATATTGTTGATCCAGAAATCTCCGTGGTTTAAAACGTTGAAGTTTGTGCTAGGCTTATTGGCCGCGAGCAGATTAACCATGAAGTCTTCTTGAAGTGACGTTAACTTGGGGGCATACTTGTTTAATTCTAGAATTTGGGGCAGTAAATCGACTGGTAGTAAGTTAATTGGTTACCTGGCCATCTCTTGCATGTGTTAATGACTTCTCGAAAACCAGTAGTCATCAGAGCGTTCATACTTTCCACATCAGCAAATAGTGCTTGATCATATACCTCCATAGACCTTGGATTCTAAAATTCCACTTGCGTGATTGAGTATGAGGGGGATAAAATACAAACTCTCTCATGGAGTGCAACGGATGAGGCGTGGAACGCTGCCAAACGATCCAGCGCGTAAAGACAGTGGTTGAGGTCCAATCCCTTATCACGAGATCCTGGGCGATAATCGAGGATTGATAAATCCTCAAGCAAAATTGTCGGTTTTGGTTTCGTGGAGATCGCGTATGGTTTTGGAGCAACACATTTCAGACACCCTGCAATCATCTTATTTATTCCAATTGGGAATATTTTTTTGTACAATACCAAAACTGTACATTTCCAGTAATGTACTGCTATACATCAACATTTCCCGTTTAAAGGACTTCATCTCTTCTGAAAACTTTATCAAGAAGCTGTCATCGGGTAGGTATTTAGCAATCAGCGACAATTTCTGCTCTTCTATGCTAGTTTTAGACAGCAGTAGCAAAGGACTAATTTCATACTACAAACCTGGTAGGTATGGAGTAGCCAATGGTAATCCTGAGAAGTTCACTGCTAAAATTGTCTCCTACCGGAATTGATTTTCTTGTAACCTTTGTAATTTTTGCGCCACTGCCCAAATAGTCTTTTAGAAGATCTTCCAAAAGTGACTCGTTAATAAACTCTAATTTCGACTCCATTTCGAAAATGTAAAGAAAATTGAAACCGTCCGCTTTAAATAGGCGTTGAACTAAGTAACGTGAGAGCTTTTCCATTCAGTTAAACGATAAAGTGTTACGTAATGCGTGCGATTAAACACCTCTTGCAACATCATGTCAATTTCAAACGAAAATAATGTAATTAATGAATTAAAAAGCGATAACTTACTTACACTATTAAGGATTCGTTTTATGAATATTTGATTAGAAGTTACTTCGAAACTGTTTTCCCTTTCAGCCCAAAAATTTATTGCACCAAACCCGGCTAGAACATGAACAATGAAGGCTTAATAGTTCTTAGAAATGAAAAATTCGAAACACGCAAAGGATATGAAAATTTGAAGTACTAAGCAGAGCTGGGCAGTATTCAATTTTGTAAATACATTTTAGTATTCAAATCCTTTAAAGTATTCAAATACTTTGTAATTAAATACTTTTATGGAAGCAGTATTTGTATTTGTAACTCAAATACTTTCACAAATATTTAGTATTCGAATACTTCGCGTAGTATTTGAATATCAAAAATCGACTACTCCAACATTTCTCGGGAAAACACTTTGTCTTATTAATTTTGGTGCGTAGAATCCAAAACAATTCGTACTTTTTCGATCAGACTTCTCAATCAAAAGTTATAGACTAGAAATCAATTTCGAAAGAAAATTCAAAGGGCTGTAACTTTTGAAATAGTGGCCCAATCTTGGAACTGTTTAAAATTATGGATTCTACAGGTCTCATTCTAAAAGAAAATTTTTTTCCGGGTCGATCTGAGACAATTTTTTTGCGGGCCTCAAAAAAAGGCAGTACTTTTAAGTTATTCAAATATTTGAGAACAATTTAGAAATGTTTAGGGAAAGTTTCCATTGTCACAAAATCAAATATCAAAATCCGATACATCTGAATACCGAACTCGATAGTCTACGTAACTTAAAAACAGTACCTTTCTTATATCTTTAAGACCATGTGTACCAATTTTCAAAGTGATCGCACGTTTCTAAACAAACTATCATGCACACGGACAAACGGATGGTCAAAAATGGATCTGTTCCAAAATCGCTAGGATTAATTTCAGAAAGGCGTACGTATCATGTGCACGACGTACGATCACTTTGAAAACTGGTACACGTATCTTAAGGATATAACTGGTATAAAAAAAGGTCCTGGTAGGTACCTCCTATATAATAATATAATAATAATAATACGCTTTTACTCCCCTTAAATTTGTATATAACAATAGAAATATAAAAAAAGGTAACCCCATTCAAAGTATAACTGGATTTTTTAAGTAGTATTAAGCCTTTTATCTAGTTGTATACTATTTTAAATTTTTAATGTATTTGAGTGACAAGTATTTGAATACTTTTTACTGTATTCCAATATTTTTCAAAGTAAGATAATGAAATACTTTTCAAAGTATTCGAATACTTTTTATAGTATTCGAATACCTTTGATAATATTAGAATACATTCTAAAGTATTTGAATACTTATTTTTTTAAGTATTTGAATACTTTTCAATGTATCTGTATCTAGTATTCGCTTGTACTGGACGTAAAAGTATTTAGTATTCAAATACTTTTTGAAAGTATTCTGCCCAGCTCTGGTACTAAGTAGAACTAGTACTATGAATGCACAGAATCAGGAAGCTGTGGACCTAAAGAATCTGAAGAACGTGAAAACTGAAGAAGAAGGTGAATAATTTAAGAATCTCAAGAGTTTAAAAAACCTCCAGCATAGCAAAAATGGAATGATGTTATTAAAAACCTGAAGAATCTAAAGAATCTGAAGGATTGATGCGGGAAACGAAAAAGCTCAAGTTAAGCTCTGATTGATCGGAGATTTGAAATATCTCCATCTGGATGCTGCCGTCCTTGTTTTTTTTTTCCGGCAACATTAAATCAGTAGGATGCGGATTATCACAAGCAGTACGATTACGAACAGCTATACTTTTCTACACCGAGAGCATTATTGCCATCAAGAGCCTTCGCTTTAAAAATAATAATAGCAACAAGGGTTTCCTAGTAGGTGTACGTTTAAAAACGTTTCAATAAAAAGGCTCTTGCGCACATGAGTGTTGTTATGTACTACTTACTTATATTCAAATTATGAGAAATTCTATGGTGCCTACACCATTCAAATATTTGCAATTAAATTAAATTTTACATTCACGTAAAGTTGTAAACTATAGCGCTTGGGAAACCATATAATCAACAGTTAATATCCCAAGTGTATAAAAATGGCAATTAAACTTGGACGTTTTCGTCAACCGTTTTGCTTAGAAATACGTCGAGGCAATTTCCCACATAACAAAATTTTGGATGGATTATTTCCTTCGTGTAGTAAAATGTTATAATTGCTATGTTTACTATTTCAACGATTAATTTGCAAACGTCAAAGTTTCACAGCTTCTGATTATATAAGGCGACGTTCGTACTGTGGCGATATATCGTAGGCGGTATGTTGCACCCATATAAAGCTACGGAGGTACATACAGCGTGCGATATGGTGCGACTGCGAACCTCATTTATCACATCCCTTCCAATTTCAAGAATCTGTCCATCCGTATCGCCTGTAATATATCGCTTATCGTGGATGTCTCAGTATGAACCCCGCCTTAGTTTTAAATATCAAAGATACTAATACCCAGTTGCACCAACAAAATTAAGCCTTGCTTAAGTTAAGTCGAACTTAAAATCTATGGCAACAATTATTAAGACAATCGTTGCCATGGAATTTAAGTTATGCTTACCTTTAAGCGATACTTAATTTTGTCGGTGCAACTGGCCATAAGGGCCATGGCTATAGCATTTGCAAAGGCAAATTTTGAACCTGATGTTAGTTTTGCTTTTACTTAAAGTGTATATGTATGAAATTTCATTTAATTGCTTCCATAAATACGAAAGTTGGCACTGCACATCACGCACAAAACCAAATTTTGAAACTGGCGTTAAATTTGCTTTTATTCCAAGTGGCTATGTATCAAATTTCATTTAAATACCTTCATAAATAAGAAAGTTTACAATTCGACTTATAAATGGTCCAGATGCGAAGAGGGCACTGTGCATACTGGTCGATTAGGCTTTTGGAATTGCGTTTTATATGGCTAAAGTTATGCGCATATTGAACTTCATGCAACTCGGTTTTAACTAACGGAGATGTCAAAAGGGCCTTCTTTATTTTTTGGCCTACATTGCCAATTCACGAACTCCAATCTACAAATTTGATAAAGAATCCACCTGCAAAATTTCCTTGTAATCGGTCCATTCGTTTACGAGGTATCGTGCTAACGAACGGACGGACAGACGCCGCAAAATTATAAACTCGCTAGGAGCTCGTTAATAAACGTTCTTTAAGCAATAATTTGATAATAGTACATTATATACCAAGGTAGAGAAGTCTAGTATTGCCTGATCACCAATATGACATCCCAAGGCGTTTGCACTTGAAAACTCATATCTAAAGCAAAATTTTCTAAAAAAAGACGTAATTTGAGGAAGAAAGTTAATGTTATTTCGTACAAATGTAAATGAGAAAAATTTCAAAATACTTTTTCTATAAATATATTTGACAATATTCAAATTGAAAACATTTACAATTGCTATAGTTACTATTGAAAACAATATTGCTTGAATTTTAATGTATGTTCCTAGGTACACCAACATAGTCGGTCGCATTAACGACTCGTTTAATTATTCTTAATCATTAACTAGTGGACATAAATTACGTACCGTGCGCTTATACAGGGTGGTGCCTGGCGCAACGCAGCATAGGGATTTCAATGGTAATTTCTTTATAGTCAATTACTAGCTCCCCTAATTATTTTAGAGCAAAAGCCTAAATACTGCATCTGTTCATACTATCAGTTATAATTTTCCGTTTTTCAAAACCGTAAAATCGCAAAATCGCTTGTTAAGCATTAGGGGAAGAAGAAAGCGGGTAAAGAGGGCGTTCAACAATTACTGCGCATCGACTAAAAGCCGTTTTAGATGAAATTTAGTTCATTTTTCGCCTGCTTCTGCTAGACCGTTGAAATGTGGTGAGGAAGCTGGGGAAAAATGCCAGTTAATCCCCTTCGCACATCAAAGACTTTGTTCAGAAATTCAAACACGGTTTTTAAGTCATTATTTCCTCCTATAAAATTACTTGAATATGTTATGAGGTTTTTCCTCTTCTAGATGCAAAACTTGGAAATGCACCTAAATTGCGTTAGTAGATACTAATTCGAGATGACAGGCCTTAGTAGAGAAACATACAAACATATGCTTTCGTTATTTTGCATCCTCGTCCTTGTCTACCCTTCAATTTAATTCAACCGCAATAATCAACCGCACAATTAGTAAATGGCGGTGACGGAGTGACCCTTAACTTTGGAAACTGCGTGTCTTCAACAAATCACGCAATCTTGTATTACTGTTTTTGCAGTTATATGCGCAGACAATTAATAAAATCTTTCTCTTATGACCAATGAGAGAATTAGGGCCGCAGTGAAAATTCTTTATGTGTTCATATACAAAAGGTTAGTAAAGTAATGTGATCGAGGGAGTACAATTGGATGTTTAACAATAACAGATCATCTATGTAGGAATCTTGAAGTATAGCTGTAGAAGCTTTCGGATAAACTGCTTGTGACTCTAATCCAAGCTGGCGAAATTGAATCAAAATTGAAAATAGGTCTGACTGAATAGTTGGTCCAATCAGTTGCAAATAATGTAGTGACTTATACCAGATGAAGTTTGTGCAGATCCGTTGAAAAGGACACGCAGTTTTGTTGTTGAACTTGATTTACGAATTATTCCATGATGAGGCGACTAGTAATTTGGAGTAAAGGGGTCTATAAATTCATTATATTTCTTTTCTCTTGAAACTTCTTTCTAAACAGTGAAACATTTTTAATGCATGATTTTTAAAGTTTTTTAAATGTTGTGTTGTACACTCCTTAAAGGGGATTCGTAGTATCATACACAATGGTAGTATAGTATCACATTTGTACGTAGATTTAAAATGATCTTCGCGCAATGTTTCTTC